GAACATGAGGCAGATTCTTGGTCTGCAGCAGAACAGATTGACTGGATCTTTCCATCTGTCACATGAGACAGTTCAGGCCGGGGCGATGGCGCTCATTTTCTCCTTATGGGGAAGTTGGGAAGCTAAAATCTGAGACCCTCAGAGGCCCCACCAATAAAAAAAAAAAAGTAAAGGAGAAACATGTCATTGGAGAGAGTTGAACTGACAAATCCCCCAAGAGCAAAGTATGTACACATCAGAGCAATGATTATACAGAGCGAAGCGGACAGAAATAGACCAACAGGAGCAAAAGCACAAAGCATTAAAACTCTGCTTCATCGTTGTGTGTGCACATAATGTTTGACTCTTAAATACGCTCTTTGGGTTGTGAAGGAAATCTACAAGGCATTTGAGCTAATTTTTGAGAATGGATGGCTATATTTAGCTAAAGAATGTCATGTTCTGTCCCCAACGCAGGAAAAAAAAAATAAAAAAGTGGCTGCTAAGATTTCCATTTAAGGCCAGAATAACCAGCAATAGACCAACAGGACACAGTGGGGAACAGTGACAGGAAAACAACCTGATGACCAGTAATGAACCAACAAACACTCATTTAACTGTTGTCTCAGTTTGTGGTTCCAGTTTCTACCGTTTTACAGATCGAGTAAAATGCATTTCAGTGCTGCAGATGATCGCAGCAGCACCGTTGTGACCCGATTACTCAGTATCTAACCGCTTTCTGAGAAAAAAAAAAGCAAAATGGCATCACAGTTTAAGGGGATACGTGACACAAAGAACCCGAGGACAAGATTTCATGACTGTCAAATCATCAGCGTGTGTAATCTCATTGGGAGAGGCTGAGCCGTTCCCCCTGCCTGAATGCCTGCCGCGTTTTGCATCGACTGAAGGAGGCTCTGCAGGGCTCAATCCAAGGTCAGCAGGGCATGAGCGTCTCTTTGGTGGCATGGCCGTTTCTGGACACTCTCCAGCACCCTTAGCCATTTTGACAGACAACAGGCTATGTTTGGTAACGAATATAGTCTAGAGATGAGGTGAAGCTGCTCCACTGAAAAGCACATCTGACCTCAGAGAACAAACTGTGCCAAATTTAATCTTAAATTCATCAGGTGACCTAATCCCCTCTGACATGTAATCTTTCTGCTAAGCAAAGAGGTAATATCTGCCCTGAACTGGAAATAAATTAACCCAGGAATATAAAAATAGAGTGAAATAAAGATGGGTTTAAAAATAATTATATTCAGATAAGAAAGTAGAATTTTATTTTATTTTTTACTGGATTATTTTTACTATTTAGAAGCCTTCTCACTTCGGCTATTCAATTTATTTATGTAATAAATCCATAAATTAATAAATAATAGCATAATCTAGTGACTTCTCAGACTGAAAATTCTTCACAAAGTGACTTTAGCAATAGTAATAATAATAATGTTTGAAATATTAGTTCAAACTGTTACAGATTAAACATGTAAGCTCTAAAAGTTAATTTCTGAACAAATTCTAAAAATTAGATTGGATTCATGTTCTTGCACTGAAAACATTTTGATTCATTTTATACAAGGAAAAGCAACAGATTAATATGGAATTACCGTATTTTCAAGACTATAAGACGCACTTTAATTTTATTAAAAACGTCAGTATGCCTTATAATCCGGATATATTGTCATATGTTGTTCTGGAGTAAAATAGCCACTTTTAGTGAATTAATATGGATTAATTCTGGTTGTGCTTACGGACCTTAAAGCGATTTTGTGAGGGTTCATCACAGCGCTCTGTCAAAATGTTTTAGTTATATTACGGCTACTGATTAGTAGCATCGCGGAGTAAAACATACTGTGCTTTGACTGACTGACTTATCTGTTTTGTTTTGCTTAATGTGGATATATTTACAAAAAAAATGAAAATAGAGCATTCCTTAACAGTGCGCCTTATAATTCAGTGCACTCTATAGTGCATAAAATACAGTAAAAGGATTGCACAGTAACACTCTTTAGAATGGGATTTTAAAACTAAAAGTTTTATAACACTTAAAAATATTCTATTTTTGAAGTTTTTTTCCAGCTACGTGGATCATAGTTCTGCCCCTCCTCCACCAGTTGCTGGGCACTGCTATTCAGAGGACTACTACACACAACAAATATTAACTCAGCCGTTTGGAAACGGTCCCTGTTCAATAAACCCAATTAGTTATGGGTTCCTGAAACATCACTGTCATTCTTATTAAAATATAATGATGTCTATAAAGTACAGCGGTCATTCTATGAATACCATGACTGTTAATTAGCAGACAGCAAGCTGTCTAATTGTCAACAATAGCCCAACAAATTACCCAGATTACTGATTCTAAATTTAGTTGTTTTGTACAAAAGACTCTAGGAATCCAAAAGTGCAATAAATAAACGGTATTGATACTACATCTGGAATAAGCGTCTTATCATTTTTGCATATAAAAAGCTACTATTACAGGAAAAATAAAATCATGTTTTACTTTGTTTTCAATCTTTTGTGTTAACAGTGATATACTGGTATTTTTACTCAGAAATATACATAACTGGATTTGCATGTATTTATATTTAGGAACCTGAACAATCCAGTTTAATGACCTTAATTTATTAAAACCAAAATACAGTGACTTCGCTGAAGGTTGTCATTATGAGATGACCTTCTCATATTTGTGTTTGTAGGGCTTTGCATTGTTACCTAAATAGCTTTTGTTTTCACTTTTATTGTTGTAGTATCACATGGTATTGTGATAAAACTTTAAGTCCATATCACCCATCATGTACTCTATAAAGATAAAATGACAAAAATTACTAAAATGCTGGTAGGCATTAATATTAACCCTAAGACAGACTTCAAACTATTTCCACCAATTTGCACCCTTTAGTATTTTAAAAGCAGCATTCGGTGTCAAATATTGGCAATAAATAAAATGATCAACTGTATTAGGATTTAAAAATGCCCTCAGAGAGTTTATATTTTCAGATTTTTTTTTTTATTTGGTGGTGAACTGTTTGTTGACTCATTAAAACATGTATTTTGTTTGGGAAGTCCCCTCATTAGGAGGAAAACTACATCAAATCAGTTTCAGGCCTGCTTATTAACCTAGTTTGGTTTCTACATGTTGTATTTTTAATCGTTGGCCTAGAAACAGTAGTTCCTTTTGTCTTTCACACACAGAAAAAAAAAGAAAACTATGCCAAATATGTACGTATGCGTAGGGTTTTAAAACATTTTGTTAAGCCTTTGCCTGTTAGGACAAGCTGCATCTCCGTTTCCCAGCACCTGTATGACAGTTAAACGATTGTTCTGGTGTAGGGCAACAGAGCAAAGCCGTGTTATTTCTGCCTCGTCACAAACACCGCTCATATTTAGGTAGCTCAGTGCGCTTGACGCTCTGGGAGTTCTTCTTTGTCTCAGTCAACAGTGAAACAAGCCACCACAGGCAGGCAAGGAGCCAGTGTTTATTTCCACCAGTACATGCCCAGTAACACTGGCACTTGCCCACCATCACAAACACACACACTCTCACAAAGTGGGGGGTCCTGCTGCTGCTGTGCCTTAATCACAATCACCACCCAGATCTTGAACTATTGTTGTTATCCTCTGATAACGGCAAACACCAAGGAGTAAAAGTTGTGGAAGAACAGATCTCTGCTTTATCGTGGCAAAGTTTCTTTTACAAAACAGGAATGGTTGATTATTGTGTAATAAAATAAATACAAAGATGGATGGAAGGAATAGACTTAGACTAATCACAGTTGGACGGGTTTTGGGTGGATGGTATGATGCATTCGGATGGATGGATGGATGGATGGATGGATGGATGGATGGATGGATGGATGGATGGATGGACGGACGGATGGATGGATGGATGGATGGATGGATGGGACGGATGGACGGACGGATGTTTGGATGGATGGATGGATGGATGGATGGATGGATGGATGGATGGATGGATGGATGGATGGATGGACAGACGGATGTGTTTGGATGGATGGATGGATGGATGGATGGATGGATGGATGGATGGATGGATGGATGGACAGACGATGGATGGATGGATGGATGGATGGATGGATGGATGGATGGATGGATGGATGGATGGATGGATGGATGTTTTTGGATGGATGGATGGATGATGGATGGATGGATGGATGATGGATGGATGGATGGATGGATGGACAGACGGATGTGTTTGGATGGATGGATGGATGGATGGATGGATGGATGGATGGATGGATGGATGGATGGATGGATGGATGGATGGATGGATGGACGGATGGACGGATGGATGTGTGGTTGGATGGATAGATGGATTTATTTCGATGGACGGACAGATGGATGGATTTACTTGGATGGATAGATGGATGGATGTGTGGATGGATAGATGGATGGATGCGTGGTTGGACGCAGAGCTCTGATGACACCAGCCTTCCCCCACCGAAGCCTCTCAGCCCAAACCTTCTCCGGAGCTCCGCGCTGCAGAGGAGCCGTGAACCTGACGCGCTGTCACGGGTCATCTGGAGTCAGGAACCCGAAGTTAATGTGGGTTTACGGGGTAGGGGGAGGGGAGAATGGACGGCAGCGTGGTGCATTGACGGAAAAGAATGAGGCTAGTTGATGAGAAAAGGAAGAGGAGGAATTCAAAGCGCTCATGTGTAGGAGGAACAGGCATGCCAGGCTTTTAGAAACGGAACCCACACGAAACACAAGCGCTCACATTAATGGATCCACTCGATCACCTTTGACAGAAACGCGTCAATATGATCAGGAAAGATGAGGTAGCTGAGCCCAGGCTGACCCGGAGGAGAGCCTGGTCGTTTGTATGCAGCGTGCGTTTCAGACGTTATTGTCTCTGGCTGACTGGAGCCTCGGCATGGCTCTCTCGGAAATGCCTCAGTAAAATCAAAGTGGACGCGCTTGATTCGTGACTCCGCAGCTCCCTGCGGATGGATGCCCACTTCTCACATAAACATTTCATTTTTCCTCGCTGCACTCACCTTGGTCGACTCGCCTCCTTTTATCCACTTGTTACAATGGAAATTTAACACCATGGATCTCCAGTTAAGTTTCCTGGCAGTAGGACAAAATCACAAAAGCTTCCCCCGAAGAGAAGGGCCGAAACCCGGGAGCGCGGCGGTTCGGAACCTCCGGCGGCGCAGGACGAAGAAAGCGTCTGCGGAGGGTTTTCTTTTCCTCTCAGGAAAGCATCGGTGAGAAACTGGAAAAAGCTTGCGCCTTCAAACAGCTGTTTTTCCAAAATGGAGTTTAGTCTTGTGTGAGCCAATCAGAGCCAGGCTGTGGGCGCTCCCGCTCCTCCTGTGGGCTGGAGCCAAATCCACGCCACGCAACGATGAGACGCACTTCGTTTATTCTGGTGGAGAGGAGAAGAGAGGAGAGGACAGGAGGGGGAGCCTTTGTTGTATCTTCTATGTGTCTCAGGCTTTTTTCAGGCAGACATCAAAACAACATGAAACTCCGAGCAGGGAACCCCGTGAGGTTCCCTGCTCTGGTTCCCACTGGAAAAGTGGGAACCAGAAATATCACGAGTCGATATTTATGCAAAACCAAACTGTCATTTTACGAATGGGTATAAGGGAAATTATAGATAGAAAACAGGAAGTTTTTTTCCAAGAACGCAGAAAATTTTAGATTAATCTCAGAAACGTTCTTGTTTCTTATGAAAATTTCTGAAAATAATCAAAAAAAATATCTGAAAAATTGTCTGAAAAATTCTACAAAAAACAAGGAAAAATATTGAGATGAATCTCAGAAATTTTCATAGAAAGTTTCACATTAACCTCAAAAATTCTCTGAAATATTTGACAAAAACTATGAAATTTTTTGGTTTCACTAGTAGAACATTTTGGAGAAAAAAAAACTCTGAAATATTGAGATTAATCTCATAACCTTTCTACAAAAAACAAGAAAACGTCAGAGCTCCATAAACAAAATAAAAATTAAAGAAAAAACTCTGAAATACTTAGCTTAATCTCAGAAATATTCTACAGAAAATAAGAACATTTCTGAGTTTCAAAAGATGAAAATGAGGAAGAAAAAAACTCAGTTTGTTTTAGAACTATTCTACAAAAAACAAAAAAAAGTAATTTAAAAAAAAACTCTATTTTAAAATTAATTTTTTTTAAAAAATCTACAAACCTCAAGGAAATTTCTGAGCTCCAAAAGTCAAAAGATTGCTAGAAATAGACTTAAACTTAAACATAAATCTTAGACATTTTTGAAACATAAACGTGGAAATTCGTGAGCCGTTGTCCAACATATTTCCTGTTCCATTGTCTAAAAATTGCATCCATCTATCAATATGTACAATCAAGTCATCAAACTCTTTTTTCATCCATCATGTGACATAATCAACACATGTTATTTATACCCATCTGTTTGTCATACAGTCGCCAATAGTCAAACAAGTGATAAACATCCCATTTTGTCAACTGCCATCATCATTTTAGCTTGTTAATCAGTGTCCAACCTGAATCTCCCAGGAGTGTGAACAAGTTTAGGCTTAAAAAATTAGCCTAAATAAATCTCTGAAGAAATCACAAAGTAATGCATCATCTAACTGATGATGTATTAATAGACAAAACATCTTGGTGAATAATATTGGAGTCAGAGAGTGGGAAAATGCTGAGTCATTGCTTACACTGCCTCTTTTCATCTGTCACTGAAATGCAAACAACAATCTCAGCCTTGAACAAACAGTCCCTGTGCAAATACTTTTTAAAATTCTTGAACCGTGGCAGAACCTTCTGATGGGATCTTGTTTTTCTGTACCTTTTTGTGTCAGGTTTGGAAGGAAAATTTACAACATAAATGCAGTGTATTAAAGTTTGTGGGTCATTAAAACAAAACAAAACAAAAACAAAAAATAGAAGTCATATGAGAAGAGAAAAAAATACTCTCGCTTTTATTTCCAGACTTGCTGGAAAATATATAAACTGTACAAAGAGATGATAGAGGGATATAAATATTCCATCAATAGATGTCTAAACACCATAAAAGTCAAACTGTTTCAGGAAACCATGTGTGTTATCAGAAAACTAATTCAGGGCAATAAAATCTAATATGCTACGAGTTATTTAGTCTTTTATTGGTGTTTCACCAGTAAAAACAATAAATAAAATCAATAATAAAACAATAATAAAATCTAATATGCTACGAGTTATTTAGTCTTTTATTGGTGTTAAAGTTGAACAAAAATATGAATCAAGCCTTCGTTTACCTGTTCTTGCAAATTTTGATTACAACGCTAATGCTAGGTTTACTAATGCTAACTCTATTCATTTATTGGATTAAAACTAAACTAAGATGAAGCACTGAAACCTCAAAGCACTTCTGCCATGCTAACTAGCCTGAGCATTTTTGACAGGCTCTGGGATCTGAAAAACACATTTCCATATAAAAGTTATGTACTGCAGTCTTAAAATCAAAAATGTATTTTCCTTAGCATGAAACCGTACTGCTGTCCATAAACGCTCCTTTCTGTTTTAAACCTACACTCCATTACTATTTCTCACTCCTGCTGCAGTTCCACTGCAAATTGGAATTACAAAGATAATTTCAGGGGGAAAAAAACTCACATTTTTGATTTAAAAAAAATTGCATGCTAGAATAATGTTGTTTTTTGGCAGCCTCAAAATAACTGTACTTCGCAAAACTTTAATGAAAACACTTTTTCATGTCACACAAGTCGTGTGATCAACAACTGAATGTTACTACTGGGCGAAATGATGAAGATGACGACAGGAAGTGACAGGAGAATGACGCGTGAATGAACTTATTCACACGTGATTTGTATCTGCATTTCTTATTTAATAGAAACACACACAAGTGAAATTGTGTTTTCCAGCATTAGCTGAAGATTGACAAAGTTTTGGGCATATTTGTAACAGTTATGACTCGTTAGCTTTACCACTTTTGACACGTTCATTAAAAATCAGCACCAAGCTTCACAGTTGCTGTAAAATTAGCTTAAATTATTAGCTTTTCTAAACTGTGACTGACACTGATTTGAAGCGCTTAATTATTTTGCATCTAAATCTTTATTAATCATGCCTGATTGTTCGTCTCCATGTTTTCCCTGATACAGGTTGGCAACCTCTCCATGGTGAACCCTGCTTCTTGTCCTTTGACTGCTGGGATATTCTCCAGCTCACCCCTTGCAACAATAAACAAGATTATGAGGCTGCAGAAGCTAGAAACAGATGGATGGATGAATGAGCGCCACTTCATCTGTCCAAGTGATATCGTTCCAAGGTTCTGTAGCATGTTTAGGTGCAACTTTGCAAGTCTAAGCAATGCTGTCATGTCCCTGTTAGAGAGAAAAAGGCTTTACACTGGCAGTCCTTCCAGCACAACCGTTTTTGCTAATTGCACTGTCATAAATCGTGACATTTAACATTTGAAACCAGGCCTTTAGAGGCCAAGAGGGAGTTTTCGGTGTTTTGTATTCTCTTTGAGTATTGCACAGTCTGTCCTTAAAGTAAACCTACTTGGACATCCAGTCCCAGAAGACGAGAAAACCTCTTTCTGCAGAGACCCAAGGAACCAATTGGGGAAACTCAGCTGAGGACACATACAGCTATGTTGTGAAAATACCAACAGCTTCCCTTGGGGCTGCAGCATACCCCATCATTTGCCAACAACAGCACAAACAAGACACAAATAGCATTTTCTGTATAATAGCTTTACTGTCTTAACCGTTAACAATAAATACCCTGCAATACAATACAGCTCAGTCACAGACATGCTGGAAATATAAAAAAATAAAAGACTGAACAGAAGCACTCAGCAGATGCAAGATGAACAATGCAATATTATTGCACTTTTATGTACAATTTGGCAAATCAGATCTCAATAGTCATGTGATTTAACGGATTAAGATCGCATAATAAGACAAGTAAACCTAAAATATACATAAGGCAGATTATCAAACTTAGAAAAAGAACCAAGCCCAAAGACTAAACTCTAAAACTGAACTAGCAGCCACTTATGTTTCATTTCAAACACTGGACGATAACACACATATTGCTTTGGTGCACACAAGTGTAACATAAAAACAATTTAAGGCAATGTTTTTGATGGCTACACACAAAAAAGAAACGTATTCAGCTTCATGGTTATAAACGGAAATGTAACACTGACAGGACAACAAAATTCATTTTCCAGTTTTTGCTTGACCAACAAAAGCAGAAAATACTTTACTTTTTCTTAGTGATTGAATGCAACAAAACTGTAAACTCCAAGCTTTTTTGGTTTATAAACACACCAATTAAGAGGAATTTTAAGAGATTCCTAAAAGTAAGACTAAGATTTGTGCTAGTCTTTATAGTGTTTATAGTCCTTACAGAAAACAAAAAAACTGACTCGGTCAAAATGACAAAGAAAATCTGAAGTCAGAATTGGCAAGAAAAAAACTGATTGATACTTTTCAAAGAAATTTCAATTAATTGTAGAATTTCTAATCATCTGAATATAATTAGATAAGAAATATGGAATTTTGGGAAGCAAGCCTCCAAGAAATGGACACGAAAATATGGGAACAATGTTTTGTTATAAGGTAAGTAATCTGCCAGTGGAAAGTATTTTTTAGTCTATATTAACAAATTATCAGCTTAAAACAAGCTCCTCCAGTTTGATGAAAAGTTACTTATAAGTTAGTTTACTGAGGTATTTGCACTAGAAACTAGAACAAAATTACTTGGTAGGATTTTTGTTTTTGTAATGTGTGAGATCATTAAATAAACAAGTACCATCCAAGCACACAACTATCAGTGAAGATGATAAAATGACGAGTGAACACACCGAATGAGCTGCCTTGGATGCCTGAATGCTGGACTTCTTCTAAAATTTAGCAAATTTTAAATAGTGTAGTGCTGTTTAATTCGTAAAATAAATCATGTGGAATATCGGCAACTTGCCCTATAAAAGTTTCCGTTCATGTTTCAGATGAAACAGAAAAAGTCCTGTGGCTGTGTGAGCGTCAGTAGCAGTAATAAAGTTGAGAGCGCAACGCCCTGAAGCCGTCTTCCTCCCGCCCTCCTGCCTGCTCCCCTTCACACAGCATGGAGTCTGGGAGCACCACGCCCTCTAGTGGATCCGGCTGGCAGAACTCCACCACAAACTCCTCCTCGCAGTCCAGCAGCAGCCTCGACCAGGCGCTCATGTCCAGCCGGCCGGCGGTGCCGCCGTATTCCTCTGGCAGAACCGACGGCGGGATGTTCCGGTGCAGAGAGCGCAGGTCCGAGCTGTGCAGGACGTACTGTTCAGAGGGACAGAGGAGACGATTACACCGACTCTAATCAATATTTCACCTTATAAAAGCAGCAGCTGTAGGTTGTTTTCACATGAACATAGTGGGTTATATCCAGTGAAACCCTCTACTCTTATTTATATAGCTAAAGAGATCAGAAAAATGACTCAAGATAACTCTAGGACAACAGTTACCCTCTCTGCCATCTTCTCCTTCAGGAAAGGCTTGATTATAGCGAAGATGCCTTTGAAAATCCGGGGCTCGTTAATTATGTTAACAGCCTTGATTCTGATGGGAAAGCCATCCTGTTGATCAAAACCAGAGACCACAATCAGAACTTGCTCAAACACCTTTCGTCAAAATTAAACACATCGTACTTTACGGTATCTCACCTGGAGGATGCTCACAATTTTTTTGGCAAGAAAGGGACCTGGATTGGAGGCTTGCGACATTCCCACCCCAGTGTAGTCGGCGAGGATGACCAACCCGTTCACCTGCGTTTCCTCGGGCTGGATCAGCTTCTCCAGAGTCAGATAAAGGGCCCGCACGTTGTCCACAAACGGATAGTCGTTTGGCTTCCATTTTCCTGGGAGAAAATCCATATTGACAAAATGTGATGACAGAAAGGTTGTGGATTGCAAATTAAGGGTGCATTCATACCAGCCCTGTTTATTCTGCTTTAATCCAACTCCACTTTCTTTGTTTAGAAGGTCTGGTTTGTTTGGGGAGATGTGAAAGTGCAATCAAACTTTGATTTGGACCAAAACCTCCCCAAAAACTCTGGTCTCCCTAAAAGCCTCAATCGCCCGCAGCTAGCATTAGCGGCTAATAGGTGATGTCCAAACCAGTCATGAATATCAAGCCTCAATCTTGGAGAAATCAATGGAGAAATCCTACAACTGTTAAAATTTGACTCTACTCCATTTTTGTTTACATTCTCTGAAGAAGGAAGTTACGCTGTTCTTCTTCAGAGGTTTTGTATCAATTCCTTCAGTAGTTCTTAGTGCAGTGCCCCCGCAGGCGAAGAGACGAACACTTTTTTCAATTAGTTTGAGTTGTTTGACACAATGCAGTGTGATTGTTTCCCAGTAGAACCAGGTCTCCTGGACTATCAGGGAGGACAGAGGCAGATCTGCTTAACAATCTGTTATGGAGTTGCTTATTAGTTTCAGAACTGCTGATAACTTCATCGAGGCAAATAAAGAGACGGACCTGGCCGGAGGAAGAGGATGTATCTGCCGTTGGGATCGGGCCTCGGCAGGACCGTGAGGAAGCCCAGGTCCAGGACATGTTTGACAGTGGATGGCTTCAGGTCCTGGAAGACCTCCGGCCAGGTTTTACGGCCCGCGTGGTAATTGAGCAGCAGCTGCAGAGCGCGGTCGTAGTCGAACTTCCTGGCCCGCAGGAAGCGCAGGAGGTAGGCGTCGTCCAGTCGGGTTCTGAGATTGGGATGTTCCTGCAAAGAAAATAAATTCACTAAATAAAAAGTGCTTAGTTGAGAGACATTGCAAAAATAATTCCTACTTCTTTATTTGTTTGTTTAAAATTTGGACTCATTACAGCCACAGATTTGAATGAATTTCATAAGAATTTTTAAATGAGATTACTTTCCTTGTATTACCAAGAAAAAGTAATACATTGTTATATCTTCAAAATATCAACTCTGAGGCTTTGCACACACACAGCTGCATCTTTATAAAAATAATATCTCCACCACCAAAAATAACATCGCAAATAATATTAGAACAATTTCATCCAAATGAACCCACAAAATTCAAGATTTACTGAACAATACATTGTTCAGCAAATAACATGAAATATTGATCTCATTTTAAAATGTCATGCGATTAACTGCTTATTGTGACAAGCTTACCCCTAATGGTTGTTTTAAACATGCCAAACAAAGCTAAAAGCTGCTGAAACTGCACTTTGTTTTAAAAAAAATATTTTTAGTGATGTTAAATTGAGTTTTTATGTGGATGAAGGTCCAAAACACCCAAAGCAGTAGTTTATTTTAGGATGTTCTTTATAGCAAATATGAAGATCTCATTTTAATTCTAGATCTCTAAATAGGAAGCAGAAACACAAAGAAAAAGTCAACCACACCCTTGCTTTTCAACAGCTTATTACATCAGCTTTAGCAGAAGTAATATAAAATAAATTGGCAGATGTCTTTATATTGGATGAGCGAGTTTGAACAAAGCTTTTCTTTAATGGAAATGATCTCCCTTTAGACTCTGAGATCAAAAGGGTACTGAAAACCTTCACCTACTGACAAAAAAAAGACAAAAATCAGATGATTAAATAGAATGTTATGGTTTTGAACTAAAGATTGAAAAACAAACCCAAATAATTACACCTGAATAATAGAAAAAACAAATCTGTGCTGATTCATTTTTGTAATAGTTGGTTGTTTGCAGTATTTATTATCATAAAAGCTTAAAAGTGAGAAAACCTTAAGAATCATGTCTCTCAGTGCTTGGACATCTCGTAGGCGCCATTCGGGCTTCTCCTGGAGCTCTTCCCGTGCTTTGGCCACCAGCTCAGGGGTCAAGGTGCAGGAATACATGGGTGGAGGTGGGCCAGGGAACCAGCTGTGTCCTGCAGCTGTTACACGGTCCGCCTGGGGAGGACTGAGGCTGACGGACTCATGCTGATCGGCCATGGACTGACTGAGAGAATCTGAACAAAAACAAAGAGAGACATAAAGGAAACATCTGTGAAAACACAAAGACATAAGCAATACTACTTCCAGCTAAGCAGAATAGTTCCACTGGTTAAATAGTAAGGCAGATCTTTTTAAGTGAATCCAGATAAATTAACAGCAAAAACGGGTGATTTATTTCTAATATAACATAGACAAACATCACTTTGTGATTTATTTATCACAAGATACAATGATGGGCATTAAAATTAAAATATGGTGCGTTCAGGTGCATCGATGTTTGCATAATAAACCACTTTAGCTCTGCTGCTTTATAATTTCGGAGGTCACAGAACTGTTTCAAGCCTCTAACGCAACGATATGATCCAAATATTATTGTACTAGTTCTGCTAACCCAGAACGGACGGAACCTATAAGGCGGAATCTGGTTCAAGCAAAAACAAATATGCATACTGACCCAAAATGAGCCAAATAATTACCCCTGCAAGAGACAGCGGTCTACCTAACAAGCTCCGCCGGGAAGAAATATAAATATTAAAAGAAGAGAGGTGAAGACTTTGTAAAAAACCAGCAACTAAGGCAAAAATCACAACTGACCTGTCGGTACGAAATCCTTTTTTTTCCGGGTTTTGCAAACGGGGTTCTCCCATTGGTCCGTTTGCGTCACGTGACACTCTGCTAAATGCAGTGTCTGTTGCTCTGATGTGTTTGGAGTCTGTCGGAAACAAACTCACATAGACATTTTTATGCTTCATGCCCCTTTAAAAGCATATCTCATTGCATTTAAAAGTTAACTATACTAACTCAACATCCCATCGTCTTCTACCTGCAGATTATAGCAGATAAATATGTAAATAAAGAGCAATATGTGTGTATCCTTATGACTATCACTGCTCAGTGTTATTTATTATTGTTGTATATTTTAGTCCTTTAAGCATGAGTTTTATTAGAGTTTGAGATGTTTGGTTGTTGCAGTTGGGCAGGCGTTTAATTCAGGCCTCTCTCCAGATCAGTTAAACTGTTTCTGGCTGCAACCTTATTGTTGCAGCCTTATTGATTGTCCCAGAGATCCTAGGAGCCGGCAGGATCTCTGGGATCTGGTTGGGTCTGGTCTGCCGGGACAAACGGCTCCTCCGTCTGGGATCAGACCAAGAGCAGCCCTAAAACTGCCTAGAAATATACATAGTTCCCTCTTAGAGCTAGAGATATAGACAAAAGTCAGGGTTTTCTTCAGTGTTTTATCAGCCTGGCGGGCCTCAGGTATTGGGCCAGGGATACCTTTTGATTTCAATAACATTTTACTCAGTTACCTGTATTTTAATCCTCGTTAGAACCAGAAGAAGAGGATTTCCTCTCTCCTGTCCTGCACTCAGCAGCTTCTTTCTTAGCTGGGTTTCTGTTTCTCCATTTTTATTAGTGTCTGAGATTGATTCAGTCAGACTGCGGTACTGTCAGTAATGAGCCGAACTGGTTGGCGTGGGGAAACGTTAGCAAAATGACAAAAATGACTGCTTTAAACCTGGCATCTTATCAGGTTTGTGTTCACTGTTGAGAGCATTTTAAACTTGACATTTTTAGAATCTGTCTATGACACTAGCACTTTTTGACCACCAGTCAATAATTTCTGAATTTAAAAATTGTTTTGTCCTATTTTAGGTGTTTCTCGAGATACTACCCAAAAATACTTTTGCGTCATGTTTGCCAATGGCTTGGCTTAAGTTGTTCCACCTCACCATGTTATCATACTGGTGATCACTGATCATAACCAATTAAAATAGCACGTAAGAGTTTATTATAAAATAATACAAAACCTACAGACCAGATTATTTAAATTTTCTGATAAAACTCTTGAATTGTACAACTTGTTAGCATATAGGACAAAAATGTGAAATGACTTGTTTGCATGCTATCTACAGCAAAGTGAAAGAGCTTTTTTTTAAGTTTTCATGTTTGTTTTATGCCTTTACTGTATTTTGGAGATATAAAATCAGAATACAGCCTCGGCAGATTAGCTTTTTATTTCTCACTGGCATGTATAAATTTATCTTTGAAGTTGCTGTTGGTGCTATCTGTAATGATTTTATGACACTTTATCTGTTTATCAGTGACCAAGCATGACTGCCACGTTGGAAGCCATGTCCCCCCCCTCAGTAAACGCTTCGTTTATGACCTCAGCAAATAAAAATAATCAGCAGGGAATGTGATGTAAAAATAGACGATAAGATTTATTCAGTCATTTTCACATTGTAAGGTAAACCTTTCCTGGTTTGTAAGGCAGTACGGGTTACAAGGCACATTTCATCAGTGACAAAAACTAAACAAAAATACAATACATATATATATTTATATATGTATATATATTTACTTTTTTTCTGTTTTTTGTAAAACAAACACAAAACATCGTAGGGAAACTGCGTGCCAAGCTTGGTCATCTCGGGTCTAAATTTACAAAATCCTCTTTCGATTTCTCTCGTGAATATGCATGTAGCAGTGCATAAATTAAAAAAATATATTTTTAAAGAAACCTAAAAGGGCTGTCCTTCAGCTTCTTATTTATCACCAATAAACAGAACCATGCTACATTAAATGTATAAAAATGTAAGGCTTGTTGTAACATTCGTAAAATACTCGCATGATCACGTTGCTGCATAAAACATGAGCCTCGCTGAACTGCAATATCATAATCTTACCAAGTTTTTTTGTCAGTTTTTATTTAAAATATCTTACTGCACTTGAAATAAGACAAAACTAACTAAACATATTGAAAAGAACTTGTTTTGATTCAGTAATTCTTGAATATTGATGTAGAATACTGGCTCCACTAGCAGATTATTTCACAGGAAAAATGTTCTGTTGTAAATAAAATAATCAGCTAGTAGAAGAAATTTTGCTGAAAAGTTACTTCTAAGTTATCTTGTCTCACTTCAAGTGTGCTAAGATATTTGTACTAAAAATTAAACCAAAAGTACTTGGTAAGATTTAGTTTTTTTGCTGTGAACTATTATAATTACTAATTGGAAAATCATTAGCAGCAAAAACACCAAATCTCAAAGTATTTCTGATTTGTTTTCTAGTGCAAATATCTTAGCTTTGTTTTATTTCAAGTGTATTAACTTCAATGCAACTTTTCTGCAAGATATAAAAGCTTGTTTTAAATCAATAATTCCTTAATATTGATAAAAATTCAGTTTCACTGGCGTATTATTTCACTTGAAAATGTATTTTTAGAAGTTAGAAAAACCTTCTTAGTTGAACTAATACTTTTTCATCAATACTTAGGAATTGACTTAGAACAAACTCCTAAAAGATTACGTTTAAGTTTTTAAGTATGATAAGATGTTTGCACTAAAAGTAGCTAAAATACTTGGTAAGATTCAGTGTTTTTGCGCAATGTTACCTGATAACGAGGAACGTTTACAGCAGTGGAAAATTACGTTGCAGGTAGATTTATGAGCCGTGGAGCTCAACCGCAGCTGCGTTTTATATACAAATATGTCCCTGAAGGCTATTTATAAGGAGCTTGAAATTACATTACATTTATTTAGCAACTTTGAATTTGACAGCATGTTAATGCAGACTGTATGAACTTTTCACAATATAAAAAAACAGAAAGAAGAAGGATTCAAGCTTTTGTTATATGGCCTCTTGCTTTGTGATGGTCGGCTGAGGGATGGAGGTCGGCTGCTTGGGCACCGTCGCTATGACGCCCTGGGGTATTTTGTAATGTTCTGATCCAGAGGCGGTGGGCGGGGACGGGATCGGGGTTTCAGGAGTGGCTGGAAAATGAAATACGAAATGGACGGTTAGAGCCAGAACTGCACGGAAAGTGGAAACGTCTCAGCGCAGTTTCTTCCTGCTCCACATCTGAGCGACAAGAAAGAGGCAATGAGTCTGAATTTTATTATTTTTATTAAATATTATAATAGTTCTATTTTACTAATATAGATCTTGCACAGTTAAGCAAAATCATGTAAAAATCCTTAAATGCTTGTTTCAGAACAGATTGCTTAATATGGAAGAGGATTACAGCCATTAATCTGACTTTAATCCCATAATTTGGAGCTTTTTCCCTTAGAATTTTGACTTTAATCTTTTAAATCTCAAAGTCACAGTTTGGAATATTTAAGACAGAATTCTGAGATTAAAATCAAAATTCTGAGAAAAACTAAATAATTTTTTCCCCTGGTGGCCCTAATCTTCCATATCTACAAAAGCATTTATGCAACTTAAAATAGGTTACATTTCAACACAGTGCAACTGTAGGAAGTACTGCATAATTAAGAAGTGAGATAAAAAGGATATACATTTTCTTGTTCTGTATTTTTTTAAAGTAAAAATCTTAACTGTGGCATTCAACAACAGCAGCAAGTCTATCTCCAATAGCTTTACAAATCTAAACACTGTCTGTTTTTCAATATTCTTCATTGCAAAATAGTTGAATTTGGTCTGTCACAGACTGAACTTATCAACTCCTTTGTATTGTGTTTTATATTTACGGTAATTGTCATGCACTGGAAGGTCAAATAACGTTCATATTAAAGTTGTCATATCAATTGCAAGTGCATACTTCGGTAGAGGTTACAATTCCTGAATTAATTTTCATAAACTTACAGATTTGACCATTGTGGATTGGCGTTGGCATGTTGCTGGTCACTATGACGTTGCTACTGAGATGCTCCTGGACCAGATGAGGGTGCAGAGAGTGCGGCGCATGTGGAGCTTCGTTAGCCGAACCTTAGAGAATTTGATTAGATTTATAGTTATTATACAGCAAGTAGTCCAATGAAATGAACAGTACAGCCCTTCTTAGGGCATTTATTAACAATCTAACAAAACACATAAGATGACAGTGTGATCTGGGGAGAGGGAAGAATCTGCAACATTAATAAATTGATGATATACAATTAAGAGGAAAAAGACATTTTGCTTCAAAACTTAGAGAATTCAGGTTTGCTTTGTACAAAAACATATCAGGGCCATTGAAGATAGAAGTGGGGGAGAAAAGGAGTAAATTAACTGATATTAATCAAAATTGTTCCAAAACAATCTCGGACATTTCTGAGTTTGAAAAGTTAAACATTCCCTAGAAAAGAAACTTGGAAACTTTGAGGTAAATCTGAGAAATTTTCGGAAAAAAACCCCCAAAACAAACAAACCAAAATAAATAAATAAATAAATAAGTAATAATAATAATAATAATAATAATATAATAATAATAATAATAATAATAATAATAAAATCTGAGCTTGATTGTCAAATTTGCTACAAGAAGTCAGAAATTCTGAGATTAACTTAAGAAATTATCTAAAAGAAATTTGAGTTTCAAAAGTTTGATAGAAAAATCTGAAATTTTGAGATTAAAATTTCTGAGCTTGAAAAGTCAAAACATTGCTGGAAAAGAGTCAAATTTTGTGATTAATCTTAAAAATTTTCTAGAAAAGAGTTTCTGAGAGCTCTTACCTCCAAGAAGCATTTCTTGCAGCAGATTGTCAATCTTGGCCATGCCAAAGAGTTTTACAAACTGGATCTGCTCGATCATCTGCCAGGTGATGCTCTGTAGCGTCGGCAGGAGCAAGAGGAGTTCCCCGAAGCGGCCCCGGGAGTCGTACTGCCGGTCGTTGATGTAGTCCTCCAGGCTGACCTGGACCTGGTACCGCATCCGCTTGATCTTCCCTGGGTCACTCAGGCCTTTTGCATCTGAAGACAAAGAAAAATACAAAAACAGGAAGTTTTGAGCTGCATCTCTGTGCAGATGAATGTCAAGTTCATGCATAAATGGCAAAATCTTAAGGATTTTTCTTTAAATGTAATTTAGGGCAAATATTTTATATTAAATGAGATAAATCTAACTTGCAATCTACTTGTTTAAGTAAACAAGTAAAAAATAAAAAAAAAATCTTAATACTGATATTAGTTCTCCTTACAAATTCTTTCACTTATAACATAAAGTTTTTTTTTCAAGATTGAGGAATTATCTCAAGTTCCTATGTCTTGCAGCAAAGTTACTTATAAATTAGTGTTTTTCTATTTCAAGTGTACAAAGATATTTACTCTTGAAACTAGACCAAAACTACTGATTTTGTGTTTTTGCACTATATCTGGTCGAGTTCCTAGTGAAAATGTCTAAAGCTTAAAATAGAACAAAACTAACTTACAAGTAATGTTTCAGCAAGATGTTGGAGCTTGTTTTGAGTTAATCATTTCTCAATATTGATTAAAAATTATTACACTTGCAATATAGAAAAATTGTCTGGTTAAAGTGTAATAAACTGCCAGCATAACTTGTATCTTTTTCATCAATATTAAGAATTTCTTTTACCTAAACAAAGAAATATGAGCTTGTTTTAACTCTAAGTTTTCAATATTGATAATATTCTACTTCCACTTGCAGATTATTCCACTTAAGACATTTTTCTAGGTTTTATTTTAAATAGTCTATCACTGTATCACATACTTTTTCATCAACATTCAAGAATTACTAAATTAAAGCAAACTGCTATATTTTTCTGGAAAGATATCTGAATTAGTTTTGTCGTATTTCAAGTGCACTAAGATATTTGCACTAAACCACAAACAGAAACACTTGGAAAGACTTTGTGTTTTTGTCTGTTTGAATTCAAAGAGGATTTTGAAAATCCAGACACACCTGGATCGAAGAAAACGATGGCCTTCAGGCAGGCGTATTCGTTGTCGTCTATCTGGAGCTCTTGAAAGGGAAGCACCAGCTCATCCAGAATCCTCACTGCTACCCTTCCCACCTCCAACTCTGGACAGTTTCTGGGAATAATGTGATCATTTCCTGCAAATAAAGCATGTTTTCATCAAATTCCAGAACCTACTGAGGATATAACGTTATGATTTGTGCCTGTTTTACCTAATAAGAGGATGTCTTTGTAGAGCATGGACCTCTTGGCCGCACCAAGCAACAGATGCTCTCCTGCATGAGCTCGCAGCAGCGCCACCTAGAATAAAGTTAAGTTAAATCAGTTAACGGTGTTTCTGGAGGTTTTAGGAATGCATCCGTTCCTGAAGGTCTCTCACAAACAGACCCATCCTCTCTCCATCAGCAAATGAGTTACTAAGACCCGGTGATCACACTGTTAATGATTGTGGACGTTTTTGGAGGAGGGATGTGACTTTAAAAACCAAAGTCATCATATTGTAACTGGGGATTAAAACACATTAACTATTCTGGTTGAAAAGTTGAAGAGGTTTGTTGAGAAGAGGTTTGCTTTTTCTTGGACATTTGTCTTGTACTCGTTTTTCCCACACTGATAAAACACAAAATCAAATATTTTGGGTCAAGTTTCTCCTGCAAATATCTTAAAGACTTTAAATAAAACAACTAATTTGAAAGTAAGTATTCAGTAAGATATAGGCATTGTTTTGAGCAAATAATTTCTTAAGTTTATCAACCTGTTGGCTCATATCTACAGGCGCCTTATATTGGCTTGTAATCTGTTCTTCCTCCATAAAATCCCAGTTGGTGCACTGCAAAAACAATATCTTACCAACTATTATTACCTAGTGTGTAGAGCAAATATCTTGGTACACCTTAAATAAGACGAAACTAACTTGGAAGAAGCTTTTCAGCAAGACATTGTTTTAAGTTAGAAATTCCTTTATATCGATTAAAAGAATTATATTTCATTTATAATATGGGACAGATGTCTCGTTATAAGTGAAACCATCTGCCTGTTGAAATAGTACTTTTCAAAATTAATATTAAGGATTTATTTACTGAAAATAATCAGTATCTTGCTGAAACGTTGCTACTTAGATATTTACAATTGAATGCAAATGCAGTAAATTTTTGCCAAAGCACTGAAATGTTTCTAGATTAAACTCAGAAACTTTCTAGATTAAACACAAGATAAGTTGTTTTTTTTCTGTAGCAAACTTTTAACTTTTTGATCTCAAACTTTCAAATATTTTCTTGATAAAATCTGAGATTACTCTCAAATCATATTTTTTTTAGCAATTTTTCAACTTTACTAAAAAATAAAAAAAAAACTAGAAGAAAAACTCAAATTAAGCTCACAATTTTTGACTTGTGGAGCTCTGAAATGTCCATGTTTTTCTAGAAAAATTCGGTTTCTTGATGGAAATGTACTTCTTATTTTTTCCCATCCGCAATGGTCCTAATATGCCCTCATAGATATTCACACTAGACACTAGACCCAAAATTCTTGCTAAGACGTCATGTTTTGCAGTGCACTAAACAGGGTTTTATTGAGGAAGAAGAGATTACAGCCAATAGAAAAGTCTTCTAGGTTGCAGATGTGAGCTTACTGGTTGATAAGTGACCACACTGGCTGAACTCTGCTTGTGACTGAGCCTCACCTGGTCGTCCAGGGGAAGGTCGCAGAAAGCTGGGATGTACTTAGCCCACTCCACCAGAACCAGCAGCTGCTGCTTCATGGACTCACAGACGTCCGTGATGGTGGCAATCTTTTTGGTCCTTATGTCACCGTTCAGTATGGGCGCAGGCGACGTGATCTGCACCGAGACACACAGATTCATCACCGATTGTCATTGACAGTCGGGTGTTGGGTTTATGCTGGGAGTTACCAATGGTCATTAACAGTCGGGTGTTGGGTTTATGCTGGGAGTTACCTGTCTTGATAGAACGTCTGCCTGGATGAGTGCGTTGATAGACGGGAGACTGCTGTCTTCATAGCTGGACCGCCTGGTGCTGATTCTGTCTCTCTCGTTCTGTACAGCTAAAGGAAAACACAGATTTGTACGGTTAAAATAGAACAGAGTGCTTTGGGTTTGTAGATGCACTGCAAAAGGACAGAAAATCTAAGTATTCTTGTCTAGTTTCTAGAGCAAATATTGTGGTACTGTTACAGCCCTGGGCCTTGTGGGCTGGGTTGCAGGTGCTTTTGTCTGTCTGTGTTCTCCTCCCCTTTGCAGGTGTTGATGGTCCGTTGATTTGGAGCACAGAGTATTTAAGCCAGGCTGTCTCCACCTTCCTGGTCGCCTTCGGCATCCACTCTGCCGCATGATGCTTGTGGTTCTCTGCTGTCGGCCTCAACTCCCTTCCTTTTGCACATTTGAGTTTGTCTTTGTTTTTGCACTTCAACACTTCCATATGCGCTCCTATACCACATCCAAGCATTTGCACTACTCTACTGATACCAACATTCACAATCCATTTTTGGCTTTGTTAATAAATATTTCTTTTTATACCACTGCATGGTCTCCCGTTTTTGTTATGACCTTGAGCCAGTCGTAACAGTACGCTTGAAATAAGATGAAACCAACTTTTCAGCAAGACGTGGCAGTTTGTGTTAGGTAAATAATTCCTTAACATTGATGACAACGTACTAGTTTCACTGCAAATTATTTAATCTATAAAGTGGGAAAATGTCTTGTGGAATAATCTGCCAGTGCAAAATGATCCTTTTGACTTACATGTTGTATTTAGGCTGCAGCCAACAATTATTTTAGAAATCTATTATTCTGACGATGAATCGGTTTACAATCCTGTAGTGAATCTGAACCGGGTGAAGCTAAAATAAAATGCCACTTGAGAAGTTTTAGTTAAAACCTATTAACACACAAAGGTGTTTTATCTTAAATGCAAAATGTATAGCATACATTTTATACAGTTTTGGCTTAATTACTGCTCAAATGGACTTTTATAGAGTGTATATTCCAATTAATTGATCAATAAAGTAATTAGTTGACAATTATTTCAATAATTGATTTTTCACCCCTAGCTGCATTATTTTAAAGACTTAATGAATTTTGGAAGCTTGACCATATGGCAACATTTTAAAATGAACTCTGACAGTAACCAGAAAAAGCTAGAGATAACACACATGTGATGTTTCCTCATAAATTTTCCAGTTTGGAGTCTCACTGCGGAGGCTTAAGGAGCTTTTTGTTAAGACAGATAGCAAAAATTTAAATAGGTAAAAATAAAAGTGTCATCAGTTGCTTCTAAGTCAAAGTTGTACAGCAAATATAAAATTTGACACTTATGTTTATCAGCTGTAGTTAATTGGGTGAAATATTCCGGCTCATATTCTGGCTTTTCAGGGTATAACTGAAAGAAACCAACATTTACCCATTTCTAAATATTCGACAAACAAAGCTGGAGTTTTGAAAATTGTGTAATGTGAAGTTCCTATAGAAAAATACACCAGGCTTTCTTGTGTCTCATTAATTTAATTACAATAATATGGCCTAATAGGGATTAATATACACTGTAAAAACAGAATCTTCAAATATTCTTTGTCTTGTTTCTACTGCAAACATTTTGGTAGATGTAGGAGCTTTTTTAGGTCAATAATTTATTTATCTTGATTAAAAAGTACCAGTTGCACAGGCAATGTTTTCAATAACAAGTAATGTTTTCAATGTTAAGCAAGATAAGTTAAAGTAGCACTTTATCAAAATTGAGGGATTATTGACTTGAAACAATATTTTTGCTAACAAGTTACTTGTAAGTTCATTTTGTCTTATTTAAAGTGTACAAAGATATTTGTACTAGAAAGTAGACAAAAATACTTGGTAAGATTCTGTGTTTTTGCAGTGTACAGCTGAGAGAGATGTCTTTTCTGAGTGAAAAGGCTTCATGATGTGGATTTTCACCAGATTGTGAAGGCTGTGGCTCATCAAAAAGTTGTTGGTTTAATTTCAGACTCATATTGGTGACGTAATGTGGCTCAAAGTGCCTTGAGGGGTCAGTATGGCTAGAAAAGTATTGGATCAGTTCACTCTGTTTCTTGGAGTTTAGTATCAAAGCCAGAGGTAATGGACAATAAAACTGGGGCTGTCAATTCTCTTGTTTGTCTTTTCACACCCTGAGGAGTTCAGCTTCAGTGCTGGGTGTTTTTCAAAGTCTTCACTGAAATAAAAAAAATGCAATGTGCTTCACAAAAAACACTAAATCTTTCCAAGTATTTTCAGTCTAGTTTCTAGTGCAAATCGCACATTTGCAATAAGATAAAACTACCTTTACATGTAACTTTTCAGGAAAATATGGAAGCTTGTTTAAAAGTCAATAATTCCTTAATATTGACAAATAAATACTGGTTACTTTGGCAGGTCATTTGACTTCTGACACATGACCAAAATGTCTTGTTATAAGTGAATTATTGACAATAGTTCCTTAAGTCAATAAAGTCTTGACTTAAAACAAGCACCTATATCTTGTTAAAAAGTTGCTTATCAGTTAGTTTGGTCTTTTTGAAGATATTTGCACTAGAAACTAAACTACTTAGATAAGCTTGAAAAGATTTTGTGTTTTTGCTGTGTAATCTGGATTTGGTGAATATGTGGTCTTCTTTAAGCACAAGATCCTGTTTAGAACTGATTTTCTTTTCTTGCACTCAGGTTGAGATAAAACTGGCAGAAATAAACGGAAGTGTTGATTTGTTTTTTTTCTCTCAGGTTGAATGTGGAGACACCGCAAAGAAAAATGAGTCTTCGGAGGTTATTATGTTTATCAGTATATGGCCATTATTGCCTGGAAATGTTTGCTCAGCATAAGCTGGTCAGAGACTCCACTGCTCTGCAGAGTGAACATTAACAAATCCGTACTCTCTTGGGTGTTGCAACACCCAGAGACAAGTCGGATCAATTCTGCAGAGACTGCTCTGATTTGCTGATTCTGACGGAAATTTTGTTTTTGATTTGCTTCTGTTTGGTCAGACGCAAGATTTCGTCATCTGCAGGATGTTTTTAAGCGGTCATACCTTCCTTCTTCATGCCAGCTCTGAAGCATTTCTTCAATCTGCAGTATCTGCATTGGTTTCTCTTGTCTTTGTCTACAATGCACTGTCTGTTAAACCTGTAAAACAGACATTTGTTTGGGTTTTGCTAGTGAAGCCTGAGTTTCAAACGCAACATTAATGTTTCTCCAATTTCACCATTCTCACCTGCAAGAGTACATGTGGTTCTTGCGGACGCTGCGCCTGAAGAAGCCCTTGCAGCCATCGCAGCTGGACGCCCCGTAGTGCTTCCCCGTTGCTCTGTCACCACATATGGCGCACAAGCTGCCTGCTGCCAGGTGGCCCGTGGCGTTCATGTTAGCACTTTCAGCCGGCGAGGAATCTAAGACAGACAGAAAACTTGCGTCATTATCTTTTGGACATATTCTGTAACAGGGTGACCTGATGCCAAAAAACTGTGGAAATATGTTTGCTGCAAAAACTCCAAATCTTGCCAAGTATTTTTTGTGCAGTTTCTGGTGAAGTGCATTGGAAATAAGACAAAACTAACCATTTAGCAAGCTATAGGAGCTTGTTTTAGGTAAGTCATTTGTTATAATTCCTTAAAAGTTCATCAAGGAATTAAATTTCATCAATATCAAAGAGTTATTGACATAAAACAAGCGTCCATTTCTAGTTTTCTCTTATTTAAAGTGTTCCAAGATGTTTACACCAGGAACTAGAACAAAAATACTTGGAAGGATTTGGTCTTGTTTGCATTGTTTGATCACCATTGTTATTTAAAAGTCATAAAAGGCCAGTCAAAAAGAAAAACCCATTGGCTCCACAGTTTCTAATCAAAAACAACAATCCAGAGCGCCTGGGAGTCTTTTACCTTCCCGAGTGATTCAGTTAGTCAACAGAAGATAATTGATGTTGGTTTGATTTCCTCTGAGGAGATAATCACTGGAGACAGTTTTCTCCTTAGCTACAGTCACAGTCATGAGGCAAAATCAATCAGTGAGAAGCTATGTTGAAATCTTTAGTGTAGAGAAAAACATTTTCATAAAAAGTTGCCCTATTGGTTTCAGTTTCTTGTTTTTAACTCTCTTTGGAAATTTTGGAATCAGGATCCAAGCCTGTTGTCATGGGAGACTGCTTGTACAAATAGGTCCGTGTCAGTTTGAGGACGAATTGAAGAACTTCATCCCTTTCTCTCCAGCTTCAACAGTGTGGGAACAGACGGTTTGTAACAAGAGAAGGGCGATCGTGATACTCCGGCTACTGCTTCATCTCAGGGTGAATATCAATCCGACGTTACGGGAGTCACACCAAGTCACGGTGCAAGCTGGAACAGGTCAGAGCCACTTGCATAGCCCTAATCTCCGTGTGCTTTAGGAGTATGGAGATCTCATAAAAGCAAAGCTCTTAATGTTTTACTATCGCACCCCGAGGTGATAAAAGAGCACCGCTGCAACAGGGTCATCCCATGCGAGTGCAGGGGGCAGATGGACAAATGACCCCGCATTATCACCTCCTGCCAAAACTCGCCTCTGAACAAAGTTTTAAATCAGTAAAAGTTTCAAAGTTCAATGCCAGAGCTGCATATATGAGACTCACCTGCACCCAAGGGGAGCACTTGCATGTTTTCAAACTCCAGCGTGGTGTAGGCCGGGTCCAGAGCCTCGCTGTAGTCTGCCATGTCCATGTCTACCACCGGTTTGGGCAAAGGGAGTCTCAACTACCTGACAGTGGGGCAGAAAGACTTGTCCAAGAAACTAATGCCCCCCTCCTCCTTTCTTTTCTCACACCTCTAATTTTGCCCCCTCCCTTGGAGGCTTTAGGCCTAGCCCCGCCTAGAGTCAGAACCAGTCTTAGTCCTGGCTTGGCGTGATGAAGACCCGCTGCTGTCAGAACGGAGAGCAGAGACTGGAAGCAGTCCTGCCAACCATCGGAGAGGTGGAGTGACTCCGGTTGATGGTTAACTAAACGCTCTAGAGGTGAATCACAGGGTTGCCTCTTTTTTTCCTTTTTTTTTAAGCAGAGATAGTACAACTTCAATATCAGCCACCTCTGCATAATTTTCCTTTAGAAGTGGGATAAACAATCTCTTTATGGTGTAAAATCATGCCAAGTGCTTTTGTCTCGATTCTAGTGCAAACGACATAGTTTTTTTTTTTTTCAGGAGCAGCGACTTACAATTTGCTTTTCACTGCAAAAACACAAAATCTCACCAAGTATTTTTGGTCCAGTTTCGAGAGCAAATATCTTGGTACACTTGAAATAAGATGAAACTAACTTTTCAGCATGTGTAGTTTTGTTTTAAGTAAATATTTCCTTAATACTGTGTGAAAATGTACAAGTTAATAATGAAATAATGATTTCATTATTAAGACATTTCCCCCATGTCATTAGTGCAATTATCAGCCAGTAGAACTGGATGTTTTCCTCAATATAAAGAAATTATTGACTGAAAACAAGCTATATTGAGCTGAAAATTTACTTCTGTTTGTGTTGTCAGTGTTTGTGTTCAAGTGTACAAAGATATTTGCACTATCGGGGGAGAACGAACGTAAGACTGGGGGGAACAATACGGGATATTTACGGCACATTCATTCATCACACTCAGAAATTAATCTGCAGCCATGTACCGCCATGGTGCGCTCCTCCACCTGTTTGTTCAGACTGGGATGAAATGCAATTTATTGTGCAGTTCGTCCATAAAGCTACATTTACACTGTAAGCATCAGCTAATCGGCCGCGTTCAGTCTATCCACTGACGTGTATAAATACTCCTGCAGACTCTTCATGCGACTACATACTATCTTAGGTTTGTATCTTGTAAGACAAAACTTGCAAGTAATTTTTCTGCAATAAATAGGAGCATTTTAAAAAAAAAGTCTTAATGTTGAGGAGAAAATACTAGTTTATTTGGCAGATTATTTCACGCATTAAATATATTTTTCACATGTTATAAGAGAAATAATCTGCCAGTGAAACTAACAAAATAGTAGAAATGCAAAAAGAGATGCAAATAAGAAAATAAATAAAATCCTTAAAGATAAAAAAAACATCTTATTGCACAAAAATGTAATAACATTGCAGTTCTTTAGTGTAGAGTTGATCATTTGTAGCAAAAGATGCATCTGCAGCTAAAATAAATACTGTCAATTATAATCTGATGATTGTTTCTTGGATTAATAATTGGGTAGCAAAAACCAACATTGCAGCAGCACATGCAAATGTGATACAGATCCAGTTTTGCTGGGAACCATATCAAGTTTTTCTTCATTCAATTTGAACTTTTATGAAAATACCTCAAAATTAGCTTTTCAAAATTTTTTTTTTTACAGTTCTGGTTTAATCACTGCACTGACAATGTTGTTGAAATTTTTAAAGTTTATATAATCCAATTAATGATTAACCGATTATTAAATTACATAAAGATTATTTCAATAATCGATGAATCATGATTAATTGTTTTAGCCTTAACATGAGGCTGTCCTCTTTCCTATAAGAAAAATGTACTTCATTTTATTTGAAAATGGTCTTTTAGCTTGATAAAATGCAATATTACTCTTATTTCTGGCTAATTAAGTGGATTTATTGTAATTATGTTGCACTGCAACTAACTAAAAGGAGCTCAGTCTTGAGTTCATTCTGTCATAATTAACTGGGGTAATTACTCTCCCTGCAGGAAAAGTGACGCCTTTGTGTAAAAGCTTTTTGTTTGTGAAAGTACAAGTTACACGTGAGCTTGATCCAAATGACCTGAATTTTTTGTAAATGCAGTTGATTCTCTGTGAAACATGCAGTCCTGACTGATTAACAGATTTATAAAATTCCCCCCAGAATGCTGAAAAAAGGTAATATTTATTTCACATTTATGCAAAAATAAATCCTCTACCTGAAACTAATCAAGGAAACAACAAAAACAAAGTTGTGTGTTTTTTTTCTTTGTTTGTTTAAATAGTGAGTTCAAACTGTTGAGGAAGGATTCACAAAAAGTCAAAATTTAATGAACAAAAAGGCAACCTGGTTTCTAGCAAAACTGAATCAGAGTTGCATGTGCTAGTTTTTAAATTTCAAAATAATTTATTTTATTTGAAATGAACTAGTTTAGTTCAGATTTTTGTCTATGGATACAATTTTAATTCAGTTAAAGAAAAGTCAACGAGGCTTATTCGCAAATTTATAATCAATTTGTTGCAATCATACGGAGATATTAGAAGCTGATTAACATTAATTAAATTTCGATCCAAGGGAAAACTCTGCAGTCACAATGGTTGAAAGTATATCCAAAAACATTTACTCAAAATCTCTCAAAACTCTTTACATTCCAGTTAAAATGTCTTAATTTTGCAATATAAAAATAATACAATATCAAAAAATGTTCAACCGTAATTTGACATATTATATACTTTAGGGTATATAATACACTATCCTGACTTGTTTCTTGGTACCACAAAGGTATCAGTCAGAAAAGAGGTAAAAAAAAAAATTGCAGAGAATTTTTGCATCTCAGCCTTTTTGCTTCCATGATAGAGGAAAATATGCACATTAAAGAAGATTATACTTTAAATGAAGCACAGTGGAGGTGGCAGCATGCTGTGGAGTCATTATTATTCAAATTTATGCATTTGTTTTTTTATGGAGATTAGGTAGTGAACTGTTTTTCCGTCCATTTGATGTCCAGACCCTCTCATTCTTGCAACAAGACACAAAAGCAAACAGCCATACATTCTTTAGAGAGACCAGCAGAGCAAATGGGAGAAACTGCAAACCCCAAGTCAGGATTCGACAACCACAACCTTCTTGCTTCAAAGCAACAGTGATACCATCATGGAGAATGGTGCAGAATTTTCTTCAGAATTCTGACTTTTCTCTTCTGAGATGAAAAGTCAAAATTCTGAGAAAAAGTATGAATTTTGAGATCAGTCAGAATTCAGATTTTCTTTTTAATTCTGAGTTTTGATCTTAGAAGAATAAAGATAAAATGGTAACAGTTTATTTGACGGGTGTGCATAAGACTGACGTCATTGTCATAAACATGGCATAACAACAATCATGAACATGAAGGAGTCTTTATGACTCCTTCATGTTCATGATTGTGAACATGAAGTTCAAGTGTACAAAGATATTTATGAAATCATGACTCTTGTCATGATTTCATAAATAATGACAATTTAATGCAAAGTTGGCACTTTTAATGGAGTTTCTATTCAACTTTTAGGGTTTCCATTAAAAGCATCATTATTTACCAAATGACACTTCATGACAACAGTCAGACATTCATAAAGACTCCTTCATGTTCATAAGATGTTGTGTCATGTTTATAACAGTATCATGCCAGCCTTGTGCACACCATATCAAATAAAGTGTCACCATTAAAATTATGAGAAAGTCAGAATTTTGAGATTAAAGTCAGACTTAACTTTTTTAAGAATTAAATTTTGATCATAGAAGATTACAGATTTCCTCACAATTTGCTAGAAAAAATCTAAATATTGAAAAAGAAGTCAAAATTCTGAGAAAAATGGGGACAAATTTTTGATTACTTAGAATCCTGTTTTATTTTAGGATTCTGACTTTGCTCAATTTTGAGTTTTAATTTCAGAAGATCAAAGTCAAAATTCTGACAACAAAAATCAGAATTTTGAGATTATCCTCAATATTCTGATGAGAAAAAAAGGCTGAATCCTGAGATTAGGGCTGTTGTAAACAAATATTTTAGTAATCGAGTAATCTATCGATTATTTTTACGAATAATCGGATAAAAAAAATTAAAAATAAAATAAAATATTGGTAATTCTGGCATAAGCCTGGTGTTACTATCGGATATCAATATCAGTCCAGTTTTTCATTTTTGAGCATCCCTAACTTTTTTGTAGTTTAGAAAACTAACCTGTAACAATAATAGCTCACTTTCTAAGTTAACCTGAGAAAAAAGTTATATAAAGATCTGAAATTCTATTCAATTTAATAATAACGAGGCAGGCTCACAAATATGCTTATAGAAAATGTTTAAAATCCAGCTTTTAGTTTATGTATTTATCTTCAGTCAGTTTAAGAGATGAATTCTCACCTTGGCCCATACCTGTCAAGCTTTATAGGTTTTAGAAAATGGGAAATGTCGCCTGAGTGGGGCGTGGGGCAGGCGAGCAAACGAACCTCAAATGGGGATGGAGAGGAGGAAATGGACCAAGGGACAGGATGAACTTAAGGCTGGTGGGAAAAGACGACCAGTAGACCAGAGGATGAACGTAAGACCGGGGGGTAGTAACGAAAAATCGAGGTGCTTGAATCATTCGAGGGATTGTTTCAGCCCTACTTGAGATTAAAATCAAAATTCAGATTTTGCTGTTTTTTCTAGCATCACTTGGATCTGAGCATATTTGAATTGTTGGGAACATACATTGCATAAAAAGACACGTGATACCTACTGTAGCTGCAAAAAACCCTCATAAAATCACTAAGTGAATGTTTTGGAACCTGGAGTTGGCAGACTTTTCCTGGAAAACATGTAAAAGGCTTTTTACATACGACTTTTTCCACACAATACCATAAATCGGACTGTTTTGCAAAGTGACCGCCTCTTCCATGCCTCAAAACAAACAGTAGTCTTGTATTTGAAGAGAAAGTGCCAGCACACACCAACAGGTCAATGATCGTAGGTTCACCCAGACCTGTGAGGCTGTTTAAGCCCCATAGAGGATGACTTGTTAACCATGCCCTTAAATTACGCTGAAATCTCATAAACATATCTTTCTCTTTCCTGCAAGCAAACATAGTAACATTCCTTCAGGGCTGTTCATGATTCTGACATGATTTGATTAAATATTGACAAACGCCACCCTTAGAGTAATCCACTCAAGAAGAAAATGGGATTTGGTATGGAAGAAACTCCCCTTCTTCCCTTTTGTGGCATCACTGGTTTAGATTAAAGACCTTTACAGAAAGAAGAGCATGAAGCAATGGAAACACCCAAGATTAACAAACAGATTATTAGCCTGGTCAGCGTGTGTCGGCCGCAACTCGATCAGAGCGTACTGTTTCGCTTGCGTGTACAGGGGTCATCGGTTACAACACCGCTCCGCGTTCGATCCGTGCTGCTCTTCTGCTCTGGTCATATTTGTTCAAGAAGTGTGCTGATTATTTCAAAGCAGGGAGCGCGTGATGGCGGCGAGGGAGATGCAGGAATCACTGTGCTGCTATGAATGAGTCACTCACTGCAAATCTTATCTTCCGAGTCATTAAAGTGCTTTTATCACTGCTCCCATCTTAAAGTTCAGCAAAGTCCTCAAGGAACAGTCATATACTGAACTATAAAGTATAGTCTGTAAGGTTACAGCTTTCTGAATCGTAAACTGACAAGCTGTTCTCATGGGTTTGATAAAGCTGCTAAAAAAAAATCTCTGACTTATCTGAATTTTGCTTTGGAGGCTTTTGTTTCAACAATGAAAACCTGATTTCTAAATTTTAAAAATGTGTGCAATAGATAGATTTTTCATTGTAGTTTTGTTTTATTTTGCTGACTTTTTGTCTAATTCAGTTAGTTTTCAATTAGTTTTTACTGTTTTTTTTTCAATATTTACTTTTATGTTTTCAGACCTGGTGCAAGAGACAAGCGAAACATAAACAAATAAATGAAATAAAAAATAAAACAGGCAAAGAAGTGCACAAAAGAGGGGGAAAAATAATAAAATTTGTTCATTCTTTGGTTGATTTTAGATGCAGAATTCAAAAAGCATTGCATTATACATCAGCAATTAAATTTTATTTTTGTAGCACATTTCAGCAGCAATTCAGCTCAAAGTGAAAAACACAAAAATCAACGAGTGAATTATTACATTTTTCAAGTGCCAGCACTACCTTTTGGTCAGTGTTTCATTTATTACGGTACAAAAGCAACTAAACAGATGGTTTAAGTCTAGAATTAAAGGTTTACATCGATTGGGTGACTCGATTATTGTTGAACAACTGACTGGCGTTTCCTTTCAATTTTTCCTGTCGCCATTTTGAGGACCAACATAAACACCACCAATTGAATCTGTCGACATCTGACGTAAACTGTTTGTATTTGGGCGCAAACAAAATAAATTTCGCATCAGTTTGAAAGGCCAATAAATAGAATTATTAACACAAATACGCAGAATATGACATCTATAACTTCAGCATGTTTTAGTTATATAAATGCACAAAATTGTTCCAGTTGTATTTACTCCATTAATTATTTTATTTGTCAGTTATCAAAAGTTTTTCTAAATTTGTTTTTCTGTTTTAATCAACTATGAAAACCTTGAATTACAGACTAACTTGAGTAAAACGCTGTGTTTTTTCCACAGATAACTTCTAAACACCCTCAATTTTTCCTTCAGCAATAGGCCACTGACAAAGTCTATAAAGCAACATCGGCTAATAAGCAGATAAGAAAAGGTCACAGAAAAAAACATTTATCAAAAAGCAGAATGTTCTTCAGCTAAGGGTCTTTAATGAGCTTCGGTTTTTAATAGTGTCCATTGTATAACTGGCATCTAAACTGTTTTCCATTTATTTTGCAGGAACGAGGATCTTCACTGGGTTCCAGTGTGACGTTGCTAACATAATGCCCCAGTATATGTATGGTAAAACATCAAAATATCAACTGGACCAATTCCTAATAAAGGTCAGAAGTTCTTCACCATATCACCAACCCTGACCTCAAAATCCAAGATGGCTGCAGCACATACTATGAAAAGATGAAGAGATAAAGAGTCAGTAAGCATCAATAATCCAGTTTGATTTGAGTTCTACCACATGGTCTGACACCAGTTTAATACTGTAGCAATGCAAGGTGGAAACGACGACAATCAGTCTTTATTCATACTTTAGAGTTTTTGAGCTCCAACTTGGAAAAAGGAAGAGGAACACTGACTAAATTTGAAAATCTGGACATTTGTCATGAGCTCTGAGCTTCAATTTCAGTATGGATGCAGCACATAACTTCCTGATGTGTCTCTGATCCAACACGCAAGAATCAAATGACTGAATTACCTCCTCAGTTCTACAGTGTCCTGCTGATGATCTGATTATTTGACTAGGCACATGTGAGTTATTCGGCTGATCAGGTGGCCCACACCACCAGAGGGCCCCCAAGAGCAAAAACAAGCACAATAAAAAGAAAAGAATTAAACTGAATTGCAGTATTAAACATGAAAAGACACAGCTAACATAGCTTGTTTGCAAATAGGTTAATATCTTCCTGCTGCTGCCATTGTTAGGAAAATACAAAATATTAAACATGCTAACTTGTTTGCTGTAAATTTAGTATTTATCAGCTGATGTTATTTTCAAATAGTTAAAATAGTGTGGCACCCTTAAAGATCACTCTACATTTTAAAATATATTTTTGTTATTCCTGTTGGGTTAAAACCAATTTCAATTTTAACACTAGTATGATGTATGCTAATTAAACATTAGGCTAATTAAAGGTATGTTACACATTTGGAGTAACCTAGGAATGATGAAGTGTCTGGAGTTGACCTGTTGGTATGAGGTGGCTTAAAAGAAATGTGCTTGGGGCCCCAAAACTGTTTGTTACGGCCCTGGACTCAGAAGCGACGAAGCAGAGATTCACCTAAAATTTGCAGAACGACAATCCTTGACCGTCTACTTAAAGTATTTTTGTTTGTGTTTGTAGCAAAGCATGTTTACACAACAGAAACCGTTTTCTTTGCATAGTTTATTTTTATATTTTTTATCACTCATTAAATTTTCAGATGATGGCAGAATTAAATGTAGCATCATGGTTTTCTTCACTTCTGTGATATTAAATTGTTGCCTTGGAGAAATATGAAGGGCCAGACACAGCTGCCGTATAATCAGTCACCCAAACTCCTGCCCCGGGGCTAAAAGTCAAAGGATCGCCGAGACCTGATGTAACACTTGTATGATTCTCCCCTTTGAAACTTCAAACTCCAGTTTGTGAGCAAAGTCCTGTCTATCTTCTGAATAGGAATCTCCGACCACAGACCAAACTCCATTTGTAACCACTGCCTATTTGTACCTTCTCCTCAATGACTAGTTTTCATTTCCCCAAGTCCGATCTCAAAGGCAAGAGGCCAGGCAAGAAGCAAAACGGTAAAAATGAACAGCAGCTGGAGGGAGAAAAAGACGACTGCTGTGGCCTGGAGGAGATGAGGAATATACTCTGTCTCATATTGGGGATTGTTTCTGAGAGATCTGCAACACGGTGGAAAAGTGAGGCGCATTGAGGAGCGTGTTGACGATGATAAGAGTGAAACAGGGAGACAATATGCTGCCTGAAGCAGATTTGCGGTCGGCAGAAAGAGGGAGATGGAGGAGATAGGTGAGTGGAGCGTCATGGCAAAGACCTTGTCAACAGATAACTATCTGCAAATAAGCCAGCTTATGCAAGCCCCTGTGGCTCGGCGGTGGATAGCAATTCATTTGTGCCAGTGGAAGATTGTCTGATGTGCTGTGATTTACACTAATGGATATTATTTTGAAACAGATTATTTCCTTTCATGTTCTGCAGCTTTACTTTCACATAATTCAACGAATAAGAAAAAAAGACACTTTTATGGTTTTGTTTTAAAGATTTTGCATAAAAGTTGTGTTGATTTGAATTTTTTTTCAATTTTCTTTTCTTTCTTCAACTAATTTTGAACTATATTTATAAAAATGATTGAAGCAGTTTAAAATAATTGTTTAACATCCCATGTTGTTTTTGTCATTTTGGTTTTTTTACTTATTTGTGAAAGAGAGTAATATTTTCACAGCATAACCTGCTTCAATCTTAAAATACATTTATTTAAATGAAAAAAAGTGATTTATTCAAATTTTAAATGTAAATTAAACTTATCAAGTAAGAATCAGTGTCCATAACAGTGCATTTCTGAACATTAACTAATAAAAATCTAATTTTGAATCACTCACTCCTTTAAATAGCTAAGTTCAACCTTGAAACATATTTTCTGAGTGTAAAACTCACTCTAACCTGTTTGGTCTTGTTTCATCTCCAGACACAGTAAGGAAAAAAAATAAAACCCCACGTAGCCCCTGTGCAGCAAATAAGTAAACAATTGCATCAATAAACACGAAGAGCCATGCTTGACGTAAATCAATCACAGTGTCTGATAAAGCTCGATAATCATTAACTCTGTTTTGCTGAGAATTCATTTTGACTCTTGTGCTAATCCCCTCTGTCAGCAGCTCCGCTCTGAGTGGCTGTTTGGCTCCTTCAGCCGCCAATAGGCGTTTCAACCTCCTCAGCTTGAGGAACAAGACATGGCAACCACTTTCTAATTCCTGCCCCTGCTACGTCACGCAACTCGACTAAATGAGCAGAGTTGTTTATGTGAAACTTAAGGGGCTTGTCGAGTGTTTATATTTCAAATCAGAATCGCATAAGGTGCGTTTTGCGTGTTGGTTTCTATATCAACCTGCTCGGACGCCTTCTGCTGGTCGGCGGTCAAACTACAACACTAAAACAAAGTCAAACGGACACTATTCGTTAAAGCTATACTATCTACTGTACCTTTAATTAGTATGTAAATATGATTTTTTTTAAAAAAAAAAACAAACATATTTGTTCAATTTTACCATATTGGGTTAAATTCCCTCATTTTAACATGTCGCATTCGGATTTTATGACACAGATAATCTGAGAAAAGCTCAATCTCCTCCACTTCCTCATTGAGCTACTGTTGCTGTCTGAAGAAACGCAGCACTCCAAACCAAAACCAGCCAGGAACATGCTCTAAACTTACAACTTGTACACAATGCTGCCAATCATCCTTATGTAATCACTGCTAAGTGCTAGCAACGTTACAGGAAAATCGTTTACCTGCCATCATTGCAGACCATGCTAACTAGGCTAACAGGCTTTGCTAGCTGTAGCATACCTGAGAGAAACGGTGGAAAGAGCAGGAGCATGAGGTTGATTGACAGCGCTAAGACCCTCCTCCTTGCTCTGATTAGTTGATTCTAGTTCGCACTGCAGAAAGCTTTATTTTTATTTATTTTTTCCCTCAGATTCTGTTACAGGAATGGTTGTGGTAGAATGTATTGATAAAACTCAGTAATAAACTGTTAATATTTCAATAAATGGTTGCTTTTGCATGTCATTTACTTCCTGAAGTTAAATAAATCTTTTCATATTTAGATGAAAATTACTTTGATAAAATCTATTTTGAAATTATGTAGGCAACACAAGGATGATGTTGAAGCTCTTGAGAGTTCCATTCATTGCTGAACTAAAGAACTATTTTGCAATCCCATGCTGATTTTTGACCCATTTGAAATTAAAATTACCTTCTTTTTTTTTTTTTTTTTTTTTTTTTTTTTGCATCAGCTGCACTGTAATTAAAAACACTGCTCGCTGCTGCCATCGTGTGGACAAAAAGCAACATTCCACCTTAATTCATCAGGGTCAAGTTCAGCACATCTTCCAATCTTTTCACTGCAAAAACACAAAATCTTACCAAGTATTTTTAGTCCAGTTTCCAGTGCAAATATCTTAGTACATTTGAAATAACTTATGATCAACTTTTCAACAAGATATAGGAGCTTTATTTTAAAACAATAATCAATAATATTGATGAAAATATGCTTGTTCATTAGCAGATTCATTCACTTATAAAATGGGAAAAAATTGCCTGTAATTAGTGAAACAATCTGCCAGTTGAAATATTACTTTTTTTTATTAATATTAAGGACATATTTACTTACAACAACCTCCTCTCGCTAATATTTTTTTAAAATGTGTTTTAATTTCTGCCGTCTGCATTAGGACTACATCACTTTCCTCTTGCTTGACCTCAGTTTTTGGGATTCACTTGAGAATCAAGACATTCTCCTTTCTCTCAAAACAACTCTGTAAAAACACAAAACCTTTCATTCTGAGTTCCTCTGGGCTCTGTTTTAAGACATATCTTATCTCAGCTGTACAAACAATAAATCTGAAAATACATTTTGTCTAGTTTTTGGTGCAAATATCTTTTGAAGTAACACAAAACTCATGTGGGGGAAGCATTGAGTATTATTATAATATACATTTTGCTGAAATGTCGCTTGTACGTTAGTTTCGGCTCAGTTTAACTCTACTAAGATGTTTGCACTAGAAACTAAGCAATACTTGGTAAAATTTTGTGTTTTTGCAGTGAATCCCTATTTTTCTGCAGAAACAAATCGGCCGGATTTCAGCAGCTTTTCCGTCTCCAAAGAACTTTCTGTTCTCTGTTTCTGTTCTTTCTGTTCTCCGCCCAGATAAACCCAACTGTCCCTTACCTGGGTCGTTGAAACGCAGCGTCCCATCCTGACAGTACATCCCTGTGAAGGCCGAGCTCTGACAGCGAGCCGGCGCGCTGATCGACGGCCCATGAGCCTCGGCGGCTCTCTTGGGCCCAGCTCGGCTGAGGCAGTGCCGCCGCCGCTGCTGGGGCCCTGCGGCTGACTGTGAGGCCACAGGGGGATTATCCCCTAATGCCTGTCACAATGAGATTTGATTGGAGTCCTGAACACCCAGATTAATAGTTTAACGATGTAAAAATACCTCAGAATGAGCAGCGAGGAGTTAATATTTAGTATAGATTTAATAAATGTTTTTGTTTTCAGATGCCTTTTTGCATAATTTCTTTTGAGAAAACAAGTTATGCCTTGTTCTTAAAGATTAGATCAGATCATCACAGTGAAGGAGATGTTAACCTTACAAGCTAACATCAAGGGTATCCCGGATTTGACTGTTCTCAACATGAAGCTTCATAATGCAAACCAAGTACCTAGAAAGATCAATGCAATTTGCTGAAATAAAAAAACACAACTTTTTGATGCTTTTTGGTATTAGCATCACTCACATTACATGTAGATTGGCACAAGCATGAGAAACAAAGTCTTGAACATTTTGTCACATTCTCTGCACTCTGCTCATCTCCTTTTCTGAGTTTGATCTGCAGCCATACTCCTGCTGATGAGTATCACTGTCAGAAAGTCACATAGTGTTTGTGCACTACAAAAACATCACATGTTACCAAGTGCTTTTGGTCTAGTTTTTAGTGGAAACATCTTAGTTCACTTGAAATTAGTGAACAAGTAACATTTTCAGCAAGATAAAAGCACTTGTTTTAAGTCAAAAATGTGTAAATATCAATAATAAAAAAAGACAAGTCCCACTGGCAGATCATTACACTTATAACAAGATGTTCTTCCACATATTACAGGTGAAACTTGTATTTATTTTAAATCTGTTAAATAAACAAGCTCTTATATGCTGAAATGCATTTGTATGTTAGCTCTTAACCTTTAACCAAACTCAGCACATTTTACAATGTTGAATAGTTTTATTTCTGGTTTATATTATTATTAAATTTTAAAATGTGTGGAGCATGTCTAGTCTGTTTTTGCTAATGTGCACCAAAACAAAATTTATACTTGTAGGATAATAAAAAACTGAAAAGAACAATCACTAGAAATGTCTGACTTATTTTTCATTTTTGGAAGAATAAAAAAAGCTTGGTTTTTCAGTTCTTGTTATCTTTTTTTTATATACACTTTACATTTTGCTGTTCAGTAATAATTTCATTTAACTTCTATATCGATGGTGCTAATAAAAAAAAAAGTCTTAATGTTGAAAGTAAATTTTCTGCTCATTTTTGCTTCAGTAAATCAGTCGATAAACACACAAGTTTTTTTTTCCAAAAGGATTTAAAAGAATACTGAATTTTAGTTGACATCATTTAGCTTTTTTTTCTGTTATTCTATAAACAGACCATCTTGTATTATTTTTACTTTCCGATGAATACTCAGAGGCCATGTTTCAGTTTTGTAGGCAAACAGAAATGAGCCTATCTACCGGCTGTTGTCCTGTTTACACTCCTTACTGGGAGTTTGTCCTTTACTGAGACCGTTGAGTTATCAACGCCATGTGTTTGACACCAACAGTGCTTCTTCTATAAGCTCCCACTTACTATGTAATGAAAGAGGCTATGGAGGAATTAAATGGCAACAAATGTTTTGATAAAATCGCTAAAAATTGTTAAAAATTACCTGTATCTTCTGATATCAATATCAGATCAGAGGAGTAAATTAAAACCCAAGATTACAGTTTCCAGATGATCATGTCAATTGTTAAGGAGAAAAGGGTAACCTTGCTTAAAATTTATATGTCAATTTGTGCTAAATCATGAATTTATTTTGATTATGCACATTTCTGGAAAGCTGAGTTGAATTTATTCAGCCACATTTAGAATGACTAACCTATAGCATAAACAGGAAGTGCTATTTTACTGTTGTAGACAAAAACAAAACATGGCAAATATTGATTTTACACAAAATTACTGTAAAGCAATCCTAAACTGTAATAAGTCATGATAAATTATTCAATATTCAGCCTTTAACAGCAGCTTAGTCTGTTACTCTAAAAAACGGTGGAACAAAGAAGTATTGCAGAATTTGATTATTTCTTGTTTCACAGTGTTTCTTGGTTGCTTTAGTGCATTTAATCACAGTTAACACTCACACATTAGCATTTATCCGCATGGCTTATATTGACCTGCTTGACATAAGCAAATAATACGTGTTATAAAACAGCTGAGAATTATTATGAGAATTTTAATTCAGATCGTAAAATCAGCAAATCAAACTAAAAAAAAACAACTAAATGAATGTGTTGGAATGGCCCTGTCAAAGTCCAGACTGAGGTCTGATTGAAATGCTGAGCCATGACTTTAAATAGGTTGTCGAAACCTAAGAAACCTGAACAGTTATTATGATTTGGGGCCGACTGCTTTCCCACACTGGGTCAATTGGTTTGGATTCCTTTTCTCCGATTATGCAGCAAATAGTCATGCAAGTTTTAATATTCACCCAGATAAACTTGGCAAAATACAAAAATGAGTTTGATGATATGAAATGAATGAATGCGACAAAAAAAAAATCGCAAAATCATAAGAAATCTGTGACCGTGAGTACTTTTTCTCAAGAAAAAGTAAATGTAAACTGTTTTCTTTCTTTATAAAGAAAGAAAACACTTTCTTTATAAAGAAAGTGTTTATTTATAAAGTGAAATAAAATCTGTGTTTCGACGAGTTGAGAGAAAGAAATTCCAGTGACTCTGGGCCAGAAGGAGCTTAAAGCCCACAGCTGCCAAAGAATGCATTTGTAATATAAACGTCCTGGTTTTGGAGGATTTGACCAGCATTCAGTAAACTGTACACAAATCCTTCCAGAAAATGTTGCTGCTGCACTCTAAAACATTTCATTTTAGTTTATATGACACAACTAATTTCTAAACATCTAATTTTCTCACTCTTCAGATCAGCGTCTCTTCCTTTTTTATACATTTATCTAACAAATTCAGTTGTTTTAACCATTTCTTCAAGTGTAATAAATAGTCTGTTTCCGTGAGAGAGAATTAAAACTGGATTTAGCATTTTGGCTGTCTGAAAAATGTATATTTGTTTGTTTACTGGTCAAAATAAACTGGAGTCTCTGGGTTAGTGGTCTTCGTGTTTCCTTTTGCAAAGCGAGTTTCTCTTGGAGGCGCCTGAATCCTAACTACTTCTTCTTCTCAACAGCAAAGAAGCAAATTTTACTGTTTTTTAAAAATGATTAAGATTAATCACATAACCCTAAAATGATGCTGTCATGTTTGGGGTGAATAAAACAGACTAACTGTGGCAGAAACAGAGTTTTTTAAAGGGGATATGCTATAAAAAAAATTACATATTGCACACTTTTGTACAAAATCCAGGCTGTTTTTGGTAATAAGTTTGTACTTTTTGGTGTCTGGAAAATGAGCCGTTACCAAAACATTCTGAATGAAACGTCACAAATCAGAAGGAACTGCGTCATTACCTAGCAACCCAAACAGAGCTCCAGGAAATTTGGTGAAGAGGTTTTACTGCTGTACAACGGCTGCTGGAAAAGACAAGAGTTTTTCTTCTTCATCATCCAGAAGAAACTTGCTGTGTTTATGTTGGTTGTGCTGGAGGCTCTACTAATGCTTTTCAAATATGTACAGTTGTTTTATTGCTGTTTGCAGCCATTTTGGTATGTCTGTTTATAATTAAATAGGATTAAATATCTCTGTGGTCCAAAATCTTCTTTTCTGATAAAGCCATTTAATCTGGAAACCAGTGTTTCCAGACCTATAGAATAGGTCTCCCATTTCAGAGACTGGATTAAAAGTGGAGAGGCACAGAATCCATGACACTTGAAGAAATAATCTGGTATTGTCAAGAGGAAGATGATGTAATTCAGACGACCTGAAGTCCACTATAAAATAACCTGGGCTTCCATTACATCTCAGCATTTCCGCGGGCCGACTGCCTCCATGACATGCCGCATTGATGCAGTAATTCATGCAAAAGGAGCCCCAACCAAGTATAGAGGGCATGGAAATGAACACACTCCTCATCATCCTTAAATTTTTTAAAAATGTAATATTCAAATTTTATAAAACATTTCACTCTGTGGATCTGGATGATAAATTCACTGAGTTCCACTTTCTAAGATAAGTTACAAAATAATTTAGAACTTTCATTAAATTATTTTTAGTTGTACTCTATATCTTCTGATCCATCGTAACTCTCAGTTATTGCTTTTATTGCTGTAAAAGTCATATAGTGGCAACATGAATTATTGTTTGTTGCCTTGGAAACAATTCTCCCATCTCGCATTTTAATATTCTTTTGTTTCTAACTCATATTTTAGTTTCTTCATTAATATCTGATGATTTTCTGTTATTTCTGGTTGCCTCTAATTACGCCAAATAACTGCTAGCAATAACTTTGCAGCCACACGGTAAGATTATGTGAAGGTTCTGCTGTACTGATCCAGCAGTGTGGCATTATTTCAAACTTCATAACTCTTTAGGAATGTTTAAACCTGAACAATTTTATGTTAAACTCAGATTATTGGAAGTATAATTGAGTAATAATAACAAATAAAAACAGTTTTAAGAAGTGAGAATGCACACAACTGTCTCAGATTTCTTGTTAAAATGAGATTTTGCATATTTCCCCACATGCCAGTGAATGTTTAAACGGATTTGGAGATTGTAGAGACTATTGGCTGGTGTTAATGTGAAATAAATATAATTTGGCATCAGTTACAGAATCCCACATTCAGAAATAAATCAGCTTTCTGTGCCCCCTTTATTTTCGCAAAGGTTTTTATGAAAATGCACCGATTTGCATCTCTACATCCCACTGTAACATGCAAATCAGTGAATGAATGACCACAGGTGGGCAACTAACACTCTCACCAACTGAAACTGCAAAGTTTCACTGGAACAATGTCATCAACGCTGAGAAAATGAGAAAAGGCAGGAAAGATGATCAGGATCTGTTTAAACTTTCTCTTTCTTTCTCTCTGTTTCATCATCTCTGAAACCGTCGTGACCGTCTCGCTCTCCCATTGCCTTTCATTTTTAACAACCTCCATGTCTCTGACACACCTCCTGGATTCCAGCCGTGTGAAAAAGCCAGCCACATATGGCGGACATATTTATGAATTTTCTCAGAGCCAAGAAACAAAGAAAAAAATGACAGCCACAACGGAAACAACTGAACAATCCCAAAACAAAGAAAAACACATTTTTGTTCCTTTTCACAAAGCATGTAAACAGAAAGTGGGCACTCACCAAATGGAGGTTCCATACTTGAACTGACTTGAGTGTTTACATTGACCATGTCGTCATTTATTTCCTCTGGAGCATAAATATGTAAAGATCCAGCTTTGTCCTTCTTTATAGTATGAGATGTAAAAAATGTGTGAGTTTGGCCCAAACGTGCCGTAGTATGAGAAGGGTGTCGTTAGTGCAAGGTAAGGCCGGCGTCGCTGCTGTTATCTTATTGATTTTCCTAATCTGGGCAAATGTGGGTGGGGAGGTTAAACAGTAACCAGGCTCTTATGGACACCAATCCATATAGCAGCTCTGTAACTATAGCAACATGATGATAGAAACTCAAATAGAAAAGGAAAAAAAAGTTATGATGTGCTTTCTCTCTCTCTCTTTTTCTCTGTCATCTAATAAACACTCGTTTCTGCAGAATAAGATTTGGAAAGAGGGATGGGAGACGACTCAGAGTCTGAAGTAAAACAGCAGAGAAACTGGGTGGGGAAAGGCGGAGGGGAGTGGAGGATTTGCAGAGGGTGGCAGCACTCAGAGCAAGTGGTGGGTGATGTTGTTGACTTTGGTTTGACTGATGGGGAAAAGTGATTTACTGCTCAGCTGCTGGAGTTTAAGACCCAAGCGGATGAAAGCGAAAGTTAAAAATCTAAAGCAGGATAGTCTAATAGTTCTGATAAAACACTGACAAACAAAAATATTGCTGTTTTTTCTGCATTCATTTGACATCTTTTCACATTTATGTAATTTGGTTTGGTTTTTAATTAGAGTTTAAAACCTGTTTAAAACTGAAGGAGTTCAAATTGTTTAGTTCTTTATGCTAAGCTAACTAAAGATGTTACAAGCGATAGATAGACAGTTTGCTATTTGACTCATTCTCTGTTATGAAATAAATACTTTCATTGCTACAAATTTTATTTTAAAATGACTGAGAATGAGAACAAATGGCTGTTGAATAATTTAGTGTCCATTTTATTTATTTATTTTTTTTTTTTCACAGTTGGGTCTTGTGTACACATTTTCAGTTTTTCTGAATTCATCACGTTTGAACCAATATCTTTCATGAATTTCACAGTGAATTTATATGACAGTGGGTAACAATGTAGAGCAAAATTATGTAAAAATTAAAAAATGAAGTGTGCATGCATATTTATTCAGTTCTCTTCATTCCGATAATACTAAATAACGCTGCTTTTCAGATTCAAATATTTAAAAAAAACATTAAGTTCAACTTAATCTGAGTATTTACAGCTACTCCATGAAGGCCTCAGAGGTTTTTTTTAGGGAATATTAATGAGGAAACACAGCAGATAGCTCAGGTTTAGGTCATAAAACAACATTTAAGGCTTTAAATCTCAGTTTAATCCATCATCTGGAAATTGAACAAATATGTCCCAACCCTTATTAGCTCTTCGTGAGCTGCAGAGATCCGCTGCTCAGGTGGAAAAATCTGTAAACAGGACAAGTATTAGTCATGACTCCACAAATCCATCAATTATGACAAAAAAACAAAGCAGCTGCTGGAAAGAAAACCATCAGAAGTCACATCTAAGGTTTACTTCAGTCATGTAAAAGAAAGTGTTGCAGTTGGATGAGACCAAAATTATTTTATTTATTCATTTGTTGATGGAAAACTAACACTTCACATCGCCCTAAACACACCATCACCATTGTAAAACATGGTGGTGGCAGTGTGATGCCATGGTCCTGTTTTTACTTTGTAGAAACAGTGAAAATGGATGAAGCTAAAACATGTTAGATGCTTTAAAAGAATTGAAAATGATGCAACTGCAAGAGCTGCTGTATTAGAATGGTTTAGACTGGCCTAGTTAAAGTTCAGACCTAAATCAAGTAGAGCATCTGCAGCAATAAGTGAAGACTGAGGTTTCAAAATGCATAAAACCGCCTTTCCTTTAGCTTGTCTTGAATTCTTACTTCAAATCCCAAAGAAAATTGAGAAAATGTGTGTTAACATGTTTTGAGGACATTCTGGTTTTCAGATGCTTCCTGTTTGTGCTCACAAATTACGAGCATAACTAATACTCCCCTCTTTTCTGACCATAAAAGCTGCATTAGTGTCTCGTTTTATGGCGGAGAAAGTCTCCGATGGGTAAATCAGGAGACGTAATGAGCTGAAATGCAGGCCAGAAAATTTCCTGCAGCAGCATTGAACAAACACGACTTGCCAACATCATATCACCTGCCTGCAGGATGCTGTGAATCATCACTGATTTATGACTTAATTAATGGCCAGTCAGACACACACAGAAGAATAAATTATATTATTTTAGCGTGGGAGTAACGCGCACAACGAAACGAAAATATTTCACTTGTCAAACTGAAGTTACAATCAGAAGCTCGTCTCACATTCAGTTTTTGTTTGGCAAAAACTTTTACTTTTCTAATTAAAACTCGTCTTTTGGTTTGTTAAAAATAGTATTTGCTCACTGCAGTCAGAAGAATCAACAGCAATGTTTGTGTGAAACATTCATCAGGTGATGCTTTCCCCCTCACGCTGTTGCCATGATTACTGTCTCAACTTGTTACGCTAACCTAATTCAGAAAGACACATCATTCAAAGTGATGTGCCTCCATCTTTGATCCTCTGTCAAGGTATTGAGTTCTGGTTCTTCTCAGAATTGAATATTAGTTTCTCCCACCAGTTTCCCTCTGAAACGTGAGCGAGCGTTTGTGTGAAAGGTAAACACGCACTGCTGAATGTTGTAAAGCCGCAGCTGTATTTCCTACTGTCACTGCTAGAGTTTTATATAGCAACACATAATTCATCGTTCAATGGCTCGCAGCACAAACTGTAGAATACATGTGTGAACACATCCACTTTGTTACTAGGGAGGAATTTTGGTCCAATTCTTTTCACAATTTATTAATTATTTATGACTGTATGTATTATTTTATTTATTTATTTATTTGTTTCGTTTTGCATTTGTATCTTGATGATGGCTCTGGTTTGTATGAATCAGTAAATGTCAAATGGGAATTTGGTATTTTAAGGACGAAGGATTTTTATTTATTTCAAACATGATAGAAGTATAAATTCACACACATGAACAAGGAATATAAAAGACATTTTATACTACAATAATCTTAACATGCTTGAAAAGGAGTCAGAAGAAGTAAGAAACTTAAAACTAAGTTCACTCAAGTAAAAGTATTAGTTTCTCAGCTTGGTAAAAAAAATACTCCTAAAAGTACATCCTTTGAAAAAAAAAACGTCACTCAAGTAAATGTAATTGAATAAATATTTACAATATGAGTGAATATTTAAGTTGCTCTTTATGTCTATAAACTGAATCCAGGCCTTTAAAATGTCAATTTTTAAAAGGCAAAGCTGATGGAAATATTGTGTTTATTTCCAGTGAGGGATTTTTTAAAATGAATATCATAAAAAGCATTGTGAACTTATTGCAACCTGTATCCAATGTTCACAAGGCCTGTAAGGCAGCCAGAAGAGGAACAGGGCGTTCTGCAGCAACTGGTGCGGTTCTCACACAGAGACTTAACCTCAACGTCATCAAGTCAGATCCCAGGAAGGCTGAAGCTGAGAAACCCAAACTAAACATCAACTAAAAGTATGACAAAACTATAAATGATCTTTTTTTTGCAGATTGGGTTAATTTATTTCTCTGCACTCTGAGATATTTTAGCCTGACTGCCGACACCAGACAGTTTTGCTGCAGATGGCCACTCTCACAGTCTGTCTGATGCAAAACGCTGCAGAATGACTGATTAATAAAACTCCTCTGTATTGAGCTGCATCTTCTCTGGAAAGTGAGGAGAATAACAAATTACAACAAACACCTACATTGTGCGCTGAAATAAAATATCTATTTCTGAAAGTTGATTTAAATCCATCATGTAGAAAGTGACAAATGTCTGCACTGACAGTTTTATCAAGTATTTATCTTGTTGCAGAACTAAACTGGACTCTTTTATGGTTTAGTTTGACAATTTTTAAACTTTGCTCAAAAAAGTAGTTTTTATTTTCTTGTAGAGATGTTATTAATGTCATTAATAAAGATTAATAAACATTAATGTAAAACAAATTTGGTGGTACTGCTTAGAGGAATTTTAAAGTGATATAATCAAGCAATAATAAACTCAGAAGAAGAAAATGAAATGAAACATTATTGTATTTCTGCTTATGGGTTCAATTTGAACAAATATTCTATCTATTCTATAAAGCAATCGCTATTATGCTATTGAGGGTCTGAAATGCCCAGAGGTACTAAATGAATGATTAATTAAATATTTTTATGCATGCCATAATTATAGAACATGTACAAAACTGTTTTCATAATTCTTCAGATTATATGTTAATCATTTTAAATTAAAAGTAAAAAGCAAAGTTTCACACAATTCAAATGGAATTTCTGCATTCAGTATAAAAATTATTGTTTTGCTGTTAATCTTAATGCATTTTTTGTCCTTATTCAAATGTTCACCTGTTTGAGAAAAAAAATGCACATTTGTTTTAAAAAATGCCATGTAGTGTTCAAATCTGTACACTAGGTGGCGATGTGGATTTTGCTTTTAAGCTTTCTTTCAGTGCAGGAAAACAACCACATACAGAAATACAGATGTTTAATATTAGGGAGGAAAGCATCTTAGACTTTTATTTTGAAAATAATCAATAATATTCCACAGATTTCCAGACCTGTCAAGATAGTAAGATTATCTTAGATCCCGACTTGTAGGAGTTGTGAACTTGCAGAAAACTACGTTAAAGAAGCCACAAAGAGAGAAATTGTGCGATATCTAATACAGCAAAACAGAAGAACAAAATCTACAGTGAAGCAAGAAATTCAAGAAAATGACAGGAATAAAGATCAGGAAAACGGTGTGTAAGATGACAGAAACAGGAAGGAGAAAGAGGAAATACATTTTATAAAGACTGAGGTTTGTTCATACAAGTCTGAACAGAAAAGAAAAGCAATGGACTGCATGAGTGAGATTGCAAGAGACAGGTCAACATATTCTTCTGCGTGGGTTTTAAGAGCAAAGAGTGAAGATTAAGTTACCTGAATTACTTTGTTTCGATTCTAGTCACGTTTTAAGTACTACATTTTTTTCACTTCTTGTAAAGTCAGAACGTTTTAGTTGAATGTAGGTTGGAGGGTTTTGTTTTCTTTTTACTCCACCTCAGAAGATGGCGCTAATGCAGTTTTGAAGCCGTTTGCCAACTGCCAGTAAAATCTATGAAGAAGGAGAAGCGCGATTGGCTGAGTTGCCGGTGACGTCAGTCAGACTTCAGCCCTGCGTACGCAGTCAGATCAGAGACGTCAACATGGCGGCCATGGATGTCATTGTAGAGCTGTTGGTGTCAGTATGGAGGATACCGGCGGTCAGGCAGAGTTTTCCCTTGTTATTTTTATTCATTTCTTTCCTCGGATCTATTCTGAAGGAACTGGACTTGGTTCCGCAGTCCTATTTCAGCAGCAGCAAGAACTTCGTCAACTTGTAAGTCCGGTCCTTGTGAGAATTGCGTCATTCAGACGTTTAAAACTCCCCACCTGCTGGTGATGTTTAAACTGACAGAATACAACAGTCATTTATCCTTACTTTATCTTTCAGTGATGTAGCGTCAGAAGGAGGAAGTAGGTCATGAAAACATCCGAGTTTATGTTCAGATTAAATAGTTTATTAGCATTTGGTTGCATAGAGCATTTCAGCAACACGTCAGTTCGTCATGAAAACAGAAACATATCATTTAGTAAACAGATGTGAAAACTACTAAGAGACATTACATTTTGTCAAGTCCATTTATTACGGTTCAAAAGCAAATCTAAACAGGTAAAGTTTTAGCTTTGATTAAAATAAATAAGTGTGTTGGCTGTTTTGCAGTTTGAATCCTGCTTCTCCAGTTTTGTTTCTGGGTGAGATAAACAAAAGGATGAGTTTCCTCATTTTTCTGGAAATGTTCTTCAGGAGGTTGAAGGACGACTTTGTAATTGTCTACGTGATTCTGAAGGTTAGGGAAAAACATAAATGCGTGTAAACTTCCATGATTTGTTTTGCTTTGCAGGTATTTCGTCAAAGTCTCCTGGGGATGGACGCTGCTGCTGCTCTCACCTTTCCTCCTTTTCTCCAGCTTCGCCAACCAGAGCCGCTCCGCCCTGCTCAAACGCCTACTGGCATTAGCCGTAGCAACAGCCGTGTGGTACGTCTGCACCGGGACCTTCCTCTACATCGAGGATGTGACTGGCTCATGCTTTGAAAGCAAAACTGCTTCCATCGCTAACACGTTCACTTCGAAAGCCGCCTGTAGACGGGCCGGCTTCCACTGGCAGGGCCACGACATCTCGGGGCACTCGTTCATCCTCAGTTACTCCTCCCTGCTCATCATGGAGGAAACGTCCATCATGACGGTGCTGAAGACGGGCGGGCTGCACAGAACGCTGCTCAACCTTCTGTACGTGGCCTTGAATCTGATAGTGGCGACGTGGGTGTGGATGTTCGCCTGCACCTCTGTTTACTTTCACAGCCCGCAGGACAAGCTGCTGGGGACCGCATGTGGTCTGCTGGGGTGGTTCCTGACGTACCGGTACTGGTACCAGAAGTCTTTCTCACCGGGCCTGCCGTTGCAGCACCATCAGAAAGAACAGAAGGAGCTCGCCTGAGGCAAACCGCTGATTTTACAAGCTTCATTAAACCGTAGGTTATTTTTATCCGGGTCCAAGCTGGACGTGAAACTTGAAGACGTGTTAAGTTGTTGCATCCTGATAGGAAGGCTGCTTTGTTTGAAAGCACAAAATCTTGTCAAGGATTTTGGTCCAGTTTCTAATGCAAATATCCTAGTGCACTGGAAATAACTTACAAGAAACAGGAGCTTGTTGTAAGTTGATATTTCCTTTATATTTATGAAAAGGTTATCGTTCCATTTGCAGATTATTTCATTATAACATGACATTTTTCCCATGTTTTAAGAGAAATAGTCTGTCAAAAGTGTTGACTCTCCAGGTCAGAGGTTAAGAGTTTGTACTGAATAAAGATACAGTTAAAGAAGAACACTTCACTGTGTCAGAAACACCTGCATGTTTTCATTTACTTGGTTTTTAAATTTAGTTCACCTCATTTAGGGGAATCGGTTTTGAAATTATTTGAAAATGTGCCATGAATTAAATGAATGGGAAAATATTTGAGAAGACAACATTTTAATAAAAAACATTATTTAAATACAGCGCAGCTTAATTTGTTGCACACACTACCGTTTGTCTGCATTTGTTTTAAAAATGCCATCATTTAAGGTTCTTTACCACTGATGCTGAATGTTGAAAGCTACCTTGATAATTTTACAAACAGAATTTAATTTAGCTGCTTTTCCTATGTTTAATCACAAATAATGTCATTTTAAAGATGTGTGTAACAAAGTATTCAAACCTCCCCCAGAACTTGGCTTAAAAAGGCAGAAAAGTAACAATATGTGCCTCTAAATGCCTACAATGATGCTGCCCAAAAAAGTATTTCTTTAAAGTGCATGTTATTTATTTTTACTACATTTATTTGTACTTACCTCATGTTTTCAGCACGTGTTTATCCCATTGGCTGCTAGTTTCTAAAACACAAAATAATTGCAGCACAGAAAGAATAGAAGCATTTCTAATGAAGCTGCAGCATGTTTTTATTCTGTTAAGCTAAACCTAAAGGTTTGAAATATTATCAGGTATTCAAATTTTCCAAATGAAGTTTAAATGATTCGTCTGCACCTCATGAATAAAAACACTAATGATGTTTTGTGAGAAGAAAAAAAAAGATGCAGCAGCCATATTAATTTTTTTCAATTTCATATTCAGAATATTCAATTAGATTTTGTTTACTACAATTATTAGATACAATTAAAACAGCATGTTTATTTGATATAATAGAAAATATAAATAAAATTTTTATATCAAATAATCATGCTGTTTTAATTGTATCTAATAATTGTAGTAAACAAAATCTGGTACTAGTGGATTTTAAATATTTTTGATCATTTTATTAAATAATTTCTAAACCCCTAATTTAATTTTTTTCAAATCTTTGAGTTTGGAAATCACTGTTAGTCCATGCCTGCTCTCTCCTGTTTAAATATTTTTTTGTTTGTGTATTTGTATGACAGCTGCCATTATAAGCCACTTTGCCATAAATAAGTTGGTTAATTTTAACATATTTAATTTTTCAGAGGAAACCAAGTGTTGACACAGAGTTTCAGGGTGCTGCGTATCCGATTGTCATTTGTCTTCTTTAAAATTTATGTTTAAGAAAACGGGGAACAAAATGTATTTCCTGTACTCATTTCTGTTTTTAAGCTTCTGTTAGTGTAACTGTAGTTTCTAGGTGTCAATTTTATTGAAATAAAAAAACAAAAATAAAAACCAGTTTCTTTTGATTCCATTTTCCATTATTTATTTGTCATTGATGGCAACTGAATAAATTAAGGCTTATGAACAAACATCATAAAAAGCACCATAAATAAATGCATATTAACACAAATAGAAACATTAAAAAAATAAATAAAAATGAAAACAATATGGTGAGATGTAATGGCCACAGCTGGGATTTCTGGTCCAACCCGTTAGGAACCTTTACTGCAAATAAAAACAACCAGTGGTGCTGCGGCGTGTGCTTGCAATGACGACAGTTGGTCAAGTGAACACAATGATTGGCTGGTTATGACTTTTCACAATGTGTCTCCATCCTCAGCATCATCTCCCATTTTTATAGTCACTCAAAAAAATCTGAGTGTTAAAATATTACATGACAAATGTCAGCAGGCAGTTTTGTTTACAATAGTTTGTACACATTTGCCACTCATTTTGAACTAAAAAAAGCTTCTTTCTGTCAGTTCTGAAATACAAATAAAACCGTTTTGTGTAAAACACTGGGTTACTACAACCTGACTGAATGGATGCAGATGCACTGATTTACACTCCCAACTTACATTTCTGTGCCTAAATAGTCCATGAAAACATAAAACATTAGTTTGGGAGTGGACTCATACAGAAGTATGGAGAGTTAAAAAAAATGGAAACAGTTGCAACTTACAGCGGAAAGTACAAATATTTGCAAGGCTTGCAAAAAGGGAAACAATCTTCATCTCATTCATAACTTCGGTGTGTTGGCATAGATAAGCAATTTCTACAAGAACAAATCTATTTGGAAACACATTGCATCCGGCAAAAAGAGGTTGATACCAAACATACGACAGCATGTTCGGGGCAGCAGATAGAAGAAAAGGAGAGTAAATTTCTGCCAAAAAACAGATTTTGAGATTAAGAAATTGTCTGGAATAAAAGGTGGAGATTTCTGGGCTCCAAAAGGTGAAAACTTGCAAGACAAAATTCAGAAATTTTGAGATGAATTTGATAAACTTTCCAGAAAAACAAAAGAAATTTTTGAGATCCAAACATTAAAAATTGAGAGAAAAAATCTGAAATTTTGAGATTAACCTCAGAATTGTTCTTGAAAAAAATAATTCTGAGCTCCAAAAGTAAAACATTTGTGAGAAGAGAAATATGAGATCCTGAAATCAATTTGAAGAATTTTCTGTAAAAAAAAAAAAGAAAAAGAAAATTTGAGCTCAAAATGTTTAAAATTTGCAAGAAACTCAGAAAGTTTGAGAACAACTAATGATTAATCTCACAAATTTGTCTGATATACTTTTGGAGCTCAAACATTTCTTTGTTTTCTCTAGAAACATTTTAATCAAACAAGATATTTCTGAGATAAAAAAAAGTCTAAAATTTTTACTTTCAGTTTTTTCTTGAAAATTTCTTGGATTAATTTCAAAATATCTGAGTTGTTTGATGAAAATTTTCTCCTTTTTTCATTTCCTGGCCCAAATACAGCGTTATACAAACAGCAGCAATTAAACGTAATTTCACTTGCTTGGTATTGCTGAGGACGACCAGTTGGACACTGAACAGTGCAGGTGCTTTAAATGTTACCGCTACCTCTTGTCAACACAAAGTGACCACCCCATCACAGCATAAAACATTAAACAGGACCCATGCAATGAAACACACACACCCTAAACCTAATTCAACATTTGGTGCCACAGATGCAGAACTTAAACTTTAATAATCGTAAAAGCTAAGTGTAACGTTTGAAACACCCAAAGTTTGTGACAATGACCCGACATGTGCTGTGTAGCCTGTGCAGTTGAAAATAAACCAATTTAACAATGTCTGTGTGGTATTTTGTGAGCTAACATTAGAGTAATTGCATTTATATTTTTGGAAAAATCACTATTCTGTGGATTAGAAGAGGGCAGAGTTGTCACTATGAGGCTCAGTAAAGCTACAGTCTGTTAGCGTGAAATAAAAACTGGATCAGAAATCAGAGAAAGTGTTTGACTGCAGGAAATAATGTGACCTGGTTTAACAACTCAAAAACCTTTTGGAAATCACTGAGAATCTGCAGTAAGACAGTTTGCAGGTTTTACACAGTGATTGTACACAGAAGTAGAGACCAGAAAACTTGATTTGAATAAAACAAAAACATGTAAACATATGTAAACCATTTATCTCACCCTGTGGATTTAACATTCCTACTGTTTTATACAAATGTGTAAAATGTTTATTTTGAGGGTTGAACAAAAGAAAAAAACAAAAAAAAACAATGTTGACATTTTTAATCAGGTCCAACATTTAATATTGGTGAAAAATGTGCTGCCGCTAATTTTCTTTCCAAGAAATACCCAACAAAAAGCTTTTTCAGCTCACTTTGACTTTGAAGATAACTGGTAAATTTAGTTATAGTACTTTATAATTATATCTAGTTTACATTCCCTTACTTTGCTCTTTATATGCAATAAATTAGTTCATTAAAGTTTTATATTTGCTTGAGTTTGGAATACGACTGTATTATTTGGCCTTTATTAATGAGTTGAAAGAAATATGTCTAACATTTATTTTTGGTGACTTGAGAAATCATTAACACCTCCATGGCTCATTTTGAATTTATAGATAAACAATAAATACGCCTGGTGTAAAAAGTTTTTACAAGGTGAATTAGTGAGATTCAGGTTGGTTAGTTTATATGTTTTAGCCAAAGACAAGCTAGTTTTTATTAGCTTCTATAATATGCTAATATTACAGAAGTTTTCATTATGCTAAGCTAACAATAATGGTGTTACTTTTAAATTTCCAGCAATTGAGAAATTTATATAAATTTTTTATTGTATTATTATGACCATATTTCTTGTTTAAATTATGTAATTTAGTATTGGTAAGATCAGAAATGACAGTAAAAAACAGCTAACATTAGTTGATCTTGTCCATTCTTTTTCTGATCTTTATGCTAAGCTAACGGTAGCTATCTCCTTTCTGTGGCAAAAACAATTAACAACAAATGGGTGTGTGGCTGTTTTGAAAGTTACACCAATTAAAAAAAAACATTAAAAATAAAGACTTTGTTGTCTTCCTAACTTCTTTTTACGTCTTTTTTTGAAACAGGTCTAATAGTTAGCATTGCTGACAGACGAGAAACTGCTGCCAAAGGTTAAATCCTCAAAAAAACATTTCCTTGGCTGATTTTAAGTTTTGTAGATAGATATAAATATTTAGTTGTTTTTTTTTTCTTAAAAATGCATCATTTCAAGTTGATATTAATGGGGGGGTTTCTACTGGCTCCAACGTTTAGTATTGGAGATGTATGAAAAACACCTAATAAAACAAAGTAATTGTTCTTCGTCTATTGGTAAAAACACTTCAGAAGAAATAACTCCACAGCTCATTTTGTAAGTTATAAACATCAACTTAAGATATTTTATTTTAGGAATTGCATGGATTTAGTTTGTTTTTTTTAGTTTATTTTTATTTAGTTTTCTAGTTTTCATGCTAAACTAATGCTAACAACTGTAGCATTGTAGTGGCCAGAGTTTGGAACATATATATGAAATAGTTTTTAAAATTGTGGAATATATATATATATATATATATATATATATATATATATATATATATATATATATATATATATATATATATATATATATATATATATATATATATATATATATATATATATATATATATATTGTAGATATCTTGACATTATTCTCATTTGTACTGTGCCCTGATAAAAGAAGTTAAATTATTATACAAAAGCAGCTAACTTTATTCTATCAAAGGACAAAAATACCTCTGAGATGCATCATCATTAACAACTAACAACTGTGGTAATTTGAAATATTTTTGAAGGGGCATCAGTGATATCTGTACAATAAATCTGATATATTTCAGAAAGATCAAAACTTTTACCAGTCTTAAACAATTTCCTCCTAGGAAACAAAACCCATACTAAAAAAAAAAACAAAACCCGTACTAAAAAAAATCTTTCCGTAGCATTTTATCTGGCAGTTTCCAGCAGAGCAGCACTTTTCAGAACATATTTATTTATATGCAGTGATTTTATGAGCTGGAAACTCAAAGAAATGGAAGAGTTGGTTATGCTCACCGTTTTAACCAGGTCTTTGTTTTAATGTGGAAATGATGCATGCCTCCCAAAAACTAAAACTAAAATAAATCATAAATAAATGAGATCTTGCATGCACAAAAGCTGCAAGTTTCAGAAATGAAGAATTAACAAAGGCCTTTACTACCAGAAAATGTGCTGTCATTGAATTCATACTATGGAATGTTTTCATATTTCTTTGTGTACTCAGGTAAGTAATAGTGTTTTCTATATAGATTCATTATATTTTCCTGCAGTCATAAAACATTACAGAAAAGTTAAAGCATCACACAAATACACAGACATTTAACACAACAAGAGGGCATTCACTACATGTATTTCTTTTTTAAATACCAGTAGGCAAAGTAGCCCATCCCACCCAGAGAGCCCATGAGAAACGAGGCCCCGAAGAAAGATGGCGGCTTCTTTTTTACCATTCGGAAGGCGTTGGGTAGGACTGCTGACAGGAGAGTCGTGTGGATGTCGCCCAACACCTTTCGAAAAGCGTAGCGTTTTTGGACACGCACGAAAAAGGACTGCAGGTTGGGCCGGCTGCCGTCCTCCCAGTATTTCCTAGAAAGTCCCAAGAACTTGAGCCTGTGCAACAAGGCTCCAAGGCAGATATCAGCTAGCGTAAATTCAGGTCCACAAAGCCACAACTCACACTTCTGACCTGTGAGGTAAAACAGCAACAATAAGATCAACAGTTTTAGGTTGTTGTTTCTTTTTTTTGTTGTTTCATTTTGAGTTATCACTTGAAAACTACCTTGATATTCTAGTTTTCTTTTCTCAAGTTCAGCCTCCACTTGGTCCAGAACCATGGCTAACTCCCCCAGGATTTTCTTCAAGTAGTTCACATTGTCATGGTCCAAGATTTTCGCCTGGAAATCATTAATTAGAATTAATTAGTATGTTTTAAAATGTTTATAGAATCACTTTAGTCAGCATAAAGCTCTATTTTGTGCACACACACAAAACATACACAAATTGTCCACATTTAATTAACTACTGTATATATAAGACTGATACATTTCAGTACAAGTCTTTTATGAATTAACCATATCTGTGATTTTTTTCTCAAATGATTATAAAGATATTTTACTTAGAGCAGGACCAAATTTGGTTCAAATCTAATTTGTAGTAGTAGTGAGATTATTAAAATACTGCAAAAACATAAAATCTTGACTACTAAATATACTAAATATTGTACTGCAAAAAAAAACATTAACTCCCAAACACCTTTTATATACTTTTAGATATTGGAGCTTTTTTTAAGTCAGTAATTCTTTAATCCTGATGAAAAACACTTGTTAATCTGGTAGATTATTCACTTATGAAGTGAAAAATATGTTGTTGTAAATTATTACTTTTTCATCAATATTAAGGAATTATTGACTTAAAACAAACGGCTATATTTTTGCTGAAAAGTTACTTCTAAGTTAGTTTGTCTTGTTTCAAACGTAGGAAAATATTTATACTAACATAAACTTGGTAAGTTAACTGAAGAAGACTTGGTTTGTTACAAACTCACCATTAGCTTTTTCTGCTTGGACAAATGAGGTTCTGTCAGCTGAGGTTCTTCATGGTCCAGTTTCATCAGCTCAGTCGCAGCGTTAGCCAAGTGTCCTGAAGTTACACACGTCAAGTGTTTTTGCATTATTTAATTGAATACAGGAGAAAATTTATCAAGTGGTAATATATAATATCATTTAAGGTATTTTAATCATGATAAATAATCAGTGGAGATATTTGTTCTTATCCATTTGGATGAAAATAAGGCCCCCTTTCAAATATTCAGTTAATATTTAGTTCTTTATTTTAAAAAAAATAAAGTAACTAACCCATAAATACATTCTATTTTCTACTAGACTAAATAAGTTATTTAGGGTTCCATATTTATGTTTCTATCTGAATTTTGACATTTTCATGTAAATTTGTCTAGTTCCACATTATTTTGCCTAAAACCATCTCAGTGCTGCCCCCTTTGGTCAAATGGTGCCTAAGCAGTTAAATTCTCCTACAGCTTTGTCAAATTCTAGCAAATTTAATTGTACTTTTTTATATATAAAAAAGTCACTTTGGGGTTTGGAAAGTCGCTAAATATAGCCACAATGTATATAAGTAAGCAACAGTGCTTCTTTCGTCCTACTCTGTCCGCTCATCCCCACACCTGGCCACGCCCCGGTGTTTCTAGGCTCCGCCCATTTCGGGCATTACACTTCAAAATACTTTTATGTCTGAAAAAGAACTGGGTCGCAATAAACATAAATCTTGTTATACTTATTTAACAAAAGAAACAATATTAATCATAAAAATATTTTATTTTTTTTTTGGCGCTTTTCTAAAAACGTAGACACTTTACAAGAATCAAGCAAAATTACAAACAGAGCAGCTAAATAATTAACCAACCTGAAACTGCAAGTTACTCAACAGGTTGTTGATAGGTAACCAAAGTTTGTTATTGATTTATTGTCCAGCCATAGCCATAACTAAAACAGCTTTAATTCATTAAAAGCTGCTTTGAAGTATCTTTAAAACTCTACAACCCAAACTTTCTCCTTTCCTCCTGTAAGAACCACAGAGTAATGCAGATTCATGCCTGGCGTCACTTACTACGTATTTCTGCGGTGGCGTACTTTGGGATCATAGAGTCGGTGGTGAGCTCTGGATGGAGGATGCAGCCGTGCGTGTAAGCATCCATGGGCAGGCCGTCCAGCAGGTGGCGGTACTGCTGCACGCGGTCGTAGAGAGGCGAGTCCGGGTCAGGAATCAGCTGAGCCACCGCCTCTGTTGGAAGGAGACAGAAACGCAACAGGAAGGTAGCATTTCTCACGTTCAATGGATCCAAAAACAAATCGAGAGATTTTCCAAAACTCCTAAGCAACTGTCTGCAAAATTACCAAAATGTCTCTGCTGGACAGAGAAAACAATTCTTACGAACTGCTAAAACGGAACAAAAAAGAAATTTAGCCCTGGAATGGTTAAATGAATTAATTTTGTTTCTCCACTATTAGCATTAGCATTGACCACCTTCACAGTTTTAACAATTATGAAAAAACAACTATATATTTTTATAAAACATACATACTACAACTTTAAAGTTTGGAGACATATCCTGTTGTTTGAAGAAGCAAAAACTGAAATGTTTCATTTTAATCAAATTTTGATGAAAGGTTGGAGAGCTTAAGCCGGAGAACACCATGAACCTGTGAGGAGCGACAGTGATCTGCAGCTGAAATGCAGCATTGACCATTAATGACTGAACAGCAGCGTTGCTTATCACAGCCAGCCGCTTTCAGGGACAGCATCTCTGACCCAACAGAAACGATCAGACAACTTCTTTCAGCCGCTGGAGAAGCTCCCAAAAGGGGGAGCAGAGCTGCGCTTGGCAACGCACCAGAATGCTGAGTAATCGGTCTGTAGATGTGCAGACCATGCAGTGATCCTGAAGGCCTGCTTCTGCATTGTCATGCAAATGTAGCAACAATAGAACAAAGAACTTCACAACTGTTTTATACACAAGATAGAAGAGGCTAAACTTTAGTTTTTGTTTTTTTCCATTTGGCTAAAATGTTTTCGGAGCCTCAGCAGCTGCATTTTCATCGACTCCATCATTTGATGATATAAAACATAATAAAAAAAGACTGTCGAAAACCAAGTTAACATGACTACTAATTTATTGGATGACATAACAAAAGTAAGAGAGGAGGTGTAAAAATAAGTTCAGACTTCTACCCACTTCTTTGAACGTGTAAATATGCTTTACTACTGTCCTTTTCTTTTCTATGCTTTTTGATTTAAGTTTATTTTGTTTGAATATAACCTACTTTATTTTATTCTTACACTACGTTCAATAAAGAAAAATCAAATCAACAACCGGATGTTGCCACTGATGTAAATGACGAAAAAGACAACAGGAAGTTGTAGGAAGGAGATGCGCTTTTTTTTTTATTATTTATTCACGTGTGATTTTAATTGTGTTTCTTATTTAATGGAAACACCACAACTGCAAAATTGTGTTTTTTTTTATATCAACAAAGTTTTGCATACATTTGTAACGTAAATGCAGCTGCTGTTTCAGCAGCGCTACAGTCTATCCTGTAGTAGTTTTGCGTTCTGCTAGCAAGCACTGCTATTACCTTGTCATGTTACACATTTTTATACAAGTTGTAAATTCAAACAAAACATGAACAAATTTTAATATATTCAACTGATATGGAGGAAAAAACATTAAATCAACTTTTCTTCTAATATGTCATATACTATATACTCTATTCCACTCCTGTGATAACCGGCAAAGAGTTAAGAATAAAATAAAATAAATAGAATATTAATCCCACAGTGGAGAAATTTGCTTGTTACAGCAACACAGTAAGAAAATTTACCCAATTAAATGTAAAAATATGTGACAATAATATAAACGGTATATTAATAAAGTACCTACATACAAAGTAAAATAAACATTAAATAGAAGCCTGAAGAACTGAGAAAGTGAATTTCATCAAATCTGGTTATAATATTTTGCTTTTTGATATGTTTTAGTCTACTTCCTGTTGTCAGACATGTTTTGTTTCATGAGTTTATTACCACAGTTCTAGTTTGAGAAGCATTTTTTGCTTCTCAAAATCACAATCTGAAAACTACTTTTTCTATTTTATCACGTTATTTTTGTCTTGTTAAATTTTGTTAGACGATCTGAAACTTTTAAAGGTGATTAGAAGGATAAAAACTGAAGAAAGATGTAAGCAGGGAAATTCTTCACACAGCACTGTATGTGCAACGTAGTTTAAACGATAAAAGAGATTATATATTTATTTTCTCTGAGGCACCTGAGACCAGCTGCAGCTCTCATTAGGCTTCTGAATGCAGAGAAAAAACACGCTGCAAGTCATAAATCCCAGACTGAATTCTGGGTAAAAGCTTGTCCAGCAGGATGTCTGGTTTTACAGCATTAAGGGTTGTTTTTAATGCTTTATAAGTTACATAAAGACATCCCATGTCTCTGGTTGTGCTGTAAATGCTGGGGTTATGCAGAATTTGTTTAAAATGTAGGAGTGTGGAGGGGAAAGAGCTTTCAGCTGCTGCGTTTTGTTTCAGAGGAAGCAGAAAGTCTGGTCATCTGCTGCTTTCAATAGAGACCATTCGTGTTATGTAACATCTCAGCTGAGAAAACTAAAGCAACACTGGAGTTACTGTGTAACACTATAACACAAACTCCTGTATGTTTTGTTGCAGTGGCATCCAAAATGGTAAAGAATAGTAAATGCCCCTGTCTTCTGTATAAGTAGCTGTTGTTGCTTTTCACCTTCAGTATTTGTTAATTTTCGTCTCAATATCTACTAACAGCTTCAAGATACAAAAGTTAATCTTCCATATTCGATTCCTCCCTGGAAAACATTCCAGTTTTTTTTTCTAATCTAATGATCCAGGATGGTTTTGGTGACATTGGACCAAAGACGCAGCAGTGACTTCATACTGACACTCCATATAAGGACGACAGGCGGCCTTGAAATGTCTTCTAGTCGTCCCTGTTAGTCCAAATGAACAATGTATGAACAGAACCAGCAGCTGCACAAACTTCCTGCTGTTTTACTGAAGGTTTTTCAGCTTCTGGAAATCCTTTGATTAAAAAAAAAAAAAAGCAACAGCAACAAATGCATAGTCATTACTCCTTCTAATGCAAATTATGAGATGTTTAGCTTTTATTAATAATAAATTGCTTCTCCTGTTGAGTTAATGTCAAAGTTGTCTAGCACGTACTTTAATATACATATTACTTAAATCAATATTTGAATAAACACTTCCAGATATGCATATGTTTGTTTTTTTAATGTTTAGCTTAAATTTAACCGATATGCAGGGTTTTTATAGTTATTATTGCTGGATCACAAACTGTCATATTTTGAATTGCTCTCTTGGAAAAACTGTTTCCATGATTTTGGCAGAAAGAGTATTAGTTCAAGATAAATGGTGCAGAATATTATGTTTTTGCTGTTCTTAACTGCGTCATATCATAAATGTTTTACTTTGAATCCCTAATCTAACAGAGTCTATTGGACTATAAGTGTGAAAACACATGTCGGGCCTAGTTACGATCCCTGTGCCATACCTCCCACAAAGTTTTTCTCCATGTAGTCTATAATCTGGTTGTAGTCGCTGATGATGGTGTCTCCGTGGAGGAAGACGGGAACCTCCTCCCCCAGATTCAGTCTCATGAACCAGGGCTCTTTGTGCTCCTGCAGCGGCAAACTCACATCCCTCTCATCACACACCAGATTCTTCTCATGGATCACGAGACGTACCTGAAATTACACAGACATTCGTGGCTTAGCTCCAAACAAACAGGATGTCAGCTCACAACATACGGGCGCTTGTTTGTTTCAGACACACTGCAATGTAACATCATGCACCAAAAAAAGGTTTCAATTCAGAAAAAAACAGCGAGGGAAAAGGAAGTAGATCAGTTATGCTAGCTTGACTTTGAAAACGTTAATATAGATGTGCTGTGGAATTTGGTGTCTTTCAGTTCAGTTTACAAAAATTTTAAAAAGTCCAATTTTACAGATCATCAGGTCTTTAAATTAACTGATCAACCACTGCTCTGTTAGCTTAGCAAACAGCAGCAGTAGCTCATTTATCACAGTAATCACTTATTAATAATCACAAAATAAACATCTAGCCTGATATTGTAACACTCTAATGGACTGAATGTTCTGTTTTCATTTGCGTGAGAATTGTTTGAGTGTTTTTTGGAGCACAATATGCTAGTGGAGCTGTTATCAGTCAGTTGCTATGGCAACGTGCGTGTAGCAAAGCCGACACAGAGAGCAAGAAAAGTTCAGAACATGAACGGTTTTCAGTTATTCTTCAACCGTTTTTCTCCATTATTTTCCCCTTTGCTGCACTAAAATATTAATACCTTCATCTCCAGGTTTCACTTTGCTTCTTTGCAGCAGCGCGGCTATGGATGATAAGTAAAACAAAATCATCTCTTGCCCTCTAGCATTGCGTGCATTCATGAAATTTCCAGATGTAAAAAATAGCATGACTATTAATTTTAAAACATTCAGCTTGCAGTACAGGTGATTTAGTCTTATTTAATCTCTGTTGAAATGTTTTCACGTTAAATGAATTTACTGATTTGGTCAGTTGGAATGAATGCAGTCAGTGCTGTTTGATTAAAAGAGAAATCTCGATGAGCAGTGGATTTAATCCAGGATTTATAAGTTCTTCAATGTCAAGTTCCTGTTTTATACCGCTAAGGTGTCCCATAAGGATGCCCACAAATAACACGGTTACTGTTGCAGGAAGAGTTTGTTATGTAATGATAGATTAGTCACTCTCTGCTAATGATGCCAAGATGTTCAGATGCTTGGAAGGCAAAATACGAGCTCTGGCTCCTTGTTGTGCAGCGAGAGGTAGCACTGTTTCTGGTGAAAAAGTGCAATGTGTCAGACTTTCTTAATCAATTTGTTTTTATTTTATTTATTTTTATTAAAACAGATTGGGAACAAATTAATAATATTCCTGATTTACTCAAACCTACTATGAAAGAAGACGTTTTAACATCATAGCATCTAGATCCTAAATGAATGAAACACAAGTTTGAAATAATTAATGAATAATTCTCAGCAGTGGTGTGTGTTTAAATCTTTCCTCAATAAATGAAACATAAAAAGAAGGAAAAAAACAATTTATCCATGATTTAGCAGTTAAACATGGTGGAACAGATTACAAACTGCTAACATATTCAGTTAAAACTGTAATATTCTGTTTAAATTGACTTTTCATCCTATTGCAATTGAAGAACTCTTTTTGACTATACATAGTACTAATATTAAACAAAACACTTCCAGTTATGCGTATAATATTGAAAACATTTAGTTTGGGCTCCTTAAGAGTAAATATAACAGACCTGCAGGAGTTTTTTCAGAGTTATTGTTGCTTTATTGTTGTTATAAAATGTCATATTTTGCAGTAAATAGAGTATTTTTAGTCCAGTTTTTATTGGAAATGTCTTAGTGCACTTGAAATAAGACAAAGCTGATTTACAAGTGATGTTTTAGCAAGATAGAGGAGTTTTTTAAAGAAAATAATTCCTTAAAATATAAAAGTAGTATCTCCTCTGGCATATTATTTCATCTTTGACAAAATATTATACTTATAAGAAGTGAAATAATCTGGAAGGGAAACTTTTAACTTTTTAAATCAATATTAAGAAATTATTGACTTAAAGCAATCTCCTGTATCTTACTGAAAATGTACTTATAAGGTATTTTTGTTTTATTTGAAGTTTACAAAAATATTTGCACCAGAATCTATGAAAGATACTTGGTTAGACTTTTATGTTTTGCAGTGTTTTAGGTGAAAAAACCTTCAAAAGCAGATTCATACATGAGACACAGATGGCTGACACAAATTATGAATTCTGAGAACATCTGTCCTTCTTTCCAGAAGTCTGCTTTTCAGATTTAAAAATCAGCTTCAGATTGACTCCTTTACAGCTTCACGGGCTGAACTGACGGAAGAAAATGATCTTCTGCAGAAATCTTTGTTTTAAAGCAACATTTTTAAGCGAGTGCAGATAGTTGGGTAAATCTGTGATCTGATGACTCTGCACTATAATATAAAAACAATGGAAAGTGAAGCAGCAAAAATTGCAGAACATATCTTTCCACCTGCATTGTCCTTTGACCCCTTCCACTCTAAAAAATAAAACCAGAAACTAACTTTTACATGATTGATCTGAGGGATCCTGGAATGTGAAACAGCTGAGTCTGACAGTCGTACTGCTGGAGATGTAAATCTCTGACCTGTAGGTCCTCATCGATCGATGCAGCTGCACGTAAATGTGCCGTTATCAAGCTGCATCCATCTCTGACATTTTCATATGTGTTGTGTATGCAGTAAGATGAAAATATGATATTAAATTTATATATTAAAGCACATGAAAAGAGATGGAAGCTTCACAAATGCAGAAAACACACTAAGAAAATAAAAATGATGAAATTATGAGAATAAAGTCATGATGTTATGAGGATAAAGTTGTATGAGAATAAATTACAACAATAGTCATATTACTTTATTCTCGTTATGATTTTAATTTGGTAATATTATAAATTTATTCTTATTATTTCAACTTTTTTTCTCATACGACTTAATTCTCATAACATTGTGACTTTATTCTTGTTAATATGATTTATTTTCAAAATATTATAACTTTTTTTGTCACATTATTTCAACTTTATTCTCCTACAACTTCATTATTGTAAAACAAGACTTTTCTGAAAATATTAAGATTTTATTCTCATCTTATTTCAACTTTTTCATTACCATAACTTTATGACTTTATTCTTGTTATTCTGATTTTATTCTCAAAATATTGTGATGGTTCTGTCACGTAATTTCAACTTTATTCTCGTAAAATTATGACTATTTTTATAATTTTGTGACTTTATTCCCATGATATTTAAAATTTGTTCTCGCAATACAACAGCTTTTTTCTTGTGATATTATAACTTCATTTTTTGTAAAACTAACTTTATTTTAGTATTTCAACTTTATTCTCATATTATTTCAACTTTATTTTGTAGATTATAACTTTTTCTGAACATACTATGATTTTATTCTGATCTTTTTTCATCTTTATTCTCATATGACTTAATTTCTGAAATATTACAACTTTATTCTCATAATTTTAATTATTTTTATTTTTTAGTATGGCCCTATGATACGCCACCATAAATAATACATCACATTTTTGTTTTTTAGGTGAACAACAAATCATTTTCACAGAGCCGCAGAAGACGCCGGTATGTGATGCTGTTGACACATGATCTGAGAGCCACTCTGGCTCCGAGATTGAAGCGATAATCATGACAGCAAGCTTTCTGTTGACCCTCCGCTGAGTGACGAGCGTTTCAATCAGCAGCTCAGATCGGAGTCGATCAGATCAGAGCCTGAGAATCTGCTGTCCGGCTGCAGAGCAGAGAAATACAAACTGTCCCACCAACTCAGGAGCTGGTGGGACAGAATCTGTTTGATCCACCAGTGAATAACAAGCAGTGACAATGAGTCCCATTAATTCTCATAACAACACAATTACAAGAAGCAGAAACATATAGCAATAAAAAAAACTCTGGTTAAAGGTTCTTAGGTGAAAAGGCAGAGTAAGCATTATGCATTATTAATCAATATTATTTCAGCACCTAAAACCTAATGATCCCATTTAGATGTCATTTTGTCCACATGCAGGCCAGAGATCTGAATGTGCTGTTCTTTGAGCAAAATTCCTTTTTATTTGACCATTACATCAACAATTGGTTCATCACGATCAATCCAATTTATCATTTCACCCCAAATGTGAATTATTTTATTCCATCTGCAAAACGATTTAATGCTTAATGGATTCAGTACATCACTGGAGTTATTTGGCGCAATCCAGATGTGCTGTTTTTTTCCCAAACTGGATTATTTTTGCTGCCACTAGTCTGCATGAAGAAAATAACCTGAGGTTTGATGTGATATGGTGTTGCCCTTCCCCCACCTGTTGCTATGAACTGCCACTCAAATGGCTCCAGGAACACACCTAAACATCTTCTTTTCCCTGTAAGAAAGTCAACTTTGGCTGTTTGGAAACTTTTTGGGTTGCTAAAAACATGAACAGTTATGGTGTGGAAATCGTTGAAAAACCACAAATCTCTCTTTATGATATGATGCAGTTAAGAACAGCAAAAACGTATAATATTCTGCACCATTTAAAAACAACAACTAATACTCTTTCTGCCAAAATCATGGAAATAGTTTTCCCAAGAGAGCAATTCAAATCAAGAAGCTTATTTTATTTTTTATCTAGCAACTATTCAACACCTTAAAAGCCCTAAACGGTTTGCATTTGTGATTGAATGGATCATTAGATTTATTCATTATCAAAGTAGTTGCTGGTTATTTTTAGGCCAGCAATAATCCCACATAAAGTACTGAAGGATGTTTGACATAAACGCATAATCCACGTGTGAAGATGAGGTTCTGACTGAGGACAGGAAGCCCAAAACGATGGAACAGAGGGTCCAACTTCACTAAAAGTGATGAGCAGATCTACATTTGGTTACATTGTAAAGTATCAGGATTCAAGAAGACTCAATCCCACAGTTATAATAATGAAGCATATTAATGGATCATCATTTCTCTTAACACTAAATTGATCATTTCACATTCAGATTAACTTTACTTTGGTAAATTCACAGCATTACAAAAACAAAAAAGAAAACAAAAGAAAATGTTATTTTGCTGGACCAGTTAATTCGGAACCATTATTGACGCTTTTAGATGATTTGAAAGCTACATTTCACACACACCAGTGTCTTCGCACACAAATATGACTCCAGTCTTCTTAAGATTTTAATACCCCAATGCACATTCTTGAGCCTTGTTTATTTTTCTGCTTTTATTAATGACAGTGCACCACTATGCTGATGATACTCTCCTTTATTCATAAGGCTTTGAATGGCTTTCCAGCTACTTACAGCCTGCACCACTGCTTGATATTAGTTCTGAAAGTGAATAAAACAGAATTAATTTTATTTTCTAGAAATCTCTCCCATATTTTGATTAATAGAGATTTTTATAAACTAGGCAGGAAACCTTATTAGTTCTACGAGTGCTCAGGTATTGGGATGGATGAAAGCTTGGCTTTCAAAGTGAATATTGAGCATTTGGTAAAGAAGCTAAATGCTAAACTGAGCCTGTATTTTTTAAAATAGCGAGTTTACTTTTGAAATGTCAAATTGCGTGTTTATAGAGTTGATGGAAACACATTTATTGTTCTCATTTTCACAAAATCAATTCAGATTCCTGTGGACAAACGTTTCCCCTGAAGGTAATGCAGCTGTATTTATACAATGAATAAATATTGCTTTATGTGTGATGTTGTTGAAAAGGCCAGTTTGGGAGGCTTCATGCTGTTGTCATTATGTTTGTTTTATGTGCAGCTGACTGGCTTAAATGCTGGTTTTAATGACACAGGCTCATTCCAGGAAGTTCACTAATAATTTATTATCTGTGGTGATCAAAAGGTGGGCTTGAATAAAGACAGAAACAGCACCATATGGTCTGCTTCGCAGGGAAAAGGCCTGGCTCTGCACAACACTTGCACCAACTAAAACAGAAAAACATTCTGCTATCATCATGCATGACAGATGACATGTTTGTGTCTGCTGCATGTCGAAGAAATGAACATCCCGCTGCGGCGGTACCGTGCTGCACAGGAGGAGGTAAACAAGCCCAGATGCAGACATGCCTCGGTCATATAGCAAACAGACAGCATGCACAGAGACATGAAGCCATCTCCATTTTCATTTTCTGCTCCAGGTCTTACCTTCTGTGAGGCGAAAGACTGCGTCCAGTGGTACAAAACCAGCCTGTCTTTGTTGAAGGGTTTGGACTCCGCCGTGGGCTCCTCGCTCTCCTCTCCGTCCGCCACTTTGCCGTCCTCATCCATGGCTGAGATGGGCCACCAGCTACAGTTGGTGGGGGTAACATGGTTGGAAGACGCCATGACAGAGCGTTTTGTGCGTGTGGAGGAGAGGAGCGGAGCGAGGAGGGACGGAGGGGCTGGATGCACGCAGAGGGAGGAGAGAAAGAGAGAGAGAGAAAAAAAGAGAGAGAGGTGGAGGTGGGAGAGGTGGGGGAGGGAGGATGTCAGCAGCTCGAGCGCAGCATCACCTGAGCACGCGGCGCCAGCATCAGTCAGCTCCGGTGCTGAAATCCGCCTCACCTCCCGCAAAAAACCCCGCACAGACTAATCCGTATGCAAACTGCCTCTGCGTAATAGCATGCTGCTGCTGCTGCTGACGATGAGGAGGATGATGATGCTGCTGCCGCACGCGGATAAATCAGAAGGACCGTATTACATCACGCAGTGAGGCACGCACAAACATGCGCGGTGGAGACCCGCGAAAGGAGCAGGCAGGGAAGGTCATGCGGCTCCTGTAAGGACGTGGAAAAATAAACACAGCGAAGCCTTTTCATGTTGAATCGGATGAACCAACAGCAGGAGAATCCACACGCTTCATCTCAGACTCTTATGTGTTTTTACTGGGATTTTAAATGAAATACGAGCTCAGTGACTGAGATGGAAGGAAAATGATGCACAGTTTGGAAATCAATCAGTCGAGTTAACAGCGCTTATCAGCAACATGTGACAATAAACATAATTCAGTTACATTGAAGGTTTGACTTCAAAATGAAATCAAGGAAATTACTTTGGTTTTAACTCAGAAATTAAAGTTGATTTAACATTGTTTTCAATTTCATCAATCGAGAGTTTTAACTTAATGCTTAAATTTAAACCAAATAATTATTTCACAATATAGAAAAAAAACTGCCCTCACAAAAAACTGCCCTCACCTCGTTAAAGAGACGTTTCTCTTATTTTCACTCACAATATGAAGTTAAAATAGCTGCTTATTTTACGTTAAAATAATTGAATTCTTGCTTCAAATGCATGAGCAGAATTTCTGATCCGATATTGAATTTTATTAAACATCTCAATGAATTCAGCTCAGAAACATTTAGTGTGAACAGGACATTATCCTTAAGCTTTGCTAACTGTCAGCTGCATTAAAATGAAGATTTTTCTTAGTCAGATGAATGTAACGCAATCTCAGGATACAAAAACATGCCGATAAGCATTCTGGGAAATAGTTCCCACTTCTGTCTTTTTCTTCCTTCAGTTTTTTAAGTGCTAACCTAAAAACTCTTCAACTCTTGACTGCTCTGAAGGCTCTGAAAGGTTTTGTTGTCTGTTTTAATTAATAATTTATAAGATATTACTGATAATTAGCTCCCTAAATGTCTTTGAATAGGCCTATATGTTAAAACAAACAGCCTTTTCAATTTGACAAAATAAATAACACACAATAATGCATTTCTTTATGACTGAAAGCAAGAGTTAAATCACTAACTTATGAAATATTTTTAAATAAAAAGGCACAAACGCTTCGTCAGTTTCAGAAAGTAAAATATCTGATCTGTTTCACTTAGTGGTGATCAACATGGCGCCAAAAAATTAGACACAGACACACATTCAGATTGAGAGATTGTATTAGGACTTTCACTGTAGTTTCTTAAGGATCCAGCAGGGGGCGAAATTAACAACTTAGTTGGTAAAAGGTGTTTTTTGTTTGTTTGTTTGTTTTTTAATGAAAATTCAATACGATTGATAAACAATGCTGCTATAATGTTACAAATGTTACATTGATTTTAATGCAACTTAGAGATCAAAAATAGTAATTAATGTATTTTAAAGCGCAAAAACAATTCCGGTTCCATAGAATAAACGTTGTCTTACTATTAAAAGCCCTCTTGACTTGAATCAAATAATTATAGAAAACGCATGGTTGGATTTATGTGCAGATGTGGAGATCTTTGTGCTCAACTTTTTTTTGTATACCTGCGTAAAATGTTTTTTAAAAAAGTGTGGAGTTGGACAGCAGAGACCTGAAAGGCATGCAGCTACTTCTGTCCCGAAGGGGAAGACTCTGGCGTGGCTCCTTGCAGGCATGCAGCGGAGTTAAGGATTGGGTTGTATTTTTGGAAGGGTGTGTGTGTTTGTGGATTGGTCGCCTTGTTAGGTTTGCTGAAGTGTGTCCAACCGCGGCGGCTGTCAGGAGGTAGCTGGGTGGCAGGGACAGGGGGGGAAATGCCACCTGAGAAAGCCATGTAAGATCTCTGGCTTTTCAGCACGCACATCCACATTTTATTCACAATTCGCTCTAATAAATCCGCAACACACAAAGAACGATGTTTCAGGAACGATGCTTGATTTAGAATAACAAGAACTCAAATGGAGATCGCAACAGAGGAAACCCAGTAAAGTTTATCTCGCAGCTGCATGTCAGGTGAAATCCACGTCAGGAACTTCGGGCAGGTAAAAGGAAAGGGAAAACCCAGAGCCGTCTTTCAGTTTTCATTTTGCGCTTCGGGATGAGTGGAGGTCGCTTCGAGTTTGATGATGGCGGGGCTTACTGTGGAGGCTGGGAGGGGGGCAAAGCCCACGGCCACGGCATCTGCACCGGACCCAAGGGCCAGGGCGAGTACTCGGGCTCCTGGAACTACGGCTTCGAGGTGGTGGGGGTCTACACCTGGCCCAGCGGGAACACCTACGAAGGCTACTGGTCGCAGGGTAAGCGCCACGGACTGGGAGTGGAAACCAAGGGACACTGGATTTACCGAGGGGAATGGACTCACGGCTTCAAAGGGAGATACGGGGTCCGGGTCAGCGTGGGCAGCGGAGCCAAGTACGAAGGAACCTGGAACAACGGGCTTCAGGATGGGTACGGGACGGAAACATACGCAGATGGAGGTGAGAGTCATAAATAAGACTTAAAAGTTTTCTGAAGTTCTTAAATGTACGGAAGGCCTGAAGTGACTTAAATAAATAAGTCCTTAATTAATAATTAGTAATAAAATACTTGGAATAAGAATAACTGATAGATATGGGACAGAGAAATACATAGACATAGGTGAGAGTCATGAAATAAGCATAAAAATGTCCATGAGTCCCTAAATGTACGGTAAATGTAATGACATAATTCGGTGTGTAAATAAGCCCTTTATTTAAAAAAATACTTTGAATAAGAATGACAGGCTTCAGGTTGGATAAGGCACAAAAACATACAGAGATGGAGGTGAGAATCATGAACTATGCCTTAAAGGTTTCCAGAATGTAAATGTACGGAAGGCCAAACATGACAAAAGTAAATATGTAAGTAACTCCATAATTAATATTTATTAATAGAATACTTTGAACAAGAACCACGACAGATTGCCAGGACAGAAATACATGCAGATGGAGGAGAAAGTCATGAAATATGCCTTAAAGTGTCTCAATCCAAAATGTCTGGAAGGCCTAAAGTGACAAAACTCAATAAGTACATAAGTCCTTAATTAATATTTATTTATAGAATAATTTGAATATAAAATTGGAAATACATACTCTGAATAGTTACATTTATTTATAACTATGTAATAATTTATACAATTCACTAAAAAAATAGATAAATGTGGTAAAGAATCAGAACCCAGAGCAGGAATGACGTAGCGTTTTGACCCAGAAACAGTTTGATGTCATCTGGAATGAGCTGGAGCATACTAGACCTGGACCTGGTACCAAAGTGAAAGTCAGTTCACATTATTTTATCTTCCTGTTCTACAGTCTATCATGGTATTGGAATATCATTTGTGTCTATCATGAGGTCTAATCCTAAATTATATAAGACCGAGGCTTTACAATCCTATTCTGACTCTTTAAAAATGTTTTAAGAAAAAAGTAGGTGTGCAAAAGTAATATTTAATTTAAGATTTTAAAAGTAAAAATACACATGCTTAGTATGAAAGTATACTCAAATTTGGAAACTGTTACAGTTTCAAAACCAAAACCTTTTTTTCATATTGTCTATACAGTTTAATAAGCTGATGTTGTACAAACTAGAACTGCAATGTTAATATACCAGGTTTTGTTGCACACTGCTGGTCAGCTGGCTGCACCAAGACTCCTGTAATGTTTTCCTTGTTTACAGAAAAGAAACACGTCTGGTCACAGAAAACACATAGAGGTCAATAATACTTCAAAGGAAAGTTTATTTGTAGAGAAACTTATGAAGTTAAAATTAAATAGCCCAGATAATTAACCAGATTATAGAAGCTTCTTATGCTCTTCTATAAAGGAAAAGTGACAATTTATAAAAGTAAAAAATAACTACCAAATTTAGTAGTTCTTTAATTTTTATTTTTTCACAAGTTTATAAAATAAACAATAAAAGATTATCAATAATATTATTATAATCACAGTTTCCAGCGTTATGTCACTGAACAGTAGTGTTGCTTTTCTGTAAACATAAAAGAAATTAAATTAAACATTTTTGTTTAATATTTTTGTGTAAATATGACAATGTTGTAATGGTTTTACTCATGGCATATAGTGAGTAAAACTATAAGTAACAACTTAAAATCAAAGAAAGTTTCTCACTATTCCTTTATTACTCATATGTATCATGTAAGAAATATTTTACATTAATTTGCAATAAATTAATAAAAAAAATTTAACAGATCAATGATTAGGTTCATTTTGTAAATCATGATCTGAACAGTTTCTGAAAGCACTTTTAAACCAGTCACTCTTACAGAGACACACATTCAAACATATCAATAGTTGTCAACTTAGGCATTAATTAGTCAGTTTGAATCAATATGTGACAATTGGAATCAAGCCCATAACCTTCAGATTATGAGGAAACTACTCTTTTCACTGCCTCATTTCTGCAGAAAAGTCATTTACCTTCATTCTCTGGTAAAAGTTGATTAGCAGTGAAGGAAATGCAGCACTCTGTTTGTCTCTATGATGTTCTGCTTTAAATTTTGATTTGTTTCTGAATCTTCACCAAAGGTGAATATCATTCAGATCAGATCAAACCAGCAGCCAAATTATAATTATCATTAGTGTGCACCCAGATTCTTTCTAGAGATATGGAAGGAAGTGAGTGTGTAAGAACGAGTCCATCTCCAATGATCTCCTGATGTGAGTGTAACCGGAAGAAAACACCACCCTGCTGCTGTCAGTCAAGCAGAAGTCTGAGCATGGTGGGAATGAAACTCACAAAATGTTTTCATTCATTACTATAAAGACATCAAGAGCAAGAATAAATGGATATTCAATTTTTAAAAAATATAGATACAAAGATAGATTATGATGGATAATGGAGTCATGCTGCTGTGTAGGTCAACATGGCATCATGTTTTGCATCACATTGTTTATTTTGAATTGGTGAAGGTAAATAAATGGAAAATTTGTTATCATTACAAAGTTCACATTTCCCTTCAGAAATCCACATTAACTAGTGAATATTGGCATGAAGTTAAACAATAATTACTTTCCCAAACATTTATATTTATAACACCTTCGCAGTTTTTTTATTCATGAACACAGCTAATAGACATGTGCATGCTTAAAATTAAAAATATTCAAGGTACAATAAAAGCATTTCCCTGACTCATCAGGTTCCAACCTGGTCCACTGGAAGCTGTGGTGGGGGATGTGACAGCACCAGATCTCAGGATTTATTAATAGCACAGCCACTCAGTGACCTTTTGGCCTTACCGGCACAAGACTAGCTTTGATAGTGTAGCTTTGACCAGCTGGACAGAGCTAACATTTAATAACCGTTGGGAAATATTCATTGTAATAATTTTGGTTACAAATATTAATAAAAGTTAACTAAAGTCAATTAAATGTGCTTATTGTTTTGTTATATAAACTTTAAGCAAATCTAAGAAAATCTAACTTTACCCATTTAGATTTCACCAACTTGGAAGAACTAACTTTTCATAATCAAACCATTGAGTTAATTAAAGATGCTTCTGGTTTTGGTCTAGAAACATTATGTTTATCGTAAGAAAAGCCAACTATGGCACCTCAGCTGTCACAAAAATTTGACCCTGGTGCATGTTAATATTGTCTGTCAGTATCTCGCTAAGGTTCACAGATAGAGCATGCTAACATGCTAACAATACAAATTAATTTTGAGAAAAATATTGATCAAATTGAACAAGTGTTTTCTAAATATTCCAGCTTCCTCATACATGTTAATGAGTCATTTAGGCGAGTCACTTAAGCCCAAGTTTTTCTGCTGGTATATAAATATCTGCACATTTCGAAGTTTGACTGGGTGAATGTGGCTCTAGTGTGAAGTACGTTGAGTTGTCAGTATGACTAAAAAAATTGTTATATATATTCAGTCCATTTATTACACATCTATAAATAACAATACAAAAATGTTCAACACATGCATAGCATGGTTGGGACTCTGTCTGACCTTTCCCCTCCAGTTTGTTTTAAAACAGGTCACTGCCATTCAGTGTTTCAGCTATCATTGTCTAGTATAGGACGCCGGTGTTTGTACTGCTGCAAAGATTCACCCTGCAAAGATAATGAAAAAATTCATGACTCTGGTCTTCAAGAAACAGGCCAACTATGCAATTGTTTTTCATTTGTAAGCAATTGTAAAAATTGTTTACAATTAGCAAACACGGTTTGTTGGCAGTTTACAGTGCTAGATGTAATCATTAAATACTTACAATTAAAGCATTTCATGCTTTAATTAAATGCATTTAATCTAATCAAATTTAATGCATCTTACAATACATTAAATTGGCAGTTTACGATCAGTCTCTGATCATATTCTCTTTCTGTATCAATTTCAGATTCCAAAAATACCCCTTATCTGTCATATTGAAAGCTTCTATTATGCAAAGTTCACAATTTTAAATCTTTTTGTACGTCCATTTTGGTTTCAAATGCTTCAGAAAACCACCCACCTAGTTTTTGGTAGTAAATTCATGTTTTGTGGTGTCTGGAAAATGACCCGTTTCAAAAGCCTCTGGAATGTAACGTCACGCTGCGGATAGCAGGCACGGCCCCCAGCGTAGGATCAACCTGTCACTGAGCAACCCCAGCAAAGAATAGCCTGCCATTTAAAGCACAGGAAAGGAGAGTTTCCTATAAGTACTACCATGTTGTTCTAGACCGAGGAATAGTTTTGCTTAATAGAGCAGATTCTATCTTATATGGTTTGGTTCATTTTCAGGTACCTACCAGGGTCAGTTCACTGGTGGGATGCGCCATGGCTATGGTGTTCGGCAAAGCGTACCCTATGGCATGGCAGCAGTTGTGCGTTCCCCTCTTCGTACTTCGTTAACTTCACTTCGCAGTGAGCACAGCAACGGCACCGTTCTACAGCAGGATGTCCCGGTCATCACCACCACCAATGCGTCGGGAGAAGAGACGCCTGTCGCCACCCCCACCCAGCTGGGACCATCCCGCGGAGGCTTCGCTCTCACCCTCCAGGTGGATCCGGAGGCAGTGAAGCCCAAGAAGAAGGGCCTGTTCCGAAGAGGTTCCCTGCTGGGTAAGCTGAAGAAATCCGAGTCAAGCACATCACTCTCCAGCCAGAAGAGCAAGATCAGCTTCCTGAGGACAGAGTCTGCTCTGAGTTCCAATGCCAGCGACACAAACTCCACCATCAGTGGGGATGAGAGCCTGGCCGGAGCAGAGGACTTTCCCCCAGTGGAGGCTGACATTGACGCTACCACCACAGAGGTTTACATGGGTGAGTGGAAGAACGACAAGCGCTCAGGATACGGGATAAGCGAGAGATCCAGCGGCCTGAAGTACGAGGGCGAGTGGCTCAACAACCAGAGACACGGGTATGGCTGCACCACATTTGCCGAGGGAGGGAAGGAGGAGGGCAAGTACATGAACAACATGCTAGTGAAGGCCATGAAGAAGAGGGTGATCCAGCTCAAGGGAACCAAGATCAAGCAGAAGGTGGAGCGGGCGGTTGAGGGAGCGCAGAGAGCGGCAGCCATCGCCAAACAGAAGGCAGAGATTGCTGCTTCTAGGTAAGGATACCAGAGACACCTTTCTGCTCCACTTTATGTCAATGTAGTTTTTTTTTTCTGGTATTATGAGTCAAGATGGGTTGTTATTTATTTATTTATTTATTCAGCTAAATGGTTTGAGGAATAAATGGATTTTGAAAATATCTTCAGAAAAACCAGCCACTGAATTCTAGATAGGTTTGTCACTGTAAGTAATTTTTAATAATAAATCGTCCCAAAAAGTGGTTACGATAAACAATAATATTATTGATAAACTTTAACGTTTAAAGAACTCTTAAAGCAACAGAAAGTGAGTCGTTTCAAAAACCTACTGAATGTTAAGCAGCCATTGACGTGGGCTGCACCATTACCTAGCAACCCCAGTGCATCACCTAACAACTCAAGCAGAGCTCCAGCATGTTTGGTCAGCTGGTTTTACCATTGTAAATGGTAAAACCACTTGGAAAAGACAAGTGTTTTGTTGTTCACTTACCAGCCAGAAACCAATTGCTGTATTCTTTTTGGTTGTGTAGGAGGCTCCACTTCTACTTTTCAAAGATATACGGATGTATAATTGCACATCTGTTTGCAGCCATTTTCATGTGTGATTATAAAGATTGAGTTGGAGGGCGTGACCAGCAGCAGTTTATAAGGATCTAAAGGGACCAAAGTCCCTAAAATAGGCAGAAATAAAATCTGGTTATATTAAGACTTTAGGTTAAAAAAAATAAATGCAAGGAAGGTGTTTTGTACAGCCCATAGACCTATCCAACCAGTTAAAAGAAGCATAGTAGGTCATTGGAACTGGAAAACATTTTAATTATCTAAAATAAATAACAATAGTAATAATAATTAAAAAAAAAACAACCAAAACGAAAACCTAAATAAAACAGATTAGATTAAATAAAATTGTCCTTTAAGTTGTATTATTCATTGGTTTCAGACAGTGAACACAGGCAAAACCGCCAGTTAGAGCTTTTGTAAACAAATATTGCAAATGAGCAACAAAAATACTCCATTTAAATAACTCAACTGCCATTTTTTTGGTTTGCTACTACTAATTAGACTCTCATGCTTCAAAACCATGTAAATAACTAATGCAAGAATTTATGCGTCAGTGGAGACCGATGGACTGGAGGGAAGCCTTTGTCATCCAGTCTCTATTTGAAATGAAAGAAAAACAAAGCATTCAAATGGAAATGATCAAATTCTTTTTAATTTATAATGAAATTTATTACTAATTGCAAAAGCTTTGCTCTGAATCTTGATATTTATTTCTGTAGCAGACAGGTTTTAGGACCCATTAATGTAACAAAACGAGGTCCGACTCGCGTCGTTTTGGCATTTTGGTAGTGATGCTGCCAGTTGCAAAACAGAAGAACGTAAAACTCTCTGTATATCAGAGAGCGAGTATGTCGAACAGGTTTTCTGTGAGGATACTGGCTTCTTTCATCCAAACCATCTGTCATGTAAGCTGTCTATTTTCAGTCCTCTGGCCTTCAGGGTAGATCCTCTGAGGTGAAGTAATGGTTTCTCTTTTTATAACAACTCATTGGAGTTGTTTGGTTAAACAGCAGACCAAGCCCAGATTCAAAATGTTCTCTGGCATTTTATGGTGACTTTTTAATCTCTTGTGGTTGAAGAAATGTCAGAGTGTTTTCACTTGATCAATTTACAGGTCAGATCTGGGCATGGACTCCTTATCGAACGCCCGTCAGCACTGCCAATTAAAAAATTGATCAGCACATAAATACATAAGGGAGAAAACTTTTCATTATTTCCATAAGTGTGTAGCTTTTGGTTTCATTATTTTTTACTTGTTATTTTAATGGAACAGAATAAACTATAAAAATCCACTGCAGTGGTCGTTACATTTAGTTGCACCTCTTCCCAAATAAAAATCCCACAAATCAGGGTGATGTTTTGTTCAACATGCAGTTTGTCTTTGACCGTACAAGGTGCTGGTATTCCTGTCCACGATCATCTTCAGAACCCAAAGTAAGCTCAGTGTTTACAGCGGGCGGACACTTCGCTGATGCTCTGCAGACTTTCTGCAGACACAAATCTAAATATCGCACTGCACAGATAACCACTAAACATGAGTTATTGTTTTTGTCTGTGCGTTAGGTGCACCTACAGCATGCGCATGAGGATTTATGCAGGATTGAGTTCGAAATATCTCAGTTGGCTTCGAAAACAACCAGCAATGTTCAAACTGCTGGAAAATAATGAACAGATTTTATCAAATGCATGCATTGATAATAGATTCATTGTGTTGGCTATCTACCGTTGCTCCTATCTTAAAGGAATTGGATAATCTCCAGATTGCACCAGTTAGGAATAGAAATGGTTTGTCGCTTCTCATTCAATACTCGTAGATACAGTATTAACCTCATAACTTTAAAGGAAGATTATTTTCTGGTTTTATTAATTCAGATTACACATGTGAAAACACAAAATCTAATCAAGTATTTTTGTCTATAGTTTATTGTGCAAATATAACTTATTTGCACAATAAACTATAAACAAAAATACTTTAATTAAGACAAAAACTAACTTACAAGTAATTTTTCAGCAACATATATATAAATTTACTGTCGACAAATCCTCTTTCTTTAAGCACAAAACATGCTGCAGTATTTTTCTAATAAAGCTTAAAGTTTTTTTTATGTACTTTTAATCTGAAGGTGGTTGCCAGGGGGACAATGGGCGGTTAGAAAATGACAGTTGAAAACGAAAAAACAACACGACAAGATAAAATGGCCTCCATAAAACCTTCAATGTTTTATGGTGTGACGACAACATGATACTGATTTAGTGAATAGTTTGAAAATGAAATAAAACCCGATTTTGACTCGAGTTTAGCAGTTAACTTGGACCAGGCTAACTGCTATTAGCAGGCTAACTGCTATTAGCAATACAAGTATCACGTTCATTAAAAGACTGTCTGAAAATTTTTAAGAGATAAGAAATAATCAAAAAAGAAAAAGTTGCTGTTTTTTTATCTTATGTTTCAGATGTAAGGCAGCCATATTGGATTTTGGTGAGGAAGTTTCCGGTTTCTTAGTTTTAAATTCCAACTTTAGTGCAACTCTGTTATTGCTTCAATGTGAAACAGGAATTTTAACTAATAAGTAAAAATTGAATAGTAATTAAATAGTGCCCTTGACAGGACTTTTTGTTTATTCAAATCTCTTGCATTTACTTTTAGAACGACGCAACAATAATTTAAATTTCCTCCGTAAAAGTAACTCTTTAACATGGTGGTGTGAACGTTTTGGGAAGCAGTAGTATATCAGAGTACTTCTGTTACCACAGTTACTAAGTGGCGAGCAGCATTGAGCATTAAGCTTTATTATATAAGCAGCGGAGAGATGACACATCTGTTCCTGGCAGCGGTTTTCTCATGCTATGATCCTTTGGCAGAGAAGTGGAGGGTTTAAAAATACAAGCAGCAGTGTGGTTCATGGAATGCCACACCGGGCCTCTTCAGGTCCAGTTGGTTAAAGTGTTTGCTGGTATTCAGACACTCTTTGGACATTGTTCTCTCTCTGTTTTTTTTGTTGCGTTTGGCTGGCAGCTGGGCCTGTGTGGCAGGACGGGGTGTAAATGACGCACACCGAGGCTGCGCGGTCACAGACGGGCCTCTGACTAAATATGGACAGGCACACTCTTGCTGTATCACAATCACAAGGGAATGCAACAGCTGATTATCCCTCTTCCCCTGCTGCTGTCTGACCCCATCTTCCCTGCCTGCACACAGACACGCACGTTTGTTTTTTTCTTTGTAGAAGCGCAGTGACTCTTCTTTTTGTTTGCGCGGTTGCTCAGAGTTCCTCTCTATTGATTGGGACTTGCTGTCGACGGTCTGATCTGTGTGTCCGCCTCTGGGAGCCTCGGCTGCTCTGCTAGGCGGCGACAGTTAAAGACCCGGCTCGCCTTGCGTCAGCAGTGGTGTCAAATGGTTCTGCAGATAAAAATATGGCACAGCTCATAAGCAAGTGCTTCGGTATAAAGGGGTGGCGTATACATGTACCGCACCTTGCTTTAGTAGTCGGGCTTGGATTACACTCTGTTCTGCTGATACAAGCTGTTTGCACAGTCGTCTTTTGTAAACAATGTTCAAAATGGAAAATGTAGCTATTGTTGAGGAGGAAAAGGTAACTAGACAGTATTAAATATAGCTGAAAGCTCATTTTAGCAAATGGATTTAACTTCACTTCACACACACTGCAAAAACACCAAATCTTACCAAGTATTTTGGTTTAGTTTCAATTGCAATTATCTTGAAATAAGACAAAAGTAATTTACAAGTAACTTTTTCATCAATATTAGGAATTATTAACTTAAAACAAAGCTTATATATCTTGCTGAAAAGTTACTTGTGAGTTAGTTTTTTTCTCCTTTCAAGTATACTAAGATAGAAACTTGGTAAGACTATATGTTTTTGCAGTGCAGCTGAACGTTAACATCCAGCAATCTCTTGCGGCCCATGCCAGATTGAGAAAATATGTCGCCACCATCTGGTTTTCGGACAGGAAGGCTGCTGCTCAAAGGAAGAACAGAAAAAAGACAAAGCAAAATTAACTTTTGTACTTTCCTGACAAAAAAATCTTTATTTTCACACACTGCACACTGCAAAAACACAGGATTACCCAGCATTTAGGTCTAGTTTCATTGCAAATATCTTGCAGTAAGACAACACTAACTTACAAGTAACTTTTTCATCAAGAGTAGGGTCTATCAACTCAAAACAAGCTTCTATATCTTACTGAAAAGTTATTTGTAAGTAAGTTTCGTCTCATTTCAAGTGTATTAAGATATATGCACTTGGTAAGACGATGTTTTTTTGCAGTGCAGCTGAACAATTGCATCCAGAAAAATCTAACAGCACATGCCAGAGATTGAGAAAATATCTGACATCAGCTGGTTTTAGGACAGGTTAACTGCTGCGGAAAGTAAAAACAGAAAAAAAGACTTTTGTTTTCTGACTGAAAATCTTAGTTATTTTCACTAATGTTTGGTGAAAAATTACCAAAAATTACCAAGTATTTTTGGTCCAATTTCTAATGAAAACATATCTGTACACTTGAAATAAATGTAAACTAACTGATAAGTATATTTTCAGCAAGCTATAGAAGCTTGTTTTAAATAAACAATTCCTTAATATTTAATTTACAACAAGGCATTTTTTGTGAAAAGTGAATAAAACTGGCATAGGAACTAATATTTTTTTATCACTGTTCAAGAATTGTTGACCTAAAACAAGATTTTGTAATTTACTCATTATGTTTGTGCTTTTGAAATAAGACCAAACTAAAACATTAGAGCTAGAAATGAGACAAAAATACCTGCTAAGATTTTTTTTTGCCGCGTGCATTAAGCTTCTGAGATCTCTTACCATCTCAGCATAAAAAAAAAGATACCTGCTCAATCACATCATCATATGTTGAAAAGAAAGCCTTCAAAGAGTCAGTGTGTGAGTACTTTAATCATACAGATATAAAGTACTGTATGATTACTGTAAATAAGATACACAGGGGCGAATTCACAAAACTATTTGCGCTCGCTAAACATGTGCGAACCAGAGTTTGTACATCTGTCAAATACTCAGACTTCAAGCAACTGAAGATTTAAAATAGTTCAGCTGATCAAGTTCAGCTGCTGTGCCAACTGTTCGCTCACATTTAAATAAGACTTTATGGAGCATTTAAATGGGTTGAATTTATCTCTACTAATACATTTTTGGAAACTTGGAGCTAAGTTCCCTCTTATCAGGAACGTTGATGTGCATTCAAAGAACTGCTAGAAACTTATTCAGTCCGATTTAATCCACTGCGTTTTTCTTCATAATTTAAATGTATGAGTCCTATTTTAATTAGTTTAATAAAACTGTCAGCACGCAGAATTAAGAGTCACATTAACACTTGCTCCTGTTGATCTATAATTCCAGTTGGCATTCTTTGCCGACACTTCAGTATATTCATATTAAAGTGTTTGGATGAATGGTTCATGAAAGCAATAATTGTGAATATATTTTGCTGAGCAGCTGCAGAATCTGGAAAATAAATTTAAAAAAAATCTATTCGGCCATGAAATTAACCGATATCGAAGCATGTTTATATAAACTCTGGGACACGTTCACAGCGTTGGTTTTTGTGCAGGTGGAACTGGTTTGTTTTACAGTTTACAGTTCAAACAAAATATTGTCTGATCCAGTCCACTGGACTCAGATAATCTTCAATCCAATCATTGTGACTCTGCTTGCACCAATTAGCTGGACCTCTGTTGAATTAGGTCAATCAATTTTAAAGGATAGAATAATTATGCAATATCGTTTTAATCATTATTTTGTGGAATTCAGTTTGACTGTTTTTTCTGTAATTATTTACAGACTCTTTTAAAATCACAATTGATTTGAAAAAGAAGTAGAAAGTGTGAAACCTTCAGTTTTTTAGGTGCTGCATAACAGCCTGAGCTGTAAATGACCAGTTTTGGTTAAATGTCTCATCACAGAGACAATAATGTCTTTTTATTGACATCATGTTAAATATTTTTATTTGTCATTATTTTTGTAGAAATCAGTTTTCACTTTGATATTAAAGGAGTTTTTTTGCAATTATTTTATCCAAAATAAAAATGGATTCTTTAAACATGATTGATTTCTAAAAGAATAAAAATAGTAAAACTCGAGGTGATGAATGTTTCATAGGCACTGCACAACCAGCATCACCGTATGTGTAAGTTATCTGCAATTTGTGGTCACTAAAGTCTTTTTGTTGCCTTCAACAGTGTTGTGCTGTAATTCAGACTCTTTATTTGATCACTGGTTTTGATAGATGTAATGCTCATTTACATGGAAACATTGTCGCCTTCCAGCAAGACAGTCCTGAGTTTGAATCCCAGCCTGGCATCTTTCTGTATGGAGTTTGCATGTTCTCCAAATGCATTCATGGATTCTCTCTGGTTAGTTTGTCTCTCTAAATTGCGAGTGTGTCTTCACTGTGTCTGTATCCTTCCTCTCATCCAGTCACTGCTTGATACAGAAGTAGGTTTAGTTGACTGGATTGGAGGTTTCCTGGTACTGTTGCAGCTTTTAAGCAGAGGGCAGTGACCTTAAACAAGGTTGTAGTTACTGTGAAAGATTAATATTAGTCTGCTTTATTAATTTTAAAGATATCTAGCTGGAAAAAAAAGTTTGGAGGAGTGAAGGTGAGGGTTTACGTACACTGTAAAAAATGATGGTGTTAGCGTCATGTTGGACTGTTTCGCTTTCAGTGGTGTTGGTGAAATAGAAAATCCTCAAATTCTTCAACTTCACCTCAAATAGTTAAATTTTCTGACTGCATCAAAATTGGTTTCAAAATGCTTATAGCAGACTTATGGAATAAAATAACAATTACTGGACCATATTCAAAACAAGTAAACAAACTCTAACAATTCTCCAGAGAAAAGTGTTTTAGTTATGCTAGAATCCTGATTACGCAGCCTAAAAGTAAACTGTTGATAAAGATCTTGTCAGGCAAAAACAAGTAATTTATGGCCATTTATAGCTTTAACTGAAATCAAAATATGTGATATTACAATTGTAAGAAATCCTGGTTAGGAACAGCAGGAAGAGCTGCTGGGATCTAAATAAACATAACCTAAAACATGTTTGGATTTAATTTGTACTTACTGGTGTAAATATATTTAAACAATGAGTTTTCAGAAAGGTGGAGATCATCCAAGTCAATCAGGGCACTTTCTAATTATTCCACTGGGAAGCACCTTCTCCACTGGGTCTAAAACTGGAGCAGGGAGCTAAATTCAGATTGGTATTAAGTTACAGTATGCCAAGTGTCTTCAGACTAATCACATTCAGTTATTCTCCCAGTTACTACGAGACAAACAGCAGCAGCAGCTGCATTGATTATCAGAGAAGTCTGTCAGTTGGTAAAGACAGAAATATCTCTCCAGATTGTTGATGGAAAACTTTGAACCTTAACACACAAACTGCAGCTGTATGAAAGTTTTCCTCATTATTTCAAAGACATTTAGAAATTTTGGGCCATTCAGAAATTTTAGGACAAGATCTGATATCCTGAATCGTTGTTTGTTTTTGGATGATTCAGTGTAACACAATGTACAGTTGAAGTCAAAATCATTAGCCTTTTGATTGAAATGTCCTTTTTTTAAAAAAAAAAAAAAGTTTGCCAAGTGCTTTAAAACAAATCAATGATTTTTTAAAATACACTTTTCCAAACCTAACTAGTGTTTTTGTTTTACACATAGAAACCAAGCTATTTCACAAAAAACAAAACCTACCAGGGTCAAAATTTGCTGGATGACAGCATGCAACTTTAACTGAAATGCCAGCACCTTGTCAGTTTTCGACTGTCTCACTCTGAGGATTTGAGTGTCATTGCATCTTCAGTCTTCAACTTAAAGATCATTGATAGTCTTGATGACGAGTCAGAGCTTCCCAGCAATGATGCTCTCTGTAAGGGTTCCAACCCCAAGTCCTCATCTGTCTCCAAGATCCTGTGGAACATGCATCATGAAGCTTGGCGTGTCTAAATGCCCGCAGTCTAAGGCTGCGGGCATTGCTACCTCATCTGTCTCTGTAGGTCAGAACAATGAGTGTCTGAGCAGTGGTACCTTACCAATCTCTGAAGGTCCAAATAATCATGCCTCACATCAATTTTTGAATTTTTCAATAAGGACTCATTAAGTCTAAGACATGAGTGTCAATTCCAACTCTTGAGTTCAAGTTTAACATGCAACTTTTGAATGTGTCCAAATTGCAATACATCTAAATCAAATTACAGAATTACTTCCTTGTGCATTTAGGTTCTACAGAGTCTTGCTAACAATCTTATCATGTAATTCAGATGGGTTGACAAAGGTCAGGTCAACCTCTCCTGGGCCTTACTTTATGTTTCACATCTTTTTGGTTTTCTAACTTGTAACCAGACACTAGTTAAGGGTGTGTTGTCATTTCAAAATCTGGAGTTTCAGCTTCTCAAGTAAACTGAATGCAGCATTATTAGTTTTAACTAAACACAACATAGTTCTATGTATTTTCTACATTCACCATTTCAACATATTCCCTAACAGAAGTTGTACTGTGCTATTTGTGTGACTGATTGACTGAGACACACACCATCAGAAGTGAATAAACAGTTTATTTTTGTAACTTTCATTAAGCTCTTTATAAGCAGTGAGCATGTCAGAATTTGATGTCAAGGTTGGAGAAGGATCAATTGGAAAGCCCCCTCGTTTGCAGGGTCAGAGGGGGCTTTCCAATTGATTTTGAATTCATAACACATATCCAGTTTGCTTTTATGAACAATTTGCTGTCTTGCACAAACTCAAAGGTATTGATGACCTACCAACAACCAGTGGTCTTTCTGAGCTTAAAACTAATAACAAGACATTATTGGTTTTTAATGCATTAGTTGTTACATTTTTTGTGACATCATATTGACGTTACCTAAAGTTTGTAAAAACATGAAGTCGTTGCGTTCTCATTTAATCCCAGAACTATAGACAATGATAATGTCTCTTTTGAAGAAGACTGTCATTGTAAGATTTAATCATAGTTTTACATTTTCTTCATTGCTACATAATTTGAATGTCTATATTTGGGTATAGTCAATCAAAATTGCTTTTTTCCTTTATTGTCGAGAGTTAATTAAACATTTTCTACAATTATCTGGACTTTATCTTTTATGCACCACTGCCTTTTCTCTGACGGTAAACTAATCTAGGTGCACTGGCTGTAACCATACGGATTTATGCATATAGATATTATTAACGTCTTGGTTCATGACCTCAAATGATGGTGTGCATTGTTGATGTTCATTATAACAAATAGTACTGTTACACATGACAATTTGCCAACATTGTATTCTGTTGACGCAGTCTAAAAAAGGAAGGTGTGATGGACTGTTGTTGTCAGTGATTCACGACTTGTATTGCATCTCTTGACTTCAGGACATCCCATGCAAAGGGCAAGTCAGACGGCGCTGAACAGGCCGCCCAGGCCTCCAACAGTGAATCCAGCATTGCCAGACTGGTTGCCAAAGAGCTGTCGCCTTCTTTCTATCAGCCAGGTCAGTGGACAGCAACTCTTCAGTAACAGGGCATAATATGATTTCATGTTTTGTCTTAATACAAGCCTCAATCTGCAGATTATGGAACAGCTGGAAGTATTTTGTGTTTCTATTAATGTTGCACACATACATGCTGATTAGTTGTTTTGCTTCCTAATTAAGTGATTTCTTAATGCAGTGGGTTGCACTTAACTTTATTAGGTTTGTCAGAGTAAAGTAAAGTATTGCATTAAATACTTACTCCATTCATGTCTAACAAAATATGCAAATTAATAGATGAATAATAAGGTGGTTAGCTTTTTAATAAAATTTTTTAACAATAGAGCAACAATTTAATATATTGTTCTGGACTAATATTGTGCAGCTCTGACTATGACAATAGTACAATATTAGAACTGCACAATGTATTGAATTGCAACTGTCATTCTAAAATTAGTGAGCAATACTGCAATGACTAAACATTGCTAGTATTCAACATTTGACAAGATATTATGTTGCAGATGTCAGACACGCAAACTGCATCTCACTATAATTTTTGAATTGACTCTAATCATCCTTATTGCTAACAAATGATGTATGTATCTGGTGGTTGAGATCGTAAAGCTAACTGAAGGTGGTGGAGACATTTTGTTATAATAAATTAAGAACATCTTCAGGAAAAAATTGGTGCAAACATAAATTTTAGCAAAGATATGGTTATTAAATACTTTCTTAACCTTGTGCTAAATCAACATTTTAGTAACCAAAGATGGTGCAGTGTTGTGAGATGCATATATAGTACTCTGTCTATGATATGCAAAATTTGCTTAATACTTTGCCCCCTGATCTCAGAGCGTATGCTGTTGAATCTCTGTGCATTGGCCCACCACAAGGCGAGCAGAACTGAATGTCTAAAAAAAGGATCATCTTATTCAGTCCTGGGGATTGTATCAGTTTCAGCACAGGCTTTTCGACACACACGTTGATACAAAAGTAAAGAGCCTCTTCAGAGGCCCTTGCTTTTCTCTTTCAGCAGTAAGCTTAATAAGACACAAATAGACAAAGACAGAAAAAGGTATCCAGCCTTCTGATGTTACTTACCAGTTCTGAAAATAGAAGGATGCATATTTTTAATGCAAATGAACTACTACAAAGGTCAGAGGAAACCTTTTTGGCTTTAACACTTTCAGTGATTTTGAACTCAAATGTAAAAATAAGGAAGGTTGATGTCAGTAAAGTATTCAACATTGCTTTAATAAAATTTTTTAACAGACTTAATTACTTTCAGGAACTTACATTGTTGCCCATAAAGTTTAAATCATTTTGTCTTTAGACCATTTTTATTTATTTGTTTGGAGAAGATTTAGGGCTACACTTTTTAAAACATGACAGGACAAGTTGGTAGTATATTAAGAAAGCAATGTCCTTAAGTAAACTAAAAGTTGATAGGTTTGATTAGTTGTCAGTAGTGTTACAATGTCTGGATGTTTGGTCCAGGTATAACCAAAAAACAAACATCAGAGGTGGCTACTGAACAGACAAGACACACAGGAAAGCTCAGAGGAGAATCCATTTTAGAGTTTAGGATGGTCATATCAATTAATGCCTAAATTAACACCTGTAATACTTTAAAATGGTAGTATACACAGTCAATTTTACACATTATAATACTCAAACATAGATACCCTCAACAAACCGTCCAGCCCTAACCTGCAGAGCTCCTGGATTCAAATCCCGGACAAGCCCCCAACTATGACCTGGCTCAAAGGTCACAAAAAAAGGGAGTTATATTGGAGTTCTGATATATAAATTTGTTCAACAAAACCAAAAATTAATATCCATATTATTCATGTCAAGTGTGAAAGTTAGTGAAATTAGGGGTGTATGGTCTGCATGAGTATAGGACAGATGGGAAAGTGTTGTTATGTGCAAGCAAAATAATCTACAATGCAAAAGGTGGTCGCTTTGATAACAATAGATTATTGTTACAAATTTCAGCTAGTGTTGCCCTTCATTTTAATAATATGATCTAATTTTATTTGTGGATAAATTGAATTGAAACTTTTGACTATTTTTAATTTTTAGGCCCTGAGTATCTGAAAAAGAGGGTTTTGCTGGAGGCTGCAGAAGACCCGGAGAACCAAGACACCGAAATGCATGAGCCTTTGCTAGCAGAAGAGGAGCCTCTGCAGGCTGATGAAGAGCCCCTGCCTACTCCACCAGAGAGTCCGATTCTGAATGAACTGGCCAGCCTCATGCCCGGCTCGTCCCCGGCCCGAACTCCCTCCCCGAGTCCGGCCATAATCAACAAGGAGGACCCCAAACTCCTTGGTCCAAGAGGCTGGAATGAAGACAAATCCATGAAAGGAAGTTCCATTAAGGGTGGCCTTAAGCCCAGCAGTGCACCAGGTAGTCGAGCCACCACTCCTTCAGTGACAGCTGCTGAACCTGAGGAGGGAACGGCTTCCAGCCGTCAACCTTCACGCACCCCGAGTCGTCTGAGTAACAAGATTGAGCAGGGATCCGATTTGGAAATTAAACCACTTCAGAAATTTGACTCTGAGGTAAAACCTGCAGATGTCCCTCCAGCCACTTATGCTCCAGAAATGAATAGCCTCATCTCTCCAGATGAAGAAGAAGAAGAAGCTCCTGTTCCAGCTGCCAGCGGGCCTCCAAAAGCTGTGACCCCTGAACCCAAAGTCCCTGAGATAAAAACTGAAAGAGCTCCCTCTGTCCAGGAGCGGCCACCTTCTACCTCTGAGAAGAAAAGGCCATCCAGGGAGGGAAGCAGGCCGGGCAGCAGAGCAGAGACAAGACCATTACCAAAACGGCAACAGAGTCCAGCTCCATCTCCAAAACGACAACTGAGTCCGTCTCCATCTCCAAAACGACAACTGAGTCCGTCTCCGTCTCCGTCTCCAAAACGACAACCAAGTCCTGCTCCGCCTCCAAAAGCTGCTGCTAATCATGAACCTAAAACAGTTTCAAAGCCGGCAGAACCCAAAGCCATAATTGCCAAGCCACCCGTAAAGAGCCTGGTGTCGAGAAAAACAGCAGAGTCTTCAGATCTGGAGGTGAGATGGTGAAGATACATGACATAAAATGGATTTGTTATGCAGTATTAACAATTAGCATGTTTTGTATTTCCATTTGGGTCTCGACTGCTTCTGCAAACAGCTCAAGCGATTTAATAAACATCCAGCTGATTTTTGGCAGTAAGTTAAAGTTTTCAGGTGTCAAAAAAAAGATCAATTTCAAAAAATTTCCTAATGTAATGTCACAAATCAGCAGGCATTGCACCATTACCTAGCAACCCCAACAAATCCCAGCCCATGAACTAGCAGCCCAAATAGAGTTCCAGCACACTTGGTCAGCTGGTTTTACTGCTGTATGCACTGTACAATGGCTGCTGGAGAAGAAAAGTGTTTTGTTGTTGACTTACCATCCAGAAACCACTTGCTGCATTCTTGTTGGTTGTGCAGGAGGCTCCACTTTTGCTTTTCAAAGATCCACTGTTGTAAAAATGCACATCTGTTTGCAGCCATTTTCCTGTGCAAGTGTAAATATTGAGTTGAGGGAGTTTGGGGTAATTTAAAAATATTTCGATTTCATCATATATTTTTGTGTAAAGTCTTTGCGTCTTGTTTCGTGTTATTAACTTTTTAGCATAACTCTGAGTCATTTGACTCTTTCCAAAGCTTTATAAGATCACCAAAAACTAAACCAGCAAGTATAAATATATAGTTTCATGGATAATTCTTTACATTAATTATTAAGGGATTTGTTTACCAACTGCGTCTACCGTACTCTGGTAATTCCTAATCAGCCAGCCAGTAATTAGACATGATGTGAAAACTGTGGAATAAATATGGAGTCATTGTTCCCTTACAGTTTCTATTCAGTGAATACACTGTGATCATTGCTCTTCTCCTTCCTTTCCAGGGCCCAAACACCATCATGGTGTGTATGGTGATCCTGCTAAACATCGGCCTGGCCATACTCTTCGTTCACATTTTGTCATGAGATGTTTCCCACAATATCAGGTGATAAATATAACCTGACATTTGAGTAAAAAGGATTTGTTAATGATTATGCAGCAAAAATTGAGTTTGTGACACATTCATTAACAACAATAATATTTACAATTTCTACTCTGTTTTATTGCAATTTCCTAACAATACTGTCTACTATTTTCAGAATAATAATTTTCAGCCATTGTTTACATTCAGACTCACCGCATCTGGCTTCTTCTGGCGCAGAATTACGATGCATGTTTCTCGTTAATGACGTAAAAGGTGGATAATACATGACCATTCAGACTGTTCACACTTTGAAAACTATTGGATAATTATCCTATTTAGTTCCAAATATGGAAGTGGATGAGATCAAAAAGTTTGGAAACCCCTGCCTTAGGGGGTCTTAACAACTCAATTTGTCTTGCACCATATTATATAGAGGAACTCCTGATAGACAGTTACAAAATATAACCCAGTGGTTTGTATTAGTCCATGAAAACCAATTCTTGACAAGCATCTCCAAGTCAATTAAATGCTAAAACCATCTGCAGGACCTGAGGCCACTATACTTGTCCCAGCATATTTTATATGCCAATTTCTAACTGTGTTTCCATTAACCATATAATTATGCAAACTTTTTCTATAAAATGTTTTTTTCACGAGGATGATGTAGTTTTTCAACCAAAATAGATGTATTTCCCAAAACTCAATGGAAACACTTTCATCACATCACGAGTCACGTGACTACTGGCGAAAATGATGAAGAAGATTACAGGAAGTAGTAGGAGGAAGATGGTTTGGTTTAATTTTTTTCAGGCAATGGAAGCTGCTTCCACCAGAGCTCTCACAGCAATGCAGAGTTCATGAAAGGTGCATCTTTTGATTGTGCTGAATGCAAAGCTCTGCAGTAAATTTGCAGGTGACTGTTTTCCCAAAACTTTGCATATGTAGCTGCTCCCAAGTATGAATAAGATGCAGACGTCTCCTCTGATTGCTGATGAGATCATGACTGAGTTATGAATGTAATCACGTATAACTGTTTTTGTCTGTCACTGCCACAATATTTATTGATTTGTCACATAAACAAACTTATTCACGTATGATTTGAATTTAATTTCTAATTTATGAAAAGATTTGCGCCATTTGTATTGGAAACAGCTTCTAATCTGCTTAGTTACCACCGGACAATTCCTTCTTTAAGTTTAATTGCGTTTTGTAACTGCTGCAGGTGGCAGGTGGCGTTGGACTGTGATGGCGTTGCTCCTCCACCTCATGGACCAGAGATCAGAGACACCACTGACTGCTGGCAGGAGCCTCCTGGAGTCTTCTTCGTTGGTTCTGTGAAGCTCTTCTTCTGCAGAGCTTAGGGGAAAACTGAAGGACAATGAAGAGCTGAAACGTCTGAATATGACTGTTCTGTTAAAGTTGGTGATTAGATGGTTGAGCAAGTCTTGGAGCTGGGTGGGCCTCCAGAATTCAACTTTGTCACAGAGTGTCACAAGGTTTGCCGTCATTTTGCAATATGGGTTGTCCTACTGCTAATCTGCCTTACACCGAGTGGTCCTCACGACACTGAATCAGTAGATCACACGTTGCCTCGACATGTGTTTGTGTTTTGTAACTGCAGATGAAGTAATGTTGAAAACTCATCCAGACTGAACTTTCACTCCAGTTTGCCTTGAATTTGCTCGGACACAGCAGCGTCCTTGTGCAGAAAAACTGTGTTTTTTGACGCCTGCAGCGGGTAAAGCGCTGTGTGTTTGTGTCAGTCATCTAACACATATGTTCTCTTTTTACAGGGATTTACTGTATGTGTGTGTTTTTATTCTGCTGCTTTTTGTGTAGGAAGAAGATAAAAATAGATTAAGAAAGGAAAAAAATAGAAGAAATAAGGATATTTGAGAGTCCCTGCTGATGTTTTGTCCTGTTTGTTCCTGTGGAGCCATGCACTGCTAATTAGCTAAGGGGAATGATGTCTTCATTCAGATTTATCCAAAGCAATCACTGTATATTTTAAGAAAGGTGCTGAATCTGTAGATTGTTATTCCTGCAGGAGGAGTTTTAAAGTGATCGATATGTCTCTTTAGATCCCGACTTTGTGTTGCATTCAGCTTTAGAGCCAAATGTTTGGAAGCAGGAGGTGATTTTCTGTACTTTTGTACATTTTTTGGGAGTACGCCTTTTCATCTTACACAGAATTCTGCTGTTACCTTTTATTTATAGCTAAAATAATTAAGCCACCCCAAATCCTAAATTAATTTACCTCACTGTAGTTAGATTAAAAAAACAGAATGATTCTTAACTCCATGTCTTACAGTGAAAAGACTTATTTTCTCTTTCTTTGTGTGGGGGGTCGGGGCCTTACAGAGAAGAAGTATCTGAAGCTGATCTGCCGTTAAGTTTGATGGTGTTGTTGATGAAGGAAAAAGCCTAAAAGTATTTGCATTAAAATAAAGAACAAAAATCTTCCACAATTTTTCCTCTGGTGTTTTTTGTAAGTGAGTGTGCAGGAAAATGTAATGCTATTTGAAGAACTGAGTTAAGTGTCACCAGAACCCATTTTTTCCAGGACATTGTTAAGCTTTGTTTTTGCCTTAGTAAAGCAGGAAGGTCTGTTTTTACCATGTTACTCAGACATGATGAATCCAAGTCTGGTGAAAACAGTTTGAAGTATTTTTAAACAGGAACTGGCTGCCAGCATGCGACACCCTCCGTTCATCCCGGGGGCCACTTTGGATATCACCTTATTTTAGGCTGCAGGTCTTCTATGGAAGACCATTCCTGACTCAAAAACTTTTTTTTTAGAGTCATAAAATATGCCTTTGAAACTTAGAGTTCTGACTTTTTAGCTCATTGTTAGAACTTTGTAACCCAATACTTTCTCAACAACCTTTTAATTGCGTTATAATAACTTTAAAAGCTATTACTTATAAACTGAAAATTCATAATTACAACTACCATTTAATTGCAAAAACTTGAAACTTGAAGCTTTAATCTCATAATTATGAAATTGTATCTCACAACCTTAAAAAATATTCTTTTTCATTCTTTTGAAATTTGAAATTCAAGAATGTATTTCATCTTATAACTTTTATTTCACAATATAAATTATTCTCATGATTATGTGTTTACTTTGACTTAAAGACTCATAATGGGATTTTTTCCATTTCATTATCACTTAATTATCGAGAAACTGAATTGTATACAAAGCAGATAAGTTTAATCTTATACGAATTACAATAAAACTCATAATTATGACTATACAGAATTATTTTTCACATTTTATCTTTAACATGACTTTGAAAACTTTTTCTCTCAGATTTGTGACAAACTCATAAGTATAACTATTATTTTATAACTTAAAACTTGACATTTGTGACTATGACTATTTAATCTTGCAATTAAGAAACTATATAATCATAATTCAGACTTTGCATATCACACTATGGGTTTGAAAATAATTTGACCTCATAATTTTTAAACTTATGTCATTGTGACTCTTATTTTACAATTTTGACCTATTCTAAATCACTCAAAGTCATAAATGAGTTTCATCGCATATCTGTCAGTTTTCTCATCATACATATAAAATAAATTAAATCTCTTTTTGTTTAATTTGTTGCAACCAGGAACGCAATTCAAACATTTGCTCAACAACACTCCCCTCTAGTGGTCAAAATTAACAGCTCATCAGTTCATATGTCTAAAACACAATATTTAGTTTAGTTTTAGTTTATTTTGTAGCAGCTGGCCTCTGGAACAGAGTATTACTGTTCAACTGTTTGTTTACTACTCTAAGATTTCGTCTTAACGGTGATAAATGACTCTATAAGCTGTTCAAATTTAAGGATTTGTGCAGAATCCTCCAGAGTTCATGGTAGCAGGAACTCTACTAGATCAATTTTTAAATTAAATGAGGAATGCAATGCAGAAGACCATGGAAGTTCATGCATTTAAAAGCCCCTGCTTCTTGAAAATCGTATATCATAGTTTATCATCAACTCCAAACATTTTAAAAATAATTTCAGAACAATTTCGTTAAACAACAAGAATCAAAAACACGTTTGGCATCAGGAAATATTCCTCATTTTGCTCCAAAGGACGCAAGGCTCATCTATTTGCTTTACTCTACTGCCCCCAGTGGTGAAAATTGGTATCCTTAAAATTAGAACTTGTGCTAAATCCTCTCCTTCCTATTGAGGTAATATTTACTACAAGCAACATCAGAATCATCCAGCTTATATTTAAAAACTGAATAAAAAAAGAAAGAAAGAAAAAAACAGCAAAAGCAACTGAATCTGAGGCACTTAGATGGAAAACAAAGCCCTAAATAATCCCAACATAACACAATATTCCTCTCCTCCATCTTCCCCTGCTGCTCTTTATGGTGGTGGCTGACAGGGCGGGATTATTTTTTTAATCTTTATTTATCAATAAATATTTGAATTGTTTGAATTTTACCTTGAACTTGTTGCTTTCTGCACTGAAGTTACAAAAAGCAAACAGGCTTTTTTTTGTTGGGTAACAAATCTATATAACGGTATAAATAAAGTTGATTGACACTCTGTTATTGACAAATACCGAACAAAAATGTATTTTACCATCTGTCGAAAACATTACTGGTATAGTTGTTGTTATAAATACGAAACAAAACTTATTTTGAGTTTTGCTGTCCCGCAAAAAACATTTATTAATATTCACATTTATATAAAATCGGTATAAAATTGTGTATCTTGTACAAACAGTTTACATAGAAAATCTTAAATGATGACTGCGTGGTCTTACTGCTGTCTGATAAGGATGTAATATGTATTTATCACCACAAGGTGGCAGGTGAGGACAAAAGAAAAACTATATTTCTGCAGTTCAGATGAATGAATAAATAGCAGAGATTGATTTTGATTTGAATACACGGAAAGTCCGATGCATTTGAGTCCCAATGCTGCATTGACCCATTGTTCTGCATCATGACCTACCCATGATGCACTGCTTCTCTTTTCCCCTCCTGGCTTTGCTCTGTGCCAACATCAGTGAACATCAGCAGGGACTGTCAGAGCACTCAGGGGCTTCACCCGAGTTGCACCACTCGCTCTGCTTATTTATGTAACAGAACCAATTTATTTGTCATAACAAAGTAATTTTCCTTTTAATAACAATGATACACAGTGCAAGAAGGATGAATATTTTGTCATTAACGATTTAATGCAAAGTCCTGCTTCTATAAAATTCATCCTTGTCAATAGAGGAAATAATGCAGGTGGTGTTTCAGATGGAGACTTGAATTTTAAGGTTTTCTTGTTTATCAATCCACTTGTTATGATAAAAAAAAAGCAAAAGCATGGATAAATAAAAGTAAAACTAAAAACTTGTGTGTTTTCACAGTTTCTTTGCATCATGTTTTAAAATCACAAGAATGTAAAGTAGATAAACCTGTTTTATTAGTTTTTTGTTTAATGATATTTAATTTTTCAAAAGTATGACTAGAAACATCCCTGTAATCTTCTATGTACTCTGAATTTATAAGTTTGTATGTTTTACAGAAATCAAAAGCCTCATGGTTGGTTTTAGAGAGGAGCGACTGTAAGCAGTTAATCACTCAACAAAACATGACCCAGAATATTGAGAAAAATTTGGGGGCAATTGCAGCTTTAAGATATTTTTTGTTGGTCATGAGATTTGGTACAAAACCTTTCAGTTTTCTTGGAAACACAAGCTTTAGCTCCCTCTAAAGATTTCAGGATTGAGGTCTGAAGAACGAATAAGCCGCTTCATGACCCTCATGTGATTGTTCTCTAGCTAGGCCTTTGTTGCTTTGGTGACATGTTTTTTTGGTTGTTATGTTCATAGGAAGACAAACCTCTGACCAATACTTGGCGTTGGTGTTAAAGAGTTTAATGTTTTACTGCTGTGTCTATTGGCGTTTCTGCATGGTGACGTCATTCTGTGCCTTGAGCAGAAAAACAGACCCGAATCATGATTCTCCCACCTCTATGCCTGACACTAGGGATGGTGATCTTTGGGTCAGAATGAACATGTCTTTCATGGAGGATGATTAAATGAAATGGTTTTGATTTAAAAAAAAAAAAAAAAAAACAACAAACAAACAAACAAAAAAAAACATTTCACATGCATCTACAACACTGTGTGGTTTCAGACAGATGTGGTTGTAATTTGACAAAAATAAATAAATAAATCATGAACAACATGAATTTCCTATTATATTAATCTGGTATAAGTGGCTTTCTACCTTACAGTTGCTCCAGCTTAGCAGGAAAGTAAGTGGTGACTCACCTGACGCATTACAGATGTAGGGGATCAATTGGTGACTACACACACAATCCAAGCCGGCAGAGATTACAGTGTGTCCTGCAGGATATATTTAGCAGTCTACTAGTAAATTGTAGCTGAACACTGTGACTGTCCTGCTAGATTCACCCAGGCCAGCACCATGTCACTGCAGGGGATCAGCACAGGGAAAATCCACTGAGGTTTCTTAACAAGAGGGCAACAGCCAATCAGAGCTGCTGTCATGCAGAACTGCAGCAACTGCTGTGTCGAAGCCACTGCAGTGCTGAAACTTCAGAGAGGATCACTGGGAATGTACAAACACTAAAGAAAGTGTGACATCGCTGAAGTGTTTTCTATTAATCTGGTCATTTTAATATTAATAACACAAAATGGGATATTAATGTTAAATAGTTAAAACATATCTGGCCCAAAGTACAAGTGAATTAGGCTTCCATTGTTGACTTCTCACAAAAAATATGAGTATGACAGCATGGACTTGCAATAATGTGCCAAAAATTAGCCTACTTTTATATTTACTTTGAATTTTAAAAAAAATTTAATTTAAAATCCAGATTTTTTTTTTTTTTTTTTTTTTTTTTGTGATTTAAAAACACCCAACAAAATCTAACTGTTTTGATCACAATAGTTATCTTAATTTTCATGACCAAAATATGTTCCTACATAGTATTTTCCATCCTGCTTTTGTGGAAATAAAAAAATGTGTTATATTTGTTGCTGCCTCTTGGTCAGGTCTTTTTTGAAACAGAAGTGTTTAATCTCAGTGGGGTTTTATCCAAGTAAAACAAAGACAAAAAGTAAAAATAAATAAATACATAAATAATGATGATAATAATAATAATTAAGAAATTAATTAAATTGCATGACATTTTGTTTTTGTGTCAAAAATGATTTTAAATTGTATTATACTCTTTAAAAAGCTCCATATTGCTTTAAATATATGTACTGTATATATTTTTAATTGTATATAAAAATAGAAAATGCTCTCTCGATATATATAAATATATTTATACTATATAAATTTAGTATATATATATAGATATCTATCTATCTATCTATCTATCTATCTATCTATCTATCTATCTATCTATCTATATATATATATATATATATATATATATATATATATATATATATATATATATATATATATATATATATATATATATATATATATATATATATATATATATATTAGAACTGGAGAGGGCCTGGAAGGTGAAGACCACAGTGGTGCCTGTGGTCATCGGGGCCCTCGGGGCACTAACCCCCAAACTGGATCAATGGCTACAACAGATCCCAGGAATAACATCAGACATCTCAGTCCAGAAATGTGCAGTCCTTGGCACAGCCAAGATACTGCGCAGAACCCTCAAGCTCCCAGGCCTCTGGTAGAGGACCCGAGCTCAGAGGATAAGAACCACCCGCGGTGGGTGAGAAGGGAATTTTTTATTAGGTGCCTATATATTTTTGCATCACCTCTAAATTAAAAAATATTGTAAGAGTATTGATTACTTTGGTAATATTTTGATGATCCCTTTGTTTTACTCGGTCATCTTTGCAATGTTTACAGCGTGCTCTGGTTCAAAACGTCATTACGTATTCCATGGTAGACCAATCAGCTCGCAGAAAGGCGTAAAACGGTCTCGCGCCCGGTAAAAGGGATTTGACAGATGCAAGTCTTGAGCGGATCCCCGCACTTCGCTTCCTCAGTGGGGCCGGAGGAGCCATGGCGGCTGCTGCCTGCGGACAGCACGGCGCTGTGGTAGCAACCGCAGTCAGCGGCAAAAAGACGGTCACTTACCGGGAATACAACAAGAGGAACCGGGAGAACTCCCGCCGAAGACAAGCAGCTCTTTTGTTCCTGACCAACATCTCTCTCGATGGCCGGCCAGTCCAGAGTAATTCAGCGGAGAATGGAAGGAGCTACAACAAAGAACCGGAGTTTGATGGAGCAAACCCCGGCACCGCAGCAGCGGATCCCCCTCACACGAACAGACTGTCGGCGTCTGTCAGTTGTGGGGTCGTTAGTCCCGGATCGAAGGCAGGTCTCCCAGTACCGCCGATCCTGGTCCTTCCGTCCGATAAAGGGCTTAACGATGTGGGGAGCACGGAGGTGCTGCTGGGATGCCGCCGAGGCTCGTTCCCGTCTCATGGGGACGGTAACCTGCTCTCCCCGTCCCCTTCCAACAACAGCCTGCTACCGTCTCCGCTGGGACCGCGGAAGTCCTCCACGCTGCTGTCGGTCCAGAGCTGCAACTCCGTGTCCTCCGAACCTCGGCACAGGTGAGACCAACGGCGCTGCGGTGTTTTGTAAATGTACATATGAAGCTGTAATTTCAGCGACCAGTAACGGTTTGGACCAGTCTCTCATTCAGTCTGGTCAAACTGAACGGATTCTGCGGGACCTTCACAGAAAGCAAAGACTCTGTCAAGCAAAGAGATGTCAAGTTGTAACCTGCCATAAATCCCTCTTTCATTTTCCTCTGCATCTGGCAAAAATGCTGGAAAGTGTGCAGGAGTCGTTTTTTTTTTGTTTGTTTTGTTTTCAGAAAAAGGTTTTAAGAGGATTTCAAATTGAATTAGAACAACAACAACAAAAATCAAGCAGCTTGTTCCTGCTTGATTTTTGATCCTTTCAAATTCATTCATATCCTTTCATCTTTTATTTGGATGTTACAAACTTCAATTCACTGGTAGGTCAAGGTACTTAATGGGCAAGGCAAGACAAGGCAACTTTATTTATATAGCACCTTTCAGCCAAAGACAATTCAAAGTGCTTGCACAAAAAAGTTAAAAACATACATTATTATAGCAGTGATCTGGAAGAAATTTATTAATTTATTGACGCTTTCATTGAAGAAACAGGAGAGAAAATGGTAAAATTGTCAATCCAAACAGTAAGGACTTTTTTTTCCCCCTAAGCATTATCAGTTGGAATTTATTGCGACAACAATAAATACGTTTTTATAATTAGCAATTTATTGTGATAAATGATAAAGGATGTCATAAATCCCAACATCTAAATTTAATACTTCCTAAAACTACTTTCTGCTGCAATTACAGCTGGAAGTTTTTTGGGGAGCTCTCTACGTTAACGTCAGATTTGTGGGGTGTGTTTGTCAACAAGGATGTTGTTTGGCAACCTAACCCTTCCTTAAGCGTCTCCACAACTTCCTCTCTGACTAGCCTGCTGTGATCCTTGGTCTTCATAATGCTCTTACGTCTCTAAAAAAGTCCTCTGAGGTCCATGTAAAGATAACTGGGTGTAGACAATCGAAGAATGGATGATTTTAATTTGATGTTTGCAAGGCACTGAAAACAGGGTCAGCTGTAGAAGCGCGCTAGTTGTTTGGTTTGGCAGGCAGGAAGTGCAACCAGGAACGGTTGAAAGCCACTAACAGATGGCATGAAGTCAAACCGTTTATTGTGGTGAAGTATCTCTCAGTCAGTGATGCTCAGGTGTTTTTACTGGTTATCAACAGCTGCTTTTCCATTAACCATTAAGTTGTGCAAACACGCCAATTTCGAAAAAACTAAAATTTTTCATAAAAGGCATGGGTGGTTTTTCAGCTATGTCAAAATAACTGCACACTTTGCTGGTTGTTGTAATGATGTTTCTAACTAACACTCCTTCCAGTCACATAGAGTCAATGCTGTTAGATGAAGCAGATAATTTTATTTCTGGTTGCTTCATCTGTTTGATTCAATTCCCTTTATCAGCTCAGCTGGTTGCTTTGGAAGTGATTGAGTTGGAGAGATGCAGCCGCTCCCAAAGGGGGAATAAATGTTGTCAACTGTTCTGGCTTCCTGCTGGGTCCCACTTTAAATGCACTTATCTCCTCAACTCCACGGTTTTATCTGGCTGCTTCCTGAACGAAGTCGCTGTCCGTCAGATAGAAGTATCAGCCTTGCTCTGTTTTGCATCGGTCTGAACAGGGAGACTCTGTGTGAAGTCCCGCCAGTGATTTTGCCAGCTGGCTCAACACTTTATTAGCCTGCTGACTGAACACACACTCTCTGACACGTGTGGCTGATGAACTTGCGCGCCTGCATGCAGCCGGCGCGGCTGCTGGTGTGGATACTCCAGGCTTTGATGCTGTTTAGATTCAGGGCTTGATCATCTGCATCTGCTGGTTTATAGTCATGTTGAGGGTTACCATGTGGCTGATCTTAAAGTTCAGGTTAGTGTTTTACCTATTTACATAAACGCTACATTTTAATACATTTATAGTAGGCTTGAGAAATGAGTAAATCTTTCTTAGATAATGGGATGAATTTGGCCTCGCCTCCTGAATCAACGTTTACACTAGCATGTACAATTATACATAATTGAAAAGCTTTAGTAGAGCCTACTGGACAGCCAATAAGAGTGTGGCAAGTGGATCCTGAATAGTAAGTCAACAACAAAACACTTGTCTTTTCCAGCAGCCATTGTACAGTGCATACAGTGGTAAAACCAGCTAACCAAATTCTTACTTTTACCTCTACTGTTTTGAAAAAGCTGAACTTCATTCTGGAAATGGCCTACTATTTTTTTCAGTCAAGAAGGTTTTGATTTCACAAAGCCTCTTTGTATTTAAATGCACTTCTTTAATAATTTAAGTAGATATTTGGGTTTTTTTTCTTTGACAAAGTATGACACTTGTCATGGCAATATGATTGTGTTCTCGATTGCATAAAAAAGACTGTGGGAGTGCGGTATTTGTTAGGATATTATATTTCAAGAACCATGCAGTAATGCTCTCCATGCATGTCAGATAGATACAGTGACCAAACCTGATATGTATTTTACTAACTGAGGTAAGCATTACAGGATTGGTGGAGACATTACCATAATGGAAAAAAAAACTACAGAAAAAGTAGATTTTATTCGTTTACAAATGTTAAGTTTTGTTTAAAACTGATTTTACAAATTATATTGGAGATGGTGAAACATTTCTGTAAATGTCTTTGTAAACATCGTTCATCATAAATCCTGATTAGCTGCACTGTGGTTAAACATTCAGGTGCTGACTGGTGAAAAGTCTGTTTCACAACAATGAGATGTTGGTCAATTATTTCTGTCAGTTTGTAGTTTCTCTTTCAAAACCTTCTGACGTTTCGCTGTAATTGGCCTCCAGAAGAATTTGCCCTCCAGCGTTGGTAAGATTTTTCTCCCGTCTGATTGAGAACGCTTTGCAGATAAGACTCTGTTTAGGATGTCCGGTCATGTTCTCAGTGACAACTCTGTGTGTTAACTTTGCAGAACTATTCCAGCTCAGAGTCTGAAGCATTTAGCTGCAAGGTGAACAGTGACTCTGTGTTCCCATGATGCATTTTGTTCTTTTACTTACCCTCTGTTAACCAACTGAAAGATTATTCTCATGTAGAAACAGAAGACAGCGTAAAAGCCTAATATCCTAGTAGGACTTGTATATTTTTGCATTGATGGAATATTTACATAAAATTTAATCATATTTTTATAATATGTAGTTTGCATATTATCTAAAGTGACGTTAATTCAGTTATTATATAGTCTTGCATCTGAATTATGTCCTGGGGGAAAGGCCCTTTGCCTTCTGTCGCTGCATGTTTGCAAATATCCAGGAATACACTGAGACATGAAGCACAGAGTTTTAAAGGTTATATTAGGTTCTGAAATACTTTATATCAAAGTAAGCAAATGCATCTGTAAACCCAGAGGACAAAATTCAAAGGTCATTATGCAGAAATGTATGATTAGAAAAGACTGTCTGCAGCCAGTCAAAATGGCTGCAGACAGTTTGCTGCAGCTCACTGACCTTTTAAGATCCTCCATAGTTAGCACTTTTTGAACATGAGGTTTGGCTCCAAAAATGGTTTTTGAGAAGGCCATTCATTTAGCTTTGACACTGAGAAGAAAAATATTACTTTTTCTCAACTTGTTGTTGTGCCTAAAAATGCAAAAGTTTGCAAACAATGTTCAGTTATTTGAAAAACTTTATGCTCACAAGCAACGACCCATAGTCACTTCAATGGTTCAGTGGTGGTATTACTAGTTAGAGTTGACCTCTTGTCACCATCCTTGTCCTCCAGCCTTAGGAGCTAGATTTCTACTTGTCTCTTAATCCGAGATGAGAAGTGTTTTCAACAGATTGATGTTTGTGAAGATTTCTTCACCTTTTGGACAAAGCTCAGGTTGTTTGTTACTGTTTTGCCACACATGCTTCTCATTCCTGAGAGAAAGTAGATTTTGTTTGTCAAAAAAACAATATTTTCTTGTTTTCAGTCTGTTGTTGCAGATAGTACGTTATCAGAAACCTGAAGGCTCTGTTTGCGTCAGAAATGTTTTAAAAAATTTTTGTTGTCAATTCAAAGGATGAATTACCAGTTATTTTGTGTTTCACACTTTCAAAGTTTAGTTTCACTGAAGTATGATCACATTTGCCCTTTAAGTTGTGTTGTGGTTTTTGGGGAAAAGAAATAAAGTATTGGACTGTTTTGAACTGTAAAGGTCCTGATCTAAATGAGTAATGACATCCAGTCAGGCCTGAACGGTTCAATGACCTCAGAGTTGGAGAAGAAAACCTGACGCTGCACCGATGAAACAAGCGAGTTTCTCCATGAAACCGATGATTTGGTGTTTCCCCTGATGACCTCAGACTGTGAAGTCATAATTGGCTAATATGTAACACTGCAAGGAACCGGTTAGTGCAGCAAATATCTAACACCAAAAAGGGAAGAAAAAAAAAAGAGCAAGCAGTGTGCGTGGTGAGAATGACACAGCGTAACGACCTAAATAAAGGAATTAATTACATAATTTTTAATCAGATAATTACTAATAATCAGATGATTTATTTGAATAACGTTTGCATCACATATATTCCATAACCATATGTGGAAGAAAACTGGGACCCTATTTGATTAATAATAACTTGGAATCATTGTATAATGGAATGGACATGTAATTAAATACGCAACTATTTTTTTCTGCTAGCATTACGTCGTCCTTACACTTATTTTTATCTTTTAGTCAAATTAGTAACATTGAGTTTTGGTTTGCTTCACATTTTCTTCATTAAAATTAACTTATTTTGATACCTGAGGATGTTTATTGTTGAAATATTATAATATCTTAACATAACCTGCTTAGAGGAAATCAACATCATGATGTCAGCATGACTAAATAAGAAGTGAAAAAAAAATAAGAAGAAAAAAAAAACTGACCCAGCGACAATCGAGACAAAAAATTTTTTTAAACATGAAGAAAAATATCGCCACAGTGATTGGCAATAATATGCATCCAATTTGTTTCGTAACTATTT